ATAATATCACCCACATTTTTTAAAGCAGTACAGCAGCAAAGGCACCAAAATACTGTATAGTACCATAATCAGTTGTTGTTGCCTCCTTTGCTGCCTCAGCACTGGGGCTGTCTGGTCCCTGCCACACAGTATCTGCAGATTAAGCTACACTCCCAGTCCCACTGCACTAACACATGATCTTACCCTTTACTTATCTATATATCCTCTACAAATGTCTAGATGACAACGCTATAAACAAATCCAACAAGCAGCATTTCTTTTGTTGAAGCAATCTAACTTTAAGTTCTGCCACAAAATTATGTTCCGGGAGGAAAGAATGTAATCTTATTTAACTTGCAACTATGGGAAGGCTCTCAAACATAAATCACAAAACAAGGAATTAAATAGCAGGAATTTGAGGCAATTTGCAAAACACTTAGTGAAAAAGTGGTCATCTATAACCTCCATCTTTCCCCGGAGGAAGAGCTACAGCAAATTCAGGAGAGAAGTTCCTGTCAGATCCATTCCTTAGAAGGTCTGTAAGGACCAAGAATTCTCAGACCCACGACGAATTTCTCACGGCACTTCCCCTTACCAGTGTCACTGAGCAAGTGTTTAAACCTTAAGTGCTGGTAAATTCAAGTGCACCATCATCAGATGCCTGACTCAGAAGTCCCAGCCCCACCCCGACGAAACATCCCAACAGAAAGTGAAGAGATCCAAGTGAGGGGCTGTGTGTGCCAGAGGAAGGCTCCACGCCCACCGCCCCCAGCCGGCCGGCCGCCCTCCCCCCAGCAGCCCTGAAGCCCCGCCGGCGGACCCCAAGCTCCGAGACCCGCACCAAGCGACAGCGGGTTCCGAGGCAGACCGGAGAAGGCAGTCTCTGCAGTCGGATACTCGGGACTCTCCCTGCAGGGCCGTGACTCCCCCCCAGGTGCAGGCGAGCACCGGCGACAACAGCCGGGAGACCCTCAGGGCCGAAGCCCCCGGGGCGGCCGCGCCACGACGTCCCGACCGAGACCACAGCCCGCGGGGCCCCTCAGGCCTCGGCGCTGCAAGGCCGGTCACTCGGGCGGTTCTCAGAAGGGCCGCGGGCGGGGAGCGCGCTCCACAGGCGCGGGGCCGCGGGCGGGCCGGGCCGGGAGGCCGCTAGGCGCAGCCCGCGCGGGGCTGCGGGGCGAGCCTGAGGGCCGGCGGGAGGGCGCGGGACAGCGGGCTCACCTTCCGACAGCTCCAGCTCCAGCTCCGCCAAGCCCTCCCGCACCTCGGCGGGCAGCGGCACCGCCTCGAGCGGGCCCGCACAGTCGCTCATGGCGCGGGAGCCGGCGGGCCGGGCGGCGGCTACGTGGCTGCCCTCGGCCGGCGGCCCGCAGGCGGCGGGGCAGGGGCGCGGCTCCGGCAGCTCCGCACCGAGCGGCGCGGGCACGAGCGCGGGCACGAGCGCGGGCGGCGCCTGCCGCGTCGCCGCCGCCCCGCGCGCCCTCGCCGGCCGGCTTCCAGAGCGCGCGTGCGCGGTAGGAGGGGCGCGCGGCAAGAGCGCACGCGCAGAGCGCGGCCGCTGCTGGAGGAGGGCGCCCGGTCCCGCCCAGCAACACCTAGGGCTCACAGCCATTGGCCTCGACGAGCGGCTCGGTCGCTCCGCGTTCCTATTGGACAGGCCAGGAACACGTCACTCCCGAGAGGCTCTGCGCGAGCGCCCGCGGGGCCGGGTTGTCCGAACGGTCTCTCCCCGAGGGGTGGAGCCCCTGGCCTGCAGCGGGTCTCTGCACAGCTCTGGGGAGTTTGTGAGGGGGGATCTCCGCGTGTCAGAGCTCCCTTCCGAGCGGGATGTCAGAATTTCGTCCTGAACGGCCACTGTGAATGCCACTGCGCTGTGGCAACCTGAGCCACCTCTCCTCAGCGTCGCCCCCGTTGGCGCTTCGGTTGGCGGCCGGGTGAGTGGCGGGGTGCAGGCGGCTCATCCTTCCACCTAGGGCAAGGGGTTCGGGCTTTTCTCTCACCCAGAGGTCGGCGGGCTCTGGCCGGTGTGCCTCCTGTGGGGTGACCCCGTCATCAGACTGTGCCCTGACAGCTGCGGACGCTTGAGCTGTGCCTGCAGCCCTGAAGGCAGCCTTAGACCCGCAGGAACCTCCAACCCCGTTCTCTGACCCTGACGTGATCTGGACAAAGGGGACAAGATTTGACAACTTGGTAGCTTGAAGCTGAACTGCGACCCTCAGGAACCCTGATGGAGATTTTTCCGCAAATACATGTGGGAAGTGCCTGTGAGCACAGCCAGATGTGGCCCCCAGACGAGGTAGTAGTCGTCCAGTTGAATGTAAGGTGATAGTCCTCCCTGTAATGTGTCTTCCCCATCTGTCAATCACACTGACCTGTTCGGTGGCCCCTGGATCTCTGGTCATGTTGGACTTGTGTGGCTTTGAGTGTCAACTTACTTGCACTGTGGTCTTTGCATCTTTGTCCAGGTTGACCTGTGTGTAGCTTTTGAGTGTGTATTAGTTCCTGCACCAGAGCACAACAGGCTGGGATACCACCTTGTGCGGAGGCTCTGCTTTCCTGTACAGAGCCACCTAAGGGCACGGCTATTTCTGGGGCCTGAGTTAGACACTTATGCTTCTCTGAAGCCACTGCACTACAGCTTTCAGTGAGCACTCCACTATAAAGTTAATATGGGTGCACAGGAATTTGATTTATTCAGTGTTTGATAATCATTTTACGTTTCTAGACATTGGAACTGAAGACATTTAATTTTTACAGTGCTGGTGAAGACACTTCTGTCACTCTGACAGGTAGAGCCTGGACCTGTCAGTATGGCAGTATGATTGCCAAAATCATATAGTGTGACAGTAGTGTAGACTGTGGCAGTGGTGTAAATAGGCAGTGTCATACACTGTCAGCAATGTAGAACTGGCAATGTAATAGGGTATGGCAATGGTGTAGACTATGGTAGTCATATAGAATGACATTGGTGTAAACTGGGAGTGTTGTACAGTGTGACCATCTGTTCAGTGTCAGTGTAACAAGTTGTAGAGTGTGAGTGACATTGCATGCCACTGTTATACATCCGTATCTGTAAAATGTGATACTGTAAAAAAGAAAATGTGATATTGTTTAGTATAGCAGTGTTGTATTATGTAATGTATTATGTATAGCAGCATTGTGTAGTGTTGTGGTTCTCTATAGTGTAACAGTTGTTTATTACAAGGCAGTGGTGAATGTTGTGGCAATGTCTGACATAGGTCAGTATTGTAATATGAGGCAGTGTTTCCAGCTGAAGTAGTACTGTATGGCATGACAGTATGGTAAGGTGTAGAAGTGTTCTCTGGTGCAGCAACTTTGTACATGTAGCAGTGTTGTATAGGATAGCAATGGAGTATGGCCAATACGGAAAAAAATACAAGAAAGTACTACCAGTGTTGAAAGAAAAACCTATCACCAAAATAAGTAATGGGCCAGAGCAATAGTAAAGTGGGTAAGGAATTTGCCTTGCATGAGATTGATCCAGGCTCGATCCCCAGCATCCCTTATGGTCCCCTGAGCACCACCAGAAGTAATTCAGAAGTGTTTTACACTACTGTCACACTATGTTCAGGAGTAACCCCTGAACATCATTAAGTATGACCCAAAAAGCCCCCCCCCAAAAAAAAAGTAATGACACTGGGATACTTACAAACATACCAGCAGATTTGGAGCAAAGGAGACTGGGTGCAAGTATGAGTAAAACTGCAGCACCATCTACAATAGCCAAAATCTGGAAACAAGTATCCAAGAATAGATGTCTAGATAAAGGAACTATGGTACAATGGAATATTACTTGGCCATAGGAAAAAATAAAATTATGTAATTCACTGCTTCATGGATGGATCTAGAAAGTATGTTGAGTGAAGTTAGAGGTAGAGACCAACACAGAATTCTGTCACATGCGGGAAATAAAAAAGAATAATGGTGGAATAACAAAATGCCCAAAGACAATGGAAACAAAGAACATGAGAACTGATCACTGCCACTGTCCTCCCATTTTTCATCGACTTTCTCGAGCGGGCCCAGTAATATTGTGAGACTTGTTACTGTGTTTGGCATATCAAATACATCACGGGTAGCTTGCCAGGCCTTGCCATGTGGTTAAGATACTCTCGGTAGCTTGCCGGGCTCTCCGAGAGGGACGGAGGAATCGAACTCAGGTCGGCTATGTTGGCTGCATGCAAGGCAAACGCCCTACCCGCTGTGCTATCGCTCCAACCCGTGAGAACTGATATTCAGTAGGAAACATGCCAAATGGGGGTGGGGGAGACTGGGGAATAGGTAAGGAAGGGGAAACAATTATTGTGGAGGGAATTGTTCAACTGGGAGTAGGAGGTGATGCTGAAAAAAAAAGTGTTATGCATAAAACCTTTTCATAACAGTACTGTAAACCACAGTACCACAGTGCAAAACTTTATAGTTTTTTAAAAAAGCACCTCTCTAGAGGCAGACTGGTTGGGGGTGGGAGATGGTCCCTGGGGAACGGATTGCTTTTAAACGTTGTATGCCTGAAACTCACTTATGAATAACTGCGATTTTAGGATGACTTTTTTTTTTTTTGCTTTTTTTGGGTGACACCAAGCAGGGTTACTCCTGGCTCTGCACCTCAGGAATTACTCCTGGCAGTGCTTGGGGGACCATATTGGATGCTGGGGATTGAACCCGGGTCGGCCGCATGCAAGGCAAATGCCCTACCCATATACTATCACTCCGGCCCCATTTTTAAAGAAATAAATTTGAAAGATTTGGGGGGAAAGGGGGTAAACTATGAAAAGTTACTCATGAGAAATAGGTAGTTGACAGCAACTTACAAAAACACAAACCAAATTAGAGTAGATAATTGGTAAATAGATGCTAAGTGAATACTGAAAGTTTAAAAAAAAAACCTTATGGGTGTCTAATATAAATTCTAAGTCTGTATTTTATTTTTGCCAGTCACTGATAAAAAGTGGGTAAGACCAAATAATACGAGGCTGTTCACAAATAAAACAGTGCTTTAATTTTATTCTTTATGTTTGCATTTTATTTATTTTTTTAATGTTTGCATTTTAAAACCCAGTTTACATCTGTACCCTTTAAGAAACAAGTCAATAGGGAGCTATGTCTGCTCCCCCTTCTTTGGAAGAAGACAGGTGGCTCTGCCCACATGCACAGAAGTAGCTCCTGAAGGGAGGAGTGACAACACATCTGTGTTGAGTGACAACAACACAGAGGGTCCGGGGAGAACTCCATTAGGCTTTGTAGCCCCATAGAAAGGTGAGACCACCCAATCTATAATCCCCAGGGCTGGTATCTCGGGCACTGAGTGAGGAGAAGGCACTGCTCCGGACGTTAGGTCGCACTGTCAGTTTTCCTCAGGAAAAGGAAAACAAATCTCTTCCTCTTCCTTAAATGGCACTATCAGAGGTAAGAGCCACAGGATTTTTTTATTCATTGTTTAATTTTCTGGCGGAAGGACCTCTTTGAAGTGGAATCTACATAGAAATAAAAAATGATGTAGCAATTTGTTAGATAGAATCACACCTTTTTGCGGGATGGGGGCCTCCAAGTGATGCTCAGACTACTTATTTCTTAACTCATCAGCTGACAGTTCAATTCATGGGCCCGAAGGTGCCAAAGATTACCTAGGCCACCCTGGTAGTACTTAGGGAGCCTCCAGCACTGCACCCAGCAATGGTAAGATACAATGTTGTACCAGGTATTAAACAGTGGTTGGTTGCATGCAACTGAACCCCTGTAAGATCTCTCTGGCCCCAGAAGGAAATATTTTCTTAAGAAGTTCACAGTATTGAACTGTAATCACTGAATTCAGTATGTTCTTGGTAAAAATAAGACTCACATAGTTTAAATTGTGATGATTAAACACTGGACTAATAAGCTATTATCTTAAGCAGTGGGCTGATAAACTAGTATCCTGGCAGCAAACTATTTTTCACTTTCTGTGAGTGTAGAAGATGGAACAGAGGCCCAGCTAGTGATGAAGTCAGAAGGACCCAACACTTCCACTTAAGACCAATATCCTAAGACATATCTTAGTTCCAAGACTCTGTGCTAAGGCCATGTCTACATTCTTCTTTTGGTGTTGCTGATGATAGTCCATTTCTGAGACCAAATCTACACAATCACTAAGTTGGATTCTGCAATCAAGATGCATTGTCATACAGCTGTCAATATTTTAAATTTTAATTATAGATATAAAATATGTATTATAGTTTAGATTACTCTGGTGGGAGAGAGGGTGGTTCACACCCAGCAGTACTCAAGGACTTTTCCTGATTCTCTACTCCTGGTGGTACTTATGGGATTATCTAGTGCTGGGATGGAATCAGGGTCAGCAAGGCAGATAAATGCCTTGTCCTTGCACTGTCTCTCTAATTCAACCTTGCAACATAGCTAGAAAACACGAATACCTGGTGGTACTCCCCCAAGTCTTTGCTGGATCATTTCCAAATGGTGAATATATTCTGTCAAAGAATGTTCTGGATCTTGAGACACAGTCAGGGATATTTCTGATCTGGAATTTGGGGATAGAGCGAACCTACAAATGAAGCACCACATTACCTCACATTCATACAGGGCCTCAAAAAAAACCTCATTGATTTTATATTAACATATGAATGTTAAGCTGTATGACATAACATTAACATACCTCCAACCATTATAGCCATGGGGCAGGAATAGTTTCACTTTCACTTTGAGAGGGCTCAGTCCCTGTGATGACAGTCTAATAAATAGTACAGCCAACCCAGTTTAATTCCCCAGCACCACAAGGTCTCTTGAACTCAGCCAGGAGCAACCACTGAGCACAGAGCCAGGAGTATCCCCAAAGCATTACCTTATGTGGCTCAAATCTCTTTCCTCAATCACATTATTAGTTTTTCATTGAAAGGAATTTCAAAAAAAAAAAAAAACACATAATGTGTCTAGAGATAACATCTATAGATTATAGAAATATCTCAGCTGCCAAATAGGTGTTAAATATTGATAATATGTTGTGCAAGAAAAAACATTTTCCCATAGGAAAGAGATAAAAGTAGAATCAACCATCAATCAATCATACCTCTGTATACATGTGGGTATAAGAGAAAACATGGTGTGCAGTGTGTGAGCATGTATACGGTGTGTGCATATGTTAGTCTGTGTGCAGGCATGTGCATGTGCATGTGCATGTGTGTGCGTGCGTGTGTGTGTGTGTTGTGACTGAAGGAAGTCGACATCCCTGTGCCCAGAAATAGGCTGGGCACCCGCACCAATCTGCTGAGGACATCTAGTGAGGTGGCTACAGGCTGCAGAGCCTGTAGCCTACAACCTAAGGCTATACAGCTCACCTTTCTCTTCTCCGTAGGGAAGCTCTAGGCACAGGATCCCTGCTATGACTCGAAGACACATCCCGGGTTGGTAGGGACTCACTGCTCTCGGGAGGAGACTCCTGATGCCGTGGTTTTAAGAATTCTTTTCCCAGATGATTTCACAATAAAGGGATCAGCATAGAAGAACAAATGAATTTTAGTAGGACGTTTCATCACCGAAACATAACACTTTTAAGAATCCATAAGATTTATGCACTTTGAAGAATCCATAGGACAGTTTCAGAATGCTTTTGAAGTGCCCATGTTAAGGTGGTTTCTTTTTTTAAAGCTTTAGAAGAAGCTGTGTTTGGATAAGCTGCATTTTACTCCCTCAATCCTGCATTGTAAGTACACATTCCTCCAGTGCTCTGGGGCTGCTAGGGAAGATTGGGGCCAGGGAGTAGCTTACCTAACAGGTGACATGCACTCCTTACCTTGAAGGAGTATGCTTAGGACCATCCCAAGAGGGACTGAAAGGGGCTCATGGTTTTGATAGGCTAATGCTAAATCAAAGCACTTCAGTTTCTACAGCACACAGCCGCAGAGAAAAAAGGTGTGTGTGTGTGGGTGTGGGTGTGTGTGTGGGGGGGGGGGGGGGGGGCGCTCCACAGCTCCCGGAGAATGCACCAGGTCCCAAAAAGAGCCAAGATCACCGGGAAGTCCCAGATGGGGTAGGTGCCACATCCCGCCTCCTCCAGATGGAACCCCGGTGACCAGGAGCCTCTACAAGCATAGCTCGAGTATGCAGGAACCAGGACTCCAAACCACGCGGCCGCTTATGCGGCTGCACGACATCTCCCTATATACAAAATGATCAATGGAAAGTAAATCATCCAACATTTCTCCCTGAAAATCAGGCTTAACTCTTATACAAACCACAACACCCAATAGGAGAGAGAGAACAAAAGGGAATGCCCTGCCACAGAGACACGGTTGGGTGGGGGGGGGGGGGAGGGGGAGGGGGGAGGGATACTGGGATCCGCAGTGGTGGGAAATGGTCACTGGTGGAGGGATGGGTATTCAAAATAAATAAATAAATTTACAAAAAAATAGATAATAAACAATTTTGAGAAATGAAAAAAAAAAACAAAAACAAAGCACTTCAGTTTCAAGAAGGAAGTGCCAAGGCAGAAACATCACAACTTGGGGTCCCACAGGAAAGCCTAGAGACAGGGTGGCTGACTCCAGGGGCTCTGCCACCTATCCCTGCAGGGGATTTCCCTGCGGGTGGGACAGAACTTGATGGTCTGAGCCATGTTCTGAGCCAAGCCAGTGAGGAAGAACTAGACATGAGTTGGGGGAAAGGCCCTTCTATGCAGGAAACCTATCAGCTCATGGACCCAGCACTTCCATTTATTTAACAACTGTTTTTGCCAAGTTGTTTTCCTTATCACATAATAAACTATGATCTCAGAACTGTGCATCCCCACCTGGGCGGGAGGCTCTACCGGGGACCAAGGCTCCTCTCCGACCCACTTCTTGCCATTTCTTAACCAGGAAACGCAATCTACAAAAAAAAGGGGGGGGGGTGAAAAAGAAGAATTAGAAAAGGGTTGGGGACACAGTACAGGGCTAGAGCACTTGCCTTGCATGTGACTGACTGGGATTTGATCCCCAGCACTATCTATGGTCCCTGAACCCTGCCAAAAATGATCCCTAAACAAAACCAGGAATAAGGCCTGAGTGCCACCAGAAGTGGCACAAAAAAGAAAATTCTACAAACTAATAAAAACTTAACCAAAAGCATAATTTTCATCATTCACTTTGAAATGCTCAAAATTCCCAGTCACACTTGGAAAGTGACCCCCATGCAAAGGAGGGTTGGGTGGAATGCAATGCCTTCAATGGGATGAAGCTGATGATCCTGGGAAGGGGAAGGAAAGAAAGGCCTTCCCTGGCATTCTGCAGAGCCATCCCACTCCACCCCAGGGCACAGGGCACAACCTAGAGGGGCCCACATATCAGTAGCTCATCTTAGGCAAATGTTCCTTTTATGTGACACAAATTTAACCAAAGTATAGAAAACTCAAGTTTGAAGAAAATGCAGTTTTTAACTAGACCAGATATGCCTGCTGCCAGAAAGAACTTTGGCAAGAGATACATTGTGAGGCAAAGCATTTCCTGACCAAGAGGCAGCCTTCAATCCTTTTGTTGCAGAAGGTGACCATTTGTCTAGTTTTGTGTACAAGCATCATGAGTCACTACTTCAAAGGCCTCTGTCTCGAGAGCTATTGCCTTCAGATCCCCAGTGTGATTTCCATTCACAAAGACAGTGGTGCATGTTGGGGCTATACCTTAAGATGGCAATCACCACCCTCACGGCGGTCCGGAACTTTGTGAAAGGACGAGACGTCACTCTCCTGTCTGTTTTAGAAGGAAATACTCCCAGGTGAGCAATCATGGACAGTGTTTCCTGCTCAGAATCTTGGAATCCACCAATCAGCAGTAACAGATACTTCTTTTGATAGATCAGGGCTTTCCTAAAGCTCTCTGCTCTCAAGTAATGCAGGTACAATTTTTCCATCTGAAAAAACACAGCACTTGATCACTGAACAAAGAACCCTGCAGGAACAGCTTACACCAACCACTGGTACCAAGAGCTTTGAATGGGGCCAGGGAGCAGCTTGCCTAATAGGTGGTATGCACCTCCCCACCCTAGCACTGTTAGGTGGGGCCCGGGTAACCCCTGAACACTGAAACAGTCAGACCCACATTACCAGTGGAGAGGGGCTTTTAAAAGTTAGCTCTTGCCCCTCAAGGGGAAAATAAACTATCAAGGAACCATGGTGCTTTCTTCAGCAAATACCCAGAAATCAGTCAAGACCTATGTGAGCAGAGATTATCGTGCTGCTACAAATCCTATCATGATCACTAAATACAACAAAGCCACTGGTGCCACAGCTGCCAAGAGCCCATAATTTGACCATTAAGGGCTCTCTGGCAGGGAGGGGGACTTAGGGAGGGTCAATGGAGAATCACACAAAAGGGGAGTGCTGTATGAGCCCTGGAATCACCCAGAGGTTGGTGTCTAGCCTCTTCAGCTCCCTCAAGGGGGCCAGGTTGAGATAATACACCAAGGTTGAAGGGCTACCCAAGCTACAGAGAAGAGCACTGCTCACATCACACTGATCCGTGACCTCTGCAGAACAGGACCAAACATCTAGTCAGCTGCTCCTCAATGCACTCCCCAGGATAGCCCGCCTGCTAGAGAAGGCACATGTGGACTTTATGAAAGCAGCAAGCACAGAGGACCTAGTCTATATCCACTGAGAGGTGGCAGAAGTTTCATCTATGTATCCAAATCCATGGGAGAAGTGCCACAGAGGCTGTAGCTGTGGGATTATGGACAGAAAAAAACCCACATCCAATATGTGTTGACAGTTGGAGAGGCTGGCTTGGGACATATGGGAACTCTTGTGATTCCCCTACATGTTTCTGGGACCCTGAAACTGCTGTCCAAAGAGGTATCCTGAGAAACAGGTACCCAGCCTACCCCACACAAGGCCTTACTTTGAAGCTGCCAGAGTCAGCATCCTCACTGAGGGCCGGGGCCCTCACTCCTGGCTCTGGATGCTGGGAAGAGATCTGCAGAGCCGTCTTGTCAAGCTTCCGCATAGATTTGTCCGACCTCTGAAAGGAACCACCAACAGCATTATGTAAAGTTGTTGTTCTCACAACAGCACAGGACTGCAGCGGAGAAGCAGGAGGCAATAGTTCTCAGCCCCGGGGTTCCCAAAGACTCAGCCCCCAGTTGTTAGTATCCTACCGGCTACATGGATAAGACCAACACAATGGTACTGACATGTTTAAAATTGTCCTTGACGAATCCCTCAGTTCAAACACAAAAATTAAGTACAAATGGATCACTAAGTGAAACTAAAACTTCTGCCCTAACACTCAAAAGAGCAAATGAGCACATCATACATGTCACTTCATTCAACACTTTTTTCCGAGGTTCCTACATCCTGCAGAGATGTAGATCTGCAGAATCAGGGAGTTAGATATTTGCAAATCATCTGACAGGGAGGTGTATCAGAATATGAAAAGAACACCCCAAAAAACAATCATTAGAGACAGGCCAAAGACTAACAAACACTTCCTCAATGGAACTACATAGAAACTGCCAGATTGATACCACATGACCCCCGAGCAACACTGCTAGATTTGATCCTGAAGGCCCGCAGGACTGCCAGCGCAAGCCCAGCTCACATACTCCTGGTCCAGCTCTGGAGGAGCAGTGTGGGTCTCAGAGCTCAGTGCATAGCCCCGAGCATCAAGTGTGGGATCCGGGGCTCAGTGCATAGCCCCTAGCGCCAGGTGTGGGACCTACGCTCAGTGCACAGCCTTTTAGCAAGTGGTGTTTCAGGGTCTTCTCCAGCTTGGACACCGCCCGGCACAGCTCCGCTTTCTCCTCAGCCACTGTGCCAAGTGCCTTGCGGAGAGACTCGTTGTCATTCAGCAAAACATCCACCAGCTGGACATGGAGCCCTGCTGCCATTTTCTTCTACAGAAGGAGAAAAGAGAAAAAAAAGTGTAAAGTTGTTTTGCTGAAAAGCATACAATCTGTTTTCCATTTTTATTTAAAATGTTTTGTGTGTTTTAGGAGCCAGAGTGATAGTATAGCCAGTATGGCACTTGTCTTGTACATGGCTGACCCAAATTCAATCTTGGCATCTCATATGGTCCCCCAAGACCCACCAGGAGTCATTCCTGAGTGCAGAGCCAGGAGTAAATCCTGACACCAATGGTGTGGCAAAAATAAATAAATAATTCTTTTTTGGTTTTGGGCCACACCTGGTCCAAAATCCAGTTGATTCCTTCTCAATCCTCTGAGGAACAGAGGATTATTAAGAGTTGAGCTGACATCATAACCTCTTCCCACATCCCCTGTCTTAGGTTCTAAGAGTTCCATCAAAATGTGACTGGGGCTCACTGCACCCTCCTCTCCCAGATGAAAAACCCTTTAACCCACAGAGGGCACAGGCCCCTGGGCAGGAAGTTGCTGGTGAGTAGGGACAGAGTGTAAGAGCAGTAGCATTCCCCCTGCCTAATTTGCACGACCTCTTCAGATTAACATTGTGGTTCCCACCAGCCAGTCACAAGGAACTGACACTAGTGACCTCTGCTGCAGCTAACAGGCTCACAATTTCCAGCTCAGACTGGGAATCTCACTTCTAGTGAAGCTCTCAATATCAAGGAGAAAGACCAGCTGGGCCAAGTCCTGTCTGCTCAAGTGCCTTATCGTGCAGAACAGACAGGAGCCCCAAAGAAGGAGACATGGGCACTGCTCACCGGGGAGGAGCTGGGTACAGTCAACTCTGACTTGAGCTCCTGCAAGGTACGCAGCAAAGAAGCCACTGCCTTCTCGTTGGAGGACGTCCAGTCATGAATTGTCCTGCAGACATTGAAAGGCATTTGTCATCTCCCCCAGAGGTTTTGGCGTCACCAGGCTACCACCTTGTGGTGGTCAGGAAACCACACAGTGTAAGATCAAGTTCATGGCCTGTACAGGCCAGACATGTGCTGTTTCCAGCTCTCTGGACAGTGTCCCTGGCCCCAACGAGACATCCAAAAGGTTTGGCTTGGGCCTGGAGCAATAGCACAGCGGGTAGGGCGTTTGCCTTGCATGCAGCCAACCCAGGTTCTATTTCTAGCATGCCATATGGTCCCCCAAGCACTGCCAGGAGTAATTCCTGAGTACAGAGCCAGGAGTAAACCTTGAGCATCGCCGGGTGTGACCCAAAAAGCAAATGAATGAATGAATGAACGAATGAATAAATAAGGCAGGCACACAGGAATTCTGCTCTGAGGATGAGCAAAGGTGTGTGCAATGTCCCAGGTCCCATATGGACCATGGAGGAACACACCATGAGATGTGTCCAAAAAGGTAAGAGTCCATGGTGGGGCTGGGGGTGGGGGGGTGAGTCCCTGGGTCCCATAGGCATCTAGTCTGTGAGACCTTTCTGTGTGGCCAAGAAGGCCTATACTGCTCTCTGCCAGGATGCTGTGGCAGGAATCAAAACTCTCAGCGATGTCCTGCTCTAGGGAAAGAGAGAGGCGACAGGAACCCAGATTCTCTTGACTTTTAGCTATATGGTAGCCACCCCAGAGATTCAGGGAAGGTGAACACAGAGACTCCTGACCCTATACCCCTTGCAGTACCAACTCCTCTCTGGGTAAAGGACAAAAAAATCAGACTGGGCACAGGGAGAAGGTATCTAAAATAACATAAATGGATTTATGTCCTGTTAGTAACAAAATCTAACTTTGCCACTACTTTTCAGAAGAGAGCTGCCCATGCCTCCATCCAAACATGGAAAGAGAAATGGAGTTTTATGAGTATCTGAACCTGAAGGTCAGAGAGGTAATTCCGGGCTTAAGGTATATGCCTAGAATGTGAGTGACCCTGGTTTCTCTTTCACACGCGCATATTCTCTCACACACCAGACACATTCATATTTTCACAATACTCTCAACATATACACTTATATTCTCATGCATGCACACACTCATACACACATATTCACACTCATGCTCTCACATACTCTAACCCATATGCTCTCACACACATTCAGTCTCAGCCACACACACACTCCTCTTTTTCTATCTCTCCATCCCTCTTCCTTTCCCTCTATCTCCCTCTCTCCCACCCTTCCTTCCTCCCAGTGATTCTTACTGAGAGGAGCTTCCAGACCCCACAGTAAACACTTGGAGGAACAGTAACAACAAAAAGAACCTGAAACCTTAGAATGCGGCTACTGGAACTAATGTTCAAGTGACACACCTGTCCAAGGTCTGGTTGATGAAACTGGTCAGCAGCCCCGCAGCACACAGTAGCTGCTGCCGGATCTTCTCCAGTCCCTGCTGCTGTGCATGCAGCTGCTCCGACTGTGCGCTGGGCCGTGCGGCACCCTCCGCTTGCAGCTCTCCCAGCATCCGCTGCAGCTGTTTCATCTTGTGCTCACTGCGCTGACACTGCAGCTCCAATTCTCGCTATGGTGATGGCAAAACAACATAGAAACACCTTCACTTAGTGCCCCTAGGGCCCATCACGCGCAGTAGAAGGTCCTTCCCTGGAACTGGATCCCAAGTTGATCCAGCTCTGCACAGGTCTCCCTCAGAGCCATCTGGTCATCCCCCAATAGCTCCCACTGGGCATTATGAGTAAGGAGAACCACACAGATGCCACATTTCTGAGTCTCAAGGGTTGTTAGATCCAAGACAATTCCCAGAGTGAAGGTCAAGACCTCAAGAAGAGGAAACAGGATAAAGAGTCCCAGATCCAAGTTCTGGACCCCTGAGACACAGACAAGACGACCCACAGACAAAAACACATACGCACAATTCACAACACATTCATACATTTATTCAAACAGACACACACCACACAGTCATACATGAATTCAAATACACATTCACATACTGCACATTCATACACTCATTCTTACCCACTCTTTCTTACTCAGCCACACACATGTGCACAAATCCAGACACACAAAGACACACACATTGCACATTCATCCCACTTACCACACAGACACATACATTCAGACACACACCATTCATCCACACACAGGCATGTACACATATTCACACACACCACACATGGAGGTCCAGTCCCTGGAAGACCAGCCTGAGGCTGGCACCAAAGTGGGAATGGCAGTGGCAGGCCCCTGGCCTTGGGGTGTAGGACAAGAGGCACCTATCTCTCTGTGTCAGGCTCCAGGCCCAGCACAAAGCCCTGCTCTGCAGGGAGTCAGAGAACACAAAGAAGAGCAAGGAGGCATCTTCTGGAGCTCCTGGGGTGGGCCTCACCAAGGAGAACCTCAGGAGTCAGAACCAGAGGCAATGGTTTCCCCCGGAACCTACATGTGCTAAACCTCAGTTCAAACAGGGCACCTGCAGCACCTACTTCCATGCGGAAGCCAGACAATGTGTGTGTGTGTGTTGTGGGGGGAGGGGGGGGAGAGGGGTAGAAATATATGAGCACCTCAAGTCCCAGGTCAGGGAGTTGGGTGCAGGGCCACCCAGCCCCCACTCCACACCATCACTCCATTGAAGGGCATTTACCACAGGGACCACCTGATCCAGAGCGCATGTGTGACCCTTGGACACTGGGAGAGAGAAGCATGCAGAAGGGTCCACAGAGCAGGGGGGAGTGGGAGTTGCTGGGTGCAGCTCCATTCTAGGGTGATGAGAATGTTCTGAATTGACTGCATTGAAGCACAACTCTGAGAATACTTCACCTGATATCATACAAAGAATGCACAACAGAGCCACAGACCAATCTCTCATTAACAGAAATGCAAAGTCCTTAACAACACATCAGCACACTCCATCTGGTGCTATGTAGAAGACTCACGCACCCAGATCCAGCAGAATTCATCCCAAGAAAGCCAGGATGGCTCTGCCTGAGGGAGTTATGTGCATTACTCAGCACACCAACCCAAAGGATAAAACCCGTGACTCCAGACTGACGAAGCTCCTGAGTGCAGATGACTACGGAAGGGGCAAGGGGTATTTCCTCTGATGATCTCAGAGTTGCCATTTCTTCCCAGGGAAAGACTCGCTGCTGTCCCAGTCAGGAAAAGAGTGAGACACTGACCCTCACCACCACCCAGGCCAGGCAAGAAGTGAAAGGGCAACTACATCTGCTGGCACAGGACAGCACCTTGCAGAAGGCAATCCAGAGACTCCATTAGAAAAAAACAGAACTAAGAAACAGTTGTAAAAGACTGAAGAAGTAAGATCAACCTATTGAAGGCAACAGTATTGCCTCAAAATGAAATTAAGAAAATAATTCCACTTAGAAACATTAGCGTCAAAAATCATGCTGGAGAAAAATGTAATGGAAAGTACGAACTTATCATCTGAAAGAAACTGCAGAGGGGGGCCAGAGTGATAGTACAGCGGGTAAGGCATTTGCCTTGCATGCAGCTGACCCAGGTTCAATCCCCAGCATCCCATATGGTCCCCCAAGCACCACCAGGAGTAACTCCCGAGTGCAGAGCCAGGAGTAACCCTAAGCATTGCTGGGTGTGACCAAAAAAATAAGTAACTGTGGAGGCCAAGAAAATGGGATTTCACTTTCTAAAGGGTGAGCTCCCGCTGCAGGCCAGCTGATACCCAGTAATGCCAGGCAATGAGCCATTTCAACCAAAATCCCAGCAGCTTATCTGTAGAAAGGGAGCAGCCACCCCGGGCTGCCATGCAAGTCTGGAAGAAGGTCACATGGAGCATCAGCTTCCAAGTGAAGAACTTGCTACCAATCCACAGTGACCAAAGCCAGCTGTGTCAGATCCTCTAGTGTGTGCTGGTGGCTCTCACCAGTTTCTCCTTGTCTCTCTGCCATTGCTGCCACTTGTCTGTGTCGGCTGGGCTCAGCTGGGCTCGGCTGCGCAGGGGCCTGTGGCCCTGCTGCTCTCTCCGTCTCCCGTGCAACTGCTCTAGCTCTGCCTGCGCTCCCTGCAGCAAGCCTCCTGGCTCTGGGTGCTGGGCCTGCAGGGCCTCCACGGTGGCCCTCAGCACGGCACTCACCTCCTTCTCTTTCTGCAGCTCTGTGTAGCGCCTCTGTGCCTCAGCCTCCAGCCGCTGCTGTGTGCGCATGGCCTGCTGCTGTGCCTTCTGCAGTGTGGTCTGCAGCTCCCGCACCCGGGCCTGCTCCTCCTCCAACTTCCGCAGCAGTACCTGCTGTGCCTGCGTCTCCTGGAGGGCACAGACCTCCTGGGCTCTGCGGCTTAACTGCTCTGTCAGGACACGCTCATGATGCAAGGCCTCGGTCAGCTCCTGTGTGCGGTTGCGCTCAGCCTCCAGGCTCTGCTGTAGCTCAGATAGGCGGCCCCGCTCCTGCGTCAGCAGTGCCTCACAGCGAGACGATTCAATCCGCAACTCCTTCTGGAGATTGTCCTTGGTCATCTGTTCATGCTTCAGTGCAACACACAGGCGGTTACTGCGAGCAAACTGCTTGTCCAGAGACGCCTTTAATTCCTGCATTATGAAAAAGGAAGGAAATTCAATGGAAGAGCAAAGGGAGGGAGGGAGGGAGGGAGGGAAGGAGGGAGGAGGGTGAGAGAGGAAGGCAGGGAGAAAGAGAGCAAGAGAAACAGCAACCCTCTCTCTCCAGCTTCCCAAATTCCAATTCCCATTGTCCAGCCAACACTCAGATACTCAGCAATGCTCCCTCAAATTGCAAGGAGGCAGGATGGAGTGTCACTGCAGCTTCACCCCAGGAGCAACGCTGGCTGATGGGTGCATGGGGGCACCCATCCAGATGCACCCTGGCACTCGCCACAAGATGCCAGCCATATATCTGGCCCCTGGGCCATGGACAGCGTCAAACTGGGAATAATGGTAAACAAGTTCAGGAGCCGGAGGACACATGCCAAACAGTGGAGCACCACCCAGAGCAAGCACCTCTGATCAACATACTGCCGGCTGCAGAGACGCAGCAAGCTCTCAATCACACAGCCAACCCTCTCAATCACCACCACCACCAGGATGCTGAGTCACGGAGCAGCCCAGGAGAGGATGCTACCCGCTGCCGTCCAGTACCTCCACGCTTTTAGTGCTCTGGCCCTCTGTGTGCAGGTGGCGCTGGCGCTCCTCCTCAAGCTGGCTCTGCAGGGTGCACTCCCGCTTGCGCTGGCTCTCCAGCTCCAGAAGCGCCGCACGCAGCTCCTTCTCTTTCCCATGCAGTACAGATCTATGCGGGGACAAGACCAGCATCGGGTACACTGCAGGTGGGGAAGTCCTGCTTCACCTTATTCTCTGCCCGTGCGCCCAGTCCCTCCCCTCAACACCTTCCCAACACCTGTCCCCACCCTGAGCACAGCAGCCCACCAGGGGCCACACCTCAGCTGGAGAACCTCCTTCTGCACGTCATTGAGGGACTGTAGCAGTCTTTCATTCTCCTGTGTACACTCGCAGAGCTCAGATTTCAGATCCTTCGCAGTGTTCTGTGCCACCACCAGAAGCTTCTGACTGTTACTTGCTTTCTCTTGCTCTTCATTCAGCGTTTTTTGTAGCTCACTTGCTGTGCATTTTTCTTGCTCAACCTTATATGCCAATAACTCAACTATAAAGAGAAAAAGAATGTGGAACGGCAGGAGCCAGAGTTAGAGCAGTCATGCAGAGACTACAGGGAACAGACCTGCCTTGGAAAGGGGTCAGGGGGTGGAGGTGGGGATGGGGGAGTTGATGAAGCTCCTGCGAGAGCAGCCACGCAGAAACTGCAGAGAACAGACCTGCCACGGAAAGTGGGGGTAGGGAGTGTGGAGGTGAAGCCACTGGGACCCGGAACCTATTTGTTTCAAGGAGGACCCAAAGACAGGCAGGCAGTTAGTGGGTTAGCCCACAGGGCTATGCGGGGCACATGGTGGGCTCCCAGACGTGAGGCCAGGCTCTGGATAGCCCCTGGGGCTCCAGGATCCCCACAAGGCAGATGAGGCTTCAGAGAACACACCTGCTGTGCGTGAGAACTGCATGCGAGCTTTCCTGTGGTTATCCTAGAGACATTCTGCATCTCTACAAAGAGCTAGGCAGGAAGGGCTCTGCCTCAGCACAAAGGGCCCCACTCCCAAAAGCAGACATAAACCCAGGACACACAGGGTGATGCAGCCTGCAACAATGTTGGGTGACAGGCCACACCACCAGACACGACAAACAGCCACAGGGCCAGGGAGAGGCTCAAGGGACTGAGCCCGTGCTTGGCATGCAAGAGCTGAACCTACGCACACCATGCTAAGCACCACTGGGTGTGGCCTCCTAAAAGGCAATCACCACAGCAGAGAGGTAAGAGTACTTGAGAGTACTTAAGAGTACTCAAGAGTGGCTTAAGCCACAGTTTCTGGGGATTTTACTTATTGGGGGAGGAGGGGGAACAGGAGGAATAATACCTGGTTACGTTCAGGGTTTACTCCTGTATCTGTGCTCAGGGATTATTCCTGATGGTGCTCAAGAGACCATATGGGGTGCCGGGGATCGAACCTGAGTCAGCCGTGTGTAAGGGAAGCTCCTTCCCTGCTGTGCTATCGCTCTGCATCCAAACAGCCCACTATGGGGTGGGGACCATGAGGGGTCCCACCTCACCACAGCAGGAAGAAGAGCATAATCTGCCTCATTTGTAGATAACAGGAAATTTACATTAAAGACCCCAAAGAATCAACAACCCAGAGGGTAGTTCCAGGCTCTTGGCTGTGGCCCGGCAGTACCCACACTGGGGATGCAGTTGCCTACTCTGCCCGCAAGGTTCCACCTCTATCTGGGCTCACAATTTAAGCCAGGCTTGCCTGGTACTCAGGCAGCGAACCCTGCTCTGTGCTGTAGCCCCAAAAGGCCCCAAAATCGCTCATAGGGGAACGTGAGAGGTACCAAGGCTGCACCCACCTTGTCTGCGCAGCTGGTGCTCTCGCCGGCTCCCTCGGGCCTCGGTGCTAGTTAGCGCTGTGCATAGCTGCTGCAGCTTCTCCTGGTTCTGCAAGTGTGTCAGACGCAGCTGAGCACGCAGAGCCTGGATCTCCGACAGCAGGCGGGTCCTCTCTGACGGCTGCGGGGGTTCCAGAGACTCCTTCTGACCCTGGGGAGCAGCAAGTGCAGGCTGAGACTGGATGGTGGAACCCCCCAATTCTGGGCTGCACATGCCCAGCCCCACACTTCCACCCAGGACACTGTACCTAGTATAGGACACAGGTCATGGCTGACTGCCCCCTCCCGAGGATTCAACTACCTGCTCACGCTTTTGGGTTGCTGGGGTTGGAAGCCCCTTTAGAACCGATGTCGGATCCACAACACCATGGCCTTCCCACAGGAAATGCTCGAGCGAGACACTGGGCTCCCCCTTGCTCAGGGCACTTGGGGGGACCTGGAACTCGGACAAGGCCAGTATCTGGTGGCTCTCATCACACACCATCTGAAGCAGAGCCTGCAGGAGACAGAGAAGGGGAGTAACTGAGTTTAGGGAAGAGGAGGTGGTGGTGGTGGTCTGAGTTGGGGGAGTGCTTGTGGAAAAGCAGCTTGAAGGGACAGTGCGGGAGTCTGGCAGCCTCCAACCCCTCTCGGGACAACTGAAAATACAGAAGCAGCCTGGTGCAGAGGGGCACTTTGGGATGAGCCTGAGGGATCCAATGAGAAAATCCCTCACCAAGCTGGAGACTCAAATGATCAGGGTTAAGCCTGCTGGGAGAGTTGGGCACCAGCAAGGGAGAGGGAGAGAGAAAGAGAGGGAAGGAGAGACAAAGGGAGGAAAGAAAAGAGGTGGGAGGGAGGGAGGGAGGGAGGAAGAGAGGGAGGAAGGGAAGGAGAGAAAAAAGGAGATGGAGAAAGGAGGCAGGGAGGGAGAGAGATGGAGAAAAAAAGGGAGGAGGTAGAGACAAATGAGGGACAGAGGGTAGGAGGGAGGGAGAGAGGAGGGATAGATGAGAGAGGAAGTAAGAGAGCGGGAGGGACAGATATGGGAGAGAGGAGAGAGGCAACCATGGGAAAGCGAGGCAATGGGCAGTTGGAAGGATAAGCAGGGAAGGCAGTATCCCCCATGTGCGCCCAAGCTGGGCGCTGGCAGGAGAAGCCCTGGCCACATACAGGAGTCCAGTCACCTACACACACCTACACACACACCTACACACAACACATACACGCCCTGCACAGTGGGCAGAGTCTCTGTGCCCTTCTGCTGAGCTAAACTGGAAGATGATCCCACTTTTCTCTCTTGTGGTCCAAAAAGCAGCCACACTGCTAGCATGGTATATGTGCGACCATGCAAGCAACTAGTGACAGGTCGTGGTGCTACCCATTCCTGAGTCGGTGACGGGGCTGCCCTGCTCCCTGTGCATCACCTTCACTTGCTGTGGGTGCAGGTCCTTCTCCTTCATGGCGGCTGAACAATGGCGCGACTTTCTGGAAGTGGGGGAAGGCACAGCAGGAGAAGCAGCTGCGAGGCTCTGGATATCTTGGGTCAGTGTCTCTCCAAGCCCTGAGCTATCACCTAAGTACACACAAGGGCAGGGTCCAAAACCACAGTTCTTAGAGGCATACCCTGGGCACTCCTCAAAAGCATCAGTGAGTCAATAATTCGCTCAGAAAAGCAGTGACAAAGCCAGCCACCTAGATAGATAAAAGCAGGTCAGTGTGGCAACCACTGATGGAGCTGGCGGGCAGTTCGGGACCGAACAGCACAGCTCCCCATGCTCCCCAGTTTCTGCCCAACTCACAGTGGGAGGGAGAAAATGATACAGTCCTGGGACATGACACTGCTGAGAGCCAGGCCCTACGAGGGAAGCTGGAGGCTCCCCACTCAGGTAAGGAGGAAGCAAAAGTCACTCCACATTTTTGGCCAGCTGCCCCTGGATGTCCTCCACACAGTCCTGAGCCGTGAAAGGTGGGAAGCTGCATGGCAGCGTTAAGAGCAGATGCCACCGTGGGCCAAAGCACATGCCCACACATGCCGAGCATGAGCAGTTGTGAACAGAACACCACAAAGTACCAGCAGATTTTTCAGGAGCAAAATGCCATCAAGTTCACAAATTCCTTGAGCACAGACCCAGAAGATCACGTGGAGACACAAGGGGTGTCACGAGACAGCGGGAGCAGACCCATCAATTGCCACCATGCTTGAACATCACAGAACACACAGCTGGCAGGAAATGGTCACTCACCCTTTCCATTCCCATCACTCTTCCCTTCCAACTCAGGGGGAGGTGAGCTTGATTTTTCTTGAGTATCAAGAGATGTTATGATAAAATCTTCAACATCTTTCTCCTGTTCAAGTAAGTAAGCTCTTAAATAGTCATGAAGTAACTTTATACAAGATAGAAACTTTCTAAGGCTTGAAATCAGATTATCTGCCTAAGTACAAGCCAAAAAATGCTCAGAACGTATGTCAAGACACATAAGTCAAGTGTCTCTAATAATCTATGTTACTACTTCTCAGAGATTATGTTTTTCGGTCTAAATAAAACCCTCAGGTTTTTTAAACGTAACATGGGGGCCAGGGATATGCTCAGTGATAGGTAGAGCACATGCCTCAAATATTTGAGACTCTGGGTTCACTCTCTAGCACTCCTTTTTGAAAAATAAATAAAACAAGGGCTGGAGCAACAGTACAGTGGTTAGGACATTTTCCTTGCACAAGGCCAACCCAGGTTCAATCCCCAGTATCCCACATGGTCCCCCCCAAAGCCCAACAAGAGTAATTCCCAAGTCATTCCCAGGAGTAACCCAAGCACCACCAAGTGTGGTCTCAAAACAAAAACCAAACCAAAAAAAAAAAAAAAACCAGCATAAACTATCTGCAATCTGCTGGGTTACACCTCACATAACACGTATCCCCTGGTTTTTTCTTTTCTTCTAGGCCTTTAAAGAAAAATCTCAAAGCTGTTAGAAAAATGTAGTCAAAAGTAACTTTTAAAAAAGCACATTGAAGTATCAATATTAATTTTAACACTAAGTGCAACCCGTTAAATATGAAATACAGAGGTCAGAGTGATAATACCGCAGATAGGGTGCTTGTTTGCCTTGCCTGTGGCCAACCAGGATTCAATTCCCGGCACTACATATGAAACCCCAAGCCCCTCAGAAGTGATCCCTGAGCACTGCTGGGCGTGACCCCAAAACAAACAAGAAATAGGAAATAAAACTTTGAAATGTGAAGAACACTCCGCTGTGAGGAAACTGCATGCAGCCTGCGCAAAAATGGTTTTCGTGACTGAGTCCCTGAGTTGGCAGCACCGGCCTACAGCTCGTCAGACAAGCACCACCATGTCAAGAGAAGACATCACTTGGGGGAAGCCAGGTGGTGGGGTGAAGACAACAGGGTTCCTTCCAGTGGCCAAGCCCTCTCCCAATCGCTGTGGGAGCCCTCTGGAGACTGGCTGTCCCTCCACACTACACATGGTAGTGTCAGCAGTGACACAACAATGCCGCAGCTGTGACCCTAACCCACGCCACACTCCCCCAGGGGGAGCCCTCAGGCGCCCAACCTTGAGAGCTGTGAGCGGGCCACCTACCACAGATGTCCGCTGCAAGTGCTGGTCTGCTGAGGATATTCTGTCCACTACTGGTGGAGACTTCTTTGGTGCAGAGACCTCCGGAGGACCGAGCAGCCCCGGGCGGCTAGCCTGGGACACTAAGTCACTCAGTCCGCCCTGCAGTGACACATCCAGGCTGTACTGGCTCAGGACATCCATGCATGGGGTGAGGGGCAGGCCAGGCTGGGGCTCGAGGGATGAGTCTTTCCTGAGCAGCTCAGGAGAACTCCAGGAAGACAGGTCCAAAGCCCTGAGTGCGTTCTTCAAGCACTCAGCCCCAACATGTGCATGGCTGAGTTCACTGGGGCTGCAGCATGAGCTGGCCTGGGGGGACCCTGGGCGGTCCCCATCAGGGATCCTCCACTGCCTAACTCCTCCCATAGGGCCCTGAGCCCCAAGCCAGGTGACCAGATCCCGCGTGGCTTCATCAGCAGGAGATGCTGTCGGAGGACACAGTCCATCGGCCTCTTCTCCGTCACTGGTGCTGCCGCCTGCCTCTGCGTTCTGGCTCTGGGAGTTCATGCAGTGTACCAAATGGTTCAGTTTCTCTTGCAGCTGCTTCACTTGGGTTATGAGGTCGACTTTTCCCGGCTGATACTTTCCCAGGGACTCCTCCTCGTCCTGCAAGTAAAAAAGCATGTGGGGTCACCATGAGACAAATCACATGGGGCATGGGGTCAGGAATCTCCCCCGTCGAGCTGGAGCACTGGGGGTGGGAGCAGGTGCAGCCTCAGGGGCAGGGGCAGGGGTAGGGGTAGGTGCCACTCCTCTGTACTAGACACTTCCAGGGGTAATGAAAAGGGGATGATATGTAAGTTCGGGACAGTTCATCACTTCAAGGTTTCCAGGGCAGTAAGAATCAGGTTCTGGGAGCCCACAGACACAAGTGTGCACAGCAGCTGCATCTGCTCCACAGCTGCAACTTGGGGAGGCCTGAGACTTGCAGCAGACCCGCTGGAGGGAAAATCAGGTCAAACCTGTCAGACTCATGCCCTCGGCTTCTCAGCAGCAGGCCCACCCCGCCCAGGCTCTGGCGAGAGCAGGAAGCAAAGGATCCAGCTCCATACAAACATTCCCAATAGCAGGAAGCTCAGTGGCAGGTATCAGTACAGACACAACAAGCACTGTGACCCCTGGGGCGAGGGCCTGTCATCAGAGCAGAGAGTGGGGTGGGGGGGTGCACTTATAGGAACTCTTCAGTTCTATAGACAGATGAAGGAGATGCATGAGCTGGATCTGCCAGGCAAACAAGAACCAAAGCTGCTCCCCAGGCCACTGTCACCCTGATTCCTGTGCCAACTTACTGAGGACAAAAGGATCTTCTAGAGGGAACAAAGGTCAACCCTATGTGCAAACACTGAGATATACAGGTCTCTGACTCACAGGACAACCTGGGGTTTCCTGGCTGCAACTTCCTTCAGCATTCATATATGCCCTTATCATGAGAAGCTACAGACAGTTTCCTGACATGATTTGAAAAATCCCAAGGCCAGACTCTGTCATCCAGCACAGCGGAGGGGTGAAGGCTGGGGAACAAAAGGCCTTAGAACTCATGGGGCCACTAGTACTCACAGTCCACTCTGGGAGCAGTCCCCAGGAGGTTAGTCAGGACCAGCAGGGCCCCTGCACTCCAACTCCAGAATCTGTCAGTTGCTACCCCAGCAACCACTGTGGCGTCTGCCGTAGGACAAGGGACCTGAGGCTCTATACATAAGCAGCTATGGAACAGGCCCAGCTCACATGGAAAAGCAGCAGGAACGGAAGTTTACACCCGGGGTGCCAACTGCCATGGTCCATGTGCCCACCACGCCCAAGATAAGAAAGATCAACTTCCCAGTGGCACCTATTCAGTCTGCAGGGCAGAAATGGTTCTAGTTGCTCTGCTCACCTTGTGGGGAGCAGTAATGAAGCAAGCAGGAAGAGTCAGAGGCACCAAAGCTCGATCCACATCTCGTAGGAAAGGGACCCTGGTCCCATAGCACCTGGGCAGGGACTGGTATTCACAGGACATAGCCAGAGCCCACCCTGGGCCTAGTTCCCCCTTGTCCCAGGCAGGCAGGAAGAAAGCACTACCGCTAACCAATCCCCCAGCAGACAGGTTTGGCACCCAGAAGGATGTGTACTGCTCTGCTGGGACAAGCGCTATCTGGCCCAGACCATAGGCAAATGCTGTGGGCCACGGAGCCACACGCAGCCATGCCACACTGTGCCATACCTGCACAGGCACTGATTCGCTGCCGAGGTGGCCCTCAGCCTTCACCAAGAGCAGCTCAGGGCACAGTTGCTGCTGGCGGGCACTGAGCACCGACATGTCGTCACGCTTGAGGGTTCCAGCATCAGTGAAAACCACCAGGGCTTTGTCCGGGTGCAGCTCTGCCGCCACTGGACTCTGCAGAACAGACAAGGATGAGGGGCTCAGAAAGACACAGGGACGCATCACTGCCTACAAGTAAGAAGTGTTCCTGCCAGCAGGCCCCTGGGGAGACACAGGTGACTCTCCTAAACTTCAAGGTACAGCCTCAGACCAAAGCTGCTGCAGTGTGAGATATGCACATGGTTAGGGTGCTGAGGGCAATCCATCAAGCTCATGGACACAGCCCTGAACTAGTGTGGAACACAGCCACTGACGGCCTCAGGTCCACACAAAAGCAAAGTGCATAATATTTCTGAATGAAGGGAAACATTTTCACAGGAAATACCAATTGAAGAGAGAAATCAGGGTGGGGGGTGTAGCTCATGTGGCCAAGCACAGCTCCTGTGTATGCAAAGTCCTGAGCTGGATCCCCAGCATGGGAGCTCCACAAGCACCCATGGGAACAGCCCTATAACATCATGATGAATGAGGATATGTATACTGGAAAGAGACCAGAGAAGGGAATGAAGACGAACAAACCAAAGCAATGTCAGTAGTGCTGGCTGTTCTCCACAATGTTTAATAGTAACTGTTCTAGAAAGTCTAAGGCTGGAGAAAAATGCAACGGCTAATGTCCTTGTCTTGGACCCCACCGACCCCAATTGAATCCCAGGCACCACAGAAGGTCCACCAAGCATTGCCAGGGGTCATTCCTAAGCACTGAGTCAAAAACAACCCACCCCTGGGCACAACCACGTGTTTCCTCGATGCCTCCAGAGAAAACAGTCTGAGTGCTGAACAGTGACAATTTCAGAGCTGTGCACATTACCTGGGGATCACGGCCACAGCCGAGGGAGGCCAAGCTCTGCACCCTGCTGCCCACATCCTGCTCTAAGTCTTGATCTGCTGAGGTCTCCTCGGACCAGGGACTCTGTGCCAGGGAGTGGCCCTCCCCACGAAGGTGGCAGGGTCCCCGAGGCTGCTGCTGCCGACCCAGCTCCTTCTGACACCGCAGGAAGCGCTGGTTCAGCAGCTGCAGCTGACGGCTGAGACGGACGCACTGTGTTCGCAGTCTCTGCAGCTCTGGCGTCTCATCGGTAGTCGCCAGCAACTGTCTCTCCAGTGCCCCTCGGAAGTGAGCAAAGGCCGCTAGGATGGCCTCCAGCTGGGTGGAGTGTGCCCACCTGCGTCTGCTCAGGCAGGCAATTTCCAGCTCTCTGTCTGCGATTCTGGCTTCACACTCACGGATCCGGGAGGCCAGGCCCTGGGCTTCAGTCTCCCTGAGGGCTGTGCTGCGCTCCAGCTCAGCCAGCCTTGTGGCAGCTGCCGTTTCAGCATCATGCAGGCGCTGCCGCAGGGTCTCCAGGGCCTGGCTGTGCCCATGCTCCTGCTCGGCCAGCAGCTGGCTCAACGCCTCTTTGGCTGCCAGAGCATCCTGGAGCTCACTGGCCAACGCTCCATGTGCCACAGCCCCATCTAGCTCGCTCTGGAGGCTCCCAGCCTGGCCTTTGCTGACCTCGTGTCCCGTAGGGCCCGCCAGGGACAGCTCTCTCTGAAGCTTCTCGATGACTTCATGGAGTTGTTCGATCTCTTCCACTTTATCCTTCTGCAATCTCTCCTGGTTCTCATGCAGATTCTCAATTATGGACTTCAGTTCCTCAATTTCAGAACTCCTGTCATATGCGGCCTGAGGAAACAAGGCACATTTCAGAGAAATGACATTCAGAATTTCCCTCCTACACAGAAAACTCACCTGGAATTCACTCTGAAAATACTGGAAAGACTTCGAGGCTTAAAAGTACAATGGCTGAAGCCGAAGAGACAGTACAGGGGGAAGGCACTGGCCTTGCACTCGGCCAGCCCCAGTTTGATCCCCAGCACCTCACAAGACTCCCCAAAGACCCTGTCAAGAGTGACCCTCAGGAGGATGTCCTGAACACCACCAGGTGTAACCCAAATGTGCCCCTCTCCACCCCTCCACCACCCTCCCCCCAAAAAGTGCTCAGACCTGAACCTCCTCAGCCCCAACAGCTCCCAATGAGGCAGTATGTTAGCACCAGAAGTAAAGAGCATGCCTAGGGCTCGCAGGGCAGCACTGGGCATGCATGTGCTGGCTGATGTAGCCACAGCCTTGTGCAGCTACAGGTGGTGGGGTGCACTCCTGCATGACTGCCCTGTGAGGAATAACCAAGTGCGGCTCTTCACACACTGTTGCATGCGTCAAACACCAAAGAGCTGGTACATGCCTTGTGAGCAGAGGGACACATGGAAAGATAGTAGAAGTGACCAACCAGTTTAATCCCTGACACCCCATATGGTTGGTCCTTGTGCCCCATCAGGAGGAGTGATCCTTGAGCTCAGAGCCAACAGTAGGCCATGAGCACCACCAAGAAGGGAGAGAGGGAGGAAGGAAGGGAGAAAGGGAAGAAGAAAGGGAGGGAGGGAGGAAAGGCTAAAGAGGAAAAAAGGAAGGGAGGGAGGAGAGAGCAAGAGTAGAGAGCAAGAGAAACCCAGCTTGTAACAAGCATAAAAAGGACATATAAAGAGGATGGGAGACACTGGAACAATGCTGATGGACAGGGCAAAAGAGGCACGAACCGCTGACATCTCTCTACCACTCTCTCTCTTAAACACACTCCACACTCTCACATAGACTAACACCCAAATACATTCACTCCACTCTTACATACTCAGTCCATATTCACACACTCCACACTCAAACACTCACTCCACTATGACAAGCTCACACACTCACACTCATACAGTTCCACACACTCAGCAGCACACACTCAGCAGGCAACAAGGACTCTCTTAAGGGTAAATTTTCATTGTTATCTCCACTAAAGACAGCTTTGTGTTTTGCTCAAGAGAACCAAAAACAGACCCAGGAGTGGGAGGTCAACAATGAAAGCGCTCATAACATAAACCTCACTTAGTAAGAGCCACCTCTTCCCCAAACTGAATGACCCAAAGCAGTGATGGGTTCACATGGTGAATATTTGCTGATGTCTATGAGCACTGTGCCACTGCAGCAGTTACACCTGACGAGCACCTGAGCAGTGTGGCACTTGTTCTGGGTGCAAGGGGCAGGAGGTGGGGTCGCTGTTCCCCGGATAGGAGCCCGGGCTCTTACCAGAAAGCTGCCTGCTGTCCTGCACTCGGGCCTGCTGGGATACTCTCCCTACAGGCACCAGGCCTACAGGAGGCCCCCAACTGGTGGTGCTAAAGGATGGCACAGAGCCTGGGGCCTAAGAGGGCTTGTTGGTTTACCATCAAGCGGGCATTCTCCTCCTGCAACTCCTGGACGCAGGTGGCCGCATGGCTCTGCTTTAGGTTCAGTTGCAGCATCTCTTCGTCTTTACTGACCATATCAGCTCTGATCTTTTCCAGTTGCTCTTTTAAGTCCAAAACCTTGCAAAAAAAAAAAAAGATAATTATACCCAATATTCTAGTTGGTTTCATAACAAAACTTTAAAAGGGTCTAAAAATGTACCACAGAAGCTGCTGTCGCTGCTCTGACCCCAAGGTGGGTACAGACAAGGAGTGGCAAGATGGAAGGGCCCTAGGAGCACACACCCCACAGCCACCACCTCACCTCAGCGAAACACACCCTACAGCCACCACTTCACCCCCGGGGATACACACCCCACAGCTACCACCTCACCTTGGGAAACACCTCACAGCCACCCCACCTCACTTGGGACACACAACCCACAGCCACCACCTCACCTCAGGGAAACACACCTCAGAGCCACCACCTCACCTTGGGAAACACACCCCACAGCCACCCTACCTCACTCGGGGCACACAGCCCACAGCCACTCTACCTCAGTCGGGGCACACACCCCACAGCCACCATCTCACCTCGGAAACACACCCCACAGCCGCCACCTCACCTCAGGGAAACACCCCACAGCCACCCCACCTCGGGGAGCATATCCCACAGCCAACCCAACTCAGGAGTCCGCACCGCACAGTCACATCACGTAAGTTGGGGACACGCACTGCACTAATAATCTCACCTCACTCGGTCATATACCTGATACCCACCTGTCTCAGGGACACACCCTCACAGTCACCTCAACTCACGAGGGTGCACAACCCCACACCTACCTCGTTCTCCCGCTGCTGGAGTACCTCCTGTGCTGCCTCAAGCTGGCCTTGCGGGCACTCAAGACGGCCCCCTGGCACGAGCATGGGGCACTTGGCCTCGTCCAGCCTGGACTGCAAAGAGGACACCAGAAGCAAGTGGCTCATCTGTTGCTCCTGCAGCGCCTCTCGGTCCTGTCCAGATGGGAGGAGATGCATCTATCAAGACTCCAGGAGCAAAGTGGGCTCAAGTGCCCATCATGCTCACAACAGACACACGCTACGGACCCACACGCACAGAGGATATATCTGCCTGGGGAAGGGCCTGGCATTGCCACAAGTGGGAGGCTTATTCACAGAAATCACTCAACAGGTAAAAAATAATCTTTGGTCTGTTCAAGATTTTAAAAACTTGGAAAAAAACTTGCCCAAAAGGCAGGCAACAGCTAACAAAATATATGTTCATGGAACAATAACACCCCATGACGAAGTTTACAAATTACATTCAGTGTGGACAAAACAAACTCAATGGGCAGAAGCAGACTGGAATCTATATATGGACCAATTCTCTGGAGGTAATAAAAGTGTTATCAATATTCCTGGCACTTAATAACCTCTGAACATTTACTGAAGGAAGGAGGGAGAAAGGAAGGAGAAAAGAAAAGTAGGAAGGTAGGTAGGAGAGAAGGGGAAGAACAAATAAAGCCAAAAGGAAGGCGTGATGGAAAGGGGGGAGGAGGGAAGGAGGAAGAAAGGAATGAAATCACCACACATCAGAGGTCTGACTCCCTGGACTCGGTGCTCAGGAGGCCTGTGCAGCCCTGCACCTAGAGATGCAGGATACAAACAGGCACTGCCCACGCTCATCCCCACAGCCACTGACAAATTCCTAAACTCAACCACTAAATTAACAGGTACTGGTGCTTTATGAATTACTATGAACAAATTCTGAGACTCTGAGAAATAATGGAATGGACATGCTCAAGACAACATAAAATGCTGCCACAGTAAATGTGACGTCATGATCTAGAATAGTGTCATTTCTTCTCGGACCCCCTTCTAGCACAAGCTCTGAAGGCCATGCCATGTGCTCGGTGCTGAGAGGGAGCAGCCCTTCCAGCCTCATCAGAATTGAGGTCCTGAGGTGCCCTTGGCAGTCTCTGGGTGGGGGCCAGCTGAACTTTGGGAATTGTTCTAGCCAACTTGTGAAAGCCAGGAGGGTCAGGAAACCTCGGGTCCACGCCTATGGAAACTGAAGTCGTCGGAAGTGAGTTAAACTGTGGGTCCCCCAGCACAATTAAACTCTCACAAGTTACATGTACTCAATGAGAGAACTGCCTCCCCTAAATGTACATGCGTGCATGTGCATGGGCACAGAAGGGACAGAGGCCTTGCCTTGGAGGCCTGCCACACCTGGTCTGCAGCAGGGCTTTCCCCAGGGAGCCACCGCCGAGGGCAGGCAGCCCGGGGGTCCATCCTGGAGTGCTGACCTGCTGTAGGCCCTGCACGATTCTCCTATGCTGCTCCAGCTCCCCCTGCAGCTGTGCCACCAGTCTGCTGCTGTGGGCATTGGCCTCCTCCAGCCTCTGGATCTCCTGCTCCTGAGTTGCCACTCGCTTATCCACCAAGTCCTTCTTCATGGCCAGTTCATTCAGCCCATCAGACTGTTCTCTCAACTTTTCTTGTAATAATTCAACCTACAACAAAAAATGCTTAGGCAATAAAGTAGTTAAGAGAAAAATTAACTTCCAAATGAGAAGGCTGACTGCATGCCTCAGAGAACTGATTCTGAGTGGGGGTTTCTGCCCTCAGCCTCACAGGGAAGACGGTCTGAGGGAGTGACAGCTGTCTGGAGCAAAGCAGAACAAAGCAAAATTCAGCGAAATACCAGGAGTTCTGACAGTAACAAGTGGGTTACTAAGCAGCCATCAGGGAAATCCAAGAAAAGGGTCAAGAGTTCAGCTGGGTGAGACAAGGTCACTGCAAAGAAGAGAATCAAGGGGGCTTGGAGCGACAGCACAGCGGATAGGGCATTTGCCTTGCACACAGTCAACCTGGATTCTATTCCCAGCATCCCATATGGTCCCCGAGAAACGCCAGGAGTAATTCCTGAGTGCAGAGCCAGGAGTAACCCCTGAGCATCGCTGGGTGTGACCCCAAAAGGCCAAAAAAAAAAAAAAGAAAAGAAAAGAAAAAGAGAAGTTGTAGGACGCAGGGTCTGTGGTGCCACCAGAGGGGGGTGACATGAAAGTAACTGACCAGAGAGTACAGCAGGTAAAGTGCTCACTCCTGGTTCGATCCCCAGCACCACCTAGGGTCCACCAGGAGTGATCCCTGAGCACAGAGCCAAGAATAAGCTCTGAGCACCAACAGGTATAGCCCAAAAACCAAAACAACCAGATCAACTTCAGCTACTACCTCACAGCCGCAGCCAAGCAGAAAGCAAAACACATGTACAGGTCCCCAGCACTGTGCTGTGCGCGTGCATGCACACATACATACACCCCTAAACTTGTACCATCTGTACGCCAGAGGCACACATCACACACAACACGATTCCACACATGCACACATCACACACCTCACGTACACAAAAACACAGTACACATCAAACGTACACCACACACATCACATACACGCACGTCACATGCATACAAAAATGACATATATGTCACATGGTCACGCATATCATATACATGCATACATATCACATGCAGACATCACATTCACATCACAAATTATACGTACTCAAACATGCACATCACACACCACACGAATATATATGCCACACATCACACATCATGTGCATGCACATCAAGTGCACACAAGTCACACGCACCAAACACATTACACGATCCGTACAATACATACATGCATTTTCAAAGCTATATATAATATGCACACGCATCAATTGTGCATTCACACACGCACACACACGTTGAGAGCAGGTGGCCCCAGCCTCACAGAAGGCAGCATGCAGCCTACCTCTTGGCCCAGCTGTGCCTGCTGTGGTTCCCAGTACATGGAAGGGAAAGAACAGAGTGGTAAGGACTTGAGAAACAGTGCCGATGCCCCCAGTTACAGCAAGGCATACAGTCACTGACTTACATCGCTATCTCGGGGGCCTTGGGGTTGCAGTCTGGCCGCCTGACGGAGTTGCTCCTCCAGCCGCCGGATCTCCTGCTGGAAGTCCTCGCGCTCATGCTCCCGCTCCACGGCTTGCTCCTGTGGGGAGAACCAGGGCCTTCAGTCATGCTCACTGCAGCTCCCGTCCTCAGCATCCTCACAGGTTAGGGGGACAAGCGGGGCAGGCGTGAGGAGCTGGAGCCAGCAGGAAGTTGGGGGCACCGAGCCCACGCACATGAGGCTCAGGGTCAGCCTGACAGAATGCAGCCCAAGCTTAGCCTAGCCCAGCCTGGCCTGGACCAGCACAGACCGGCACTGCACAGGACTGCACAGCACGGCATGACATGGCCCAGCCCCGCATGGCAGGAGATACAGGGAGCTCGCTCTACACTTTAACCCGCCCAGGGTTGACTCATGAAGGAATCGGAAAGCTGGTGGTGGTGGCCACTGCAGATGTAACTAACACCCACACACTTACATCCATGAACTGCCGTTGGCTGCGCAGGTGCTTGTCCAGAGACTCCATCTGCTGCCGCAGGGCTGTGAGCTCCTCAGCCTGCTGGGCACAGGCTTGCTGCCGTGACAGCTGCTCTTCCAGCTCCGACTCCAGAACCTTCATCTGTGACAGCAGGGCAGAACGGTCCTTCTCACACTGCTTCTTCGTCTCCAGATGCTCCTGGGCGAGAGACGCCACTTCCGTGCGCAGGGCTAGCAAGGAGAGCAGACGGGGAGGACTCCAAAGCTCAGGTGCTGCCTGGTGCCACAGAAGCAACCAGAGATCCCAGAGATTCCCTGGCCCAGTCCAGTCATCTGCAATGGGGCACTGGACTCTGCGGTCCCTTCCCCTCCAGAAGGGGTGTTGGTCAGCCAAGGCCAAAGCACAGGAAAGGAGACCCCACAAACCAGCAGGGGCCTGTATCCTGCCCCACACAAGCCCACAGTGTGACATGGCCACAGATACTCACTGAAAATCTGGAACTCACATTTTTTTTTCTTTTTGGGTCACACCTGGCAATGCACAGGGGTTATTCCTGGCTCTGCACTCAGGAGTTACTCCTGGTGGTGCTCAAGGGACCATATGGGATGCTGGGAATTGAACCCGGGTTGGCTGCGTGCAAGGCAAATGCCCTACCCGCTGTGCTATCTCTCCAGCCCCTGGAACTCACATTTTAAGGGAAAATGTGCCATTGAAAGACTGACTAAAAATTGTAAAGGACCTGCTAATAATACAGCTTAGAGTTGCTCAATGACATCAGGTAACATTTTAGGAATTCTATCTTAATATTCCAGTAACCTCTGAACAGGTTTTGGGTGACCCCCTGCAATGACAGGGGTGGGGGATGCTGGTGAGGGAACTTGGGGCTCCCACATACAGAGTCCATGCTGCAGGCTTCAGAGCATCAACCCAGACCTATCATTTTGTTTTCTATGGAGGGTCACACCCAGCAATGTTGAAGGGCAAAGGAACTGGGGCCACTCTCAGCCATACTGTCCAGCCACATTTAGTCCAACCATGCTCAGCCCAACCACGCTGAGCATGACCCATGACCCAGCCATGCTCTGCCCAGCCACGCTCAACCCAGCCATGCTTGGCCCGGCCATGCTCTGCCCAGCCACACCTGACCCAACCATTCATGACCCAGCAACACTCGCCTGCTGATTTGGTGTCGGGCCAGGTGGGCCGTGTGTAACAAGACCACCAGGGTACTCCAGTGGTGCTATGATTCAAGCCCAGGGGATACACGTGAGAGCCCTGTTAAGACCAGGGCTCTGCAACGTGAGCAATCTCCCTCCTGTTCTGCTTTAACAGGGGCCACAACTGGCAATATACCAGGACCGCATGGTGCTGTTGGCTGAGCCCAGGCCTTCCACCTGTGCCATACCCCAAGCCCTGAGTTCCTGAAACAGACCCATGTAGGTACAAATTTTCCACACCGGTATGGAAGCTGACTGCAGGCTATGTGGACTCACCCTGTGCAGTCAGCTGGTCTCTGACCTCACCCCTGACCTCACCTCTGAGCTCATGGTTCACTCTGTCCTGCAAGGTACAAAGTCACTTAATCACTCTGGGGATCAGAGGACCCAAGTTGTCTGCTTGTGGCAGGTGGGTGGAGGTCATGGCTGTGTCAAGGGAGGAAACTGCTAACTATCAACACATCTAGAATGGACTGGTAAGAGGCCACAGCCCAGAGAAACCTACAAATTAGTACATGTTCAAGGAACTGACGGCTTAGCATCTACTGAATCCCAAATAACTTAAACAATCCCAAAACCTACGTAGTAACTCACAGAGTTCACTTATACGTGTCCAGCTCTGGAAACTTCATCGTGATTTCTATAACCTGAAATCTTCTACCCAACAGAACTTTGCAATGAGTGGTCACACCACGAAGCCAAGCAGTAAAGTCGCTGCTGCAGGTGCTGTAGCACTGGGCAGTGTCTGGGCTGTAGAGACCCACTGCAAGGCTCCACCCTCAGGCTCCCCAAGGACAAGCCCACTGCAAGCAGCACCCTGCAGACACAGCTCAGAAAAGCAGTGTTTCCTGCCTGAAGGCCAAGGGTCCAGTCACCCTGGAGTGAACATTGCTACAGAAGCTCTGAGACACTTCCCTGTCGCGGTGCAAATTTGCACACAGCACAGCATACATCAATCACATCTGCTCTTACAAACCTGAATCCTTGTGTGCTACAGTAACAGGAAGGCCTAGAAACAAAAAGGCAGAGAATTGGCAGATAGAAACAGAACAGGGGCCTAGGACAGAAGCGGGAAATGTGAGGAGGATGCTCGGTGAAAGTACCACAGCAGAAAATGCCCGTGGTCTATGTCCCCCGGCATCACTGCTGACGTCCAGTCAGCCACAGTGAGGGGGAGGCAGGAAGAAGGGCACAGCAGCATTCAAGGTGCAGTGACTGCCCCACCCTACAAGCTCTCCACAGGAGACCCCAGCCCGCAGGGCAGCTGTCAGGGTCCGACATCACTCTCACCTCATGAGACAACTGTGCAAAGGGTGAGAACAGAGCAGCCCAGCACACCTGAGAGCAGTCAGCACACGCCCTGGCAGAAGGCGCTGAGGCCATGACCATCCACGGGTCCAGACCACAGACTATAACACAGAGGTCAGGGTCACCAGGACCCAGAGAGGAATGAGGCCACCCTGAGCTTCAAGTACCCCCACCACAGCTGACACTGGCAGGGCAGGGAGAACAAGGCCAGAACAGAGAGCAGCAAACCAGAGGAAGCCCCAAATCTCGAGGTGAGGTACAGTCATGGGCCAGCTCAGGTCAGAAGGAGGTGCCCAGCAGGCTGCTCGGCCAGCGCAGGGCAGAGCAGGGTCAGGAAAGCCGAGACACCTCTAGGCACGCCCAGTCAGCTCCCATGAACCCACACTCAACTCCATGTGCTCTGCTGCTGCATTAAGTCCATGACCTAAAGTTTCTGAGTCGGGAGGACAGTTAGGGTCACATCCTGCGGGGGTCAGGGACCTTAAGGGGTTCTGGGAACCAAACCCATGTCAGCCAAGTGAAAGGCAAGTGCCCTACCCCCATGCTTTCTCTCCAGCCCTGAACTGTTTGTCTTGGTGCCCCAGGGCCCAGGCGGTGCCAGGGAGTGAGCTTTCCAGGCTCTGAAACCGACGCATGCTTCTGTGGAAACTCCCCTGATGGTGACTGCACACTGGGAGCTCTGACCACAAGCCCCATCACAGTTCATCCCCACAGGGCAGAGCAGTGACCCTAGCATGAGTCTCCAGATCGGCTCCTCCCAACTCTTCCCGCCCACCTCAGGCCACGTGTGCCCCCACCAAAGCCACACTTAAGTTCCTGCCTGGGCTTGCGTCCACACCCAAGCACGCCTCACCGGCTTCTCTGTCCTGAGCCTCTGCCGCCACCACCTCCTTCTGCCTCTGTAGTGCCGAGTTCTCATCCTGTAGCACCGACACCTGCCGAGCTGCCTGCTGCAGCCGCTCCCGCAAGCTCTCCAGCTCCACGACGAGGTCCTGCTCCGATGCGTCCCTGCGACTCAGGGCCTCCTGCAGGCTGGCCTGCTCCTCCCTGAAGCCCGCGATGAGGCCTGTGGGGAACAGGTCGGGCTGCCAAGACCACAGGAGAACAAGAGGAGCCCAGCCAGAGGATGGGGTCGGAGGGGCAGCAGGTCTGGCAGGTGCCCTCAGGCCCCCAAGTGCCCTGCACGAAGGACTGGTGAGCGTCAGAAACAGGCTCAAGCACTGTCCCCTGCCTGTGAGGGACAGAGGTGTCAGACCACCCGAATCAGGCTTCAGGTACCAGCCCCGAGAGCATCAGACGGTGCCGTCATCTGCGTGTGGTCCAGGGACAGACAGTTGGCAGAGAACACCCGTCTGCCAACCCGCCAGCCTCACCCTCTGCCTTGTGCAGCTCCAGCACCAGCCGTGACTTGGTGGCGCTTTCCTCATCCAGACGCTGCAGCAGCTCCTGGTGCTTCTGGACCACCTGGGCCATCTCCTCATTCTTGCAGCTAAATTCCTTCTCAAAGCGAGAATGAAGTTGTCGTGCTTCTTCCAGCTGTGGGACACATTCAAGAAACAGCTCAGGGCCGTAAGACCTTAAGGTCAGTGCTCAGCATGACACTTCTGACAATCCAAACGAGTTTCCTCGACAGACTCCTGACAGTCAGAACTCAGATGATGCATAAAATACTACAGAGATTGGCACTGTGCCACAGGCCACAAGCTGCTCTCAAACGGGAGATTAGGGCAGGAAACCGAGCACCCAGAGCGCTAGTGGGCATAGATGGATGCAGCCGGGAAGTAGGGGCGGGGAGCCTAGTAGTCAGGCTCATCTGGGCAGGGTCCTGATACTCTTCTGGCCCCCTAAGTGGTCCCCTGCCCCCACTATCTGTTATCTGCCAGGCTCTCCTCAATTGCTAAGTCCCAGCAGAGCAGACACAACACAAGGTGGTCTCCCACGTGCCCAGTTGCCACCCTGGCTACAACCGAGGGCTGAGGCCCCACCCTGACCTCTCACAAGGGTCTCTCACCCTCTCCAGGATGCAAGCCAGCAGATTCTCCGGCTCCCGTGGGGGCACAAAACCCCCAACGCTGCCTGCTAGTTATCCCAAGCCTGCTTCTACGTGGGCTTTCTGTGGCAGCTGCTCCAAGAACTCACAGCAGCCCCGCCAGGGTAGAACAAGAGTCAGGGCCACTTCTGTGTTCTCAGTGCCCATGCTTAGCTGTCTGCCCTGCCCAGGCCTGTCTGGGTGGAGAGAAGAGGACGCAAAGGGAGATTTCTGCTGCTGTAAGCCCACTTCCTGGAACGGGGCTCAGAATGCCTCCTAAACAGAGCTGTACAGTTGCCTCTGAGCAGATGCAGTGCCTCACACCTGGAGGGAGTGGTCTGCCTACCAGCAGAGGCAGGGCAAGGGAACTCCAGTGCATCGCTGTCACGCCCGCCTCCCAAGGACCAAAGGCATCAAGGCATACCCCAGTTTCTGCCTGGGTGTGGGCTTACCTGCTTGCTGGAGTCCAGGGCCATTCCCAGCAGGCTGTCCACTGCCAGGTCCAGGCTCTGGAACACCTTCTTCACAGGCTGCTCCCAGTCCAGGGTGCGGTCAGGGCTCAGGAAGAAACTTTCACAGACATGACTGCTGAGCTCAGCCAGTGAGGACACCTCCATGCTTCCGCGCAGCGTTGTGTCCAGTTCCAGCTCAGCCAACTCAGAGCCTAGCCAGGTGTCGTCAAGAGCCGGCACTGCAAAGTGAGCACACAGGGAGCTTGTGCCCAGCATCCAAGACCCACAGGCTCTCAGGAAGTGAGGGTGTGTGTGTATGAATGTGTGCCTGTGAATGTAGGGGTGTGCAGATGCGTGTGTGAATGTATATACATGCGTGAGTGAATGTGTATATGTGCATACATGTGAGTGCGTATACTGCGTGCACGCAACTGCATGTACGTGTATATGCAAACACGTACATGTTTATGCGTGGCTGTATACGTACATGCATGTTAATGTATGTGCAGACAAGTGAGTACATGTGTATGTGTGTGCATGCACTTCTACATGTCCGGGAGGAGGGCAGCGCTCCAGGGGTCTGGACTCACCTGCCTGGGGGACCGCATCCCCAACCTGCGCGTCGGGCAGGCCCTCGTTGTCCAGGCACAGCCCCACACGGTCACTGATGCGGCTCCTCAGGGCAGTGGCAGCTCTCAGTGTCTCTCCAAACAGACCCAACAGCCTCCTCAGGGTATCGCGCAGCACCCTCCTGAGACACAAGGGGCATCTTGAGATCATTATTCCAGATTCCAGGATACTTCTCCAGAGAAAGGCCTGGCCCAGCAAACCAGGTAATGACCCAACTGCCCAGATAAGACTGAGAGCTCCCTGGACCACAGGCAGAGACAAGAACTGAAGTACACACACACTAGATCTACAAAAAAAAGCAGAACCCCAAAATGCCAAACAATGACCATGGAAGGTCTGTCCATGTGGCATCTACGTGGAAACATTTGCTTTACTTTCTGGTTTTGTCTAGGACACAATGTCCTTGGGGGCTACTCCCAGAAGGGTTCAGGGCACCGTGTGGTAACAGAAATAGTAACAGGCTGACCTCCCCACATGCAAGCATGGAAGTGCGCGTTGCTTGGCCCATATGTCATCACTCCAGCCCCTCAAATCTTTTTCCTGTTTCTGGGTCGCACCCAGCAGTGTCACGGGCTTTGTGCTCAGGGAATCACTCCTAACAGTGCTCTGGGGTCCCAATGTGGTACCAGGGACCAAACTGGGGTCAGCTATCTGTCTGCAAGACAAGCACCTACCCCTGCACTGTCTTTCTAGCTCCTCTAAAATCCTAAGAATAATGTGGACTGGGGCCCTGTCCTGCCAGATGCCACTGGGCCAGGAAATACTCGGTAAGCAAGTGGGCCCGGAGGGAGCGGAACTTACAGCATGGCAAAGCTGTTTGCAGTGAGACAAACACACACACACACACACACACACTTTTCAATCACATACCTCTTTTTGTGATACACAAACATTCTAGTCACACACAACTTTTTGTGATACACACGCCTCTGTGATAATCACACACATCCCCTTTCTGTTACACATCTATGATATACACAATCCTTTCCATGATACACACACACACACCTCTTTTCTGGACACACACACGCACGCACGCACGCATGCACACCTTTCTCCATGAGACTGGTCGATATCAGATTTCAGCATGGAGATGAGGTTTGTGCCTTCCTGGTTTTCCCTCTCACGCCTTTGCTGCAGCTTCTCCAGCTCTGAATCACGCACTTCCAGTTCATGATTTAAGGATAAAATCTGGTCTTTCAACTGTTAAGAAAAAAATTGTAAAACTTTTACTTCAAATTATTCAGTCTAGATTTAAGAAAATTTCATCACAGAATTCACCATCCCATTAAAGATACTGTTAAAGGGCCAGAGACCTAGGGTAGTGAGTAGGGAACTTGCCTTGCACATGGCCGGCCCGGGCTCTTTCCCCGGCACCACATATGGTGGTCTCCTGAGTGCAAAGCCAGAAGAAAGTCCTGAGCACTGCTGGGTGTGGACCCACCCCATCACTACCACAAAATAAACAGGTAGATGAATAAAACAGTAAAAGAATAGGTTGTGATTACACGGGGAATACTGGAAGAGTTCTCCTCCATCTCTCACACCTACAGGCGCAGATTTCAAGGGCCTGGGATATGGCTCAGTGGTAGAGTGCTTGCTTTCCCTGCGTGAGGCCACAAGTTTATCCTCAGTATATGCCATGTCTCCACTGAGTGTGATCCCCAGCTCGTGCAGGAGGAGTCTTCAGCTCCACTGCCAAGAGTGCAACCCCAATGCATCTCTGCCACCATCACCACAGAGGAAGTCGAGGGAAACAGGATGAATGCATAATGGGGAAAAAAGCAGGCCCAGGGCTCTCTCATGGAAATGACTCATGGCAAATTTCTTCTTTGCTCATTCGCAGCAACTGGTTCTAGGAACAGATAGATCCCACTGGCTCTTTCTAAACACGAAAGCCAGGTAGTATGAGTCCATGCATGCAAGATAGTGAGAGGCGGAGATGGACGATGGGGCCCAGCTATGGGGAGAGCTCACGGAGGGGAAGAGGGGTCCTGTGGGCAGTGCACAACAGAGTGCACAAATCTAGCCATGTCTGGGGCCATGAGGTGCAAGGGCCCACCCCAGCCTGTGCACTGGCTCGGCACCATAGCCCAGCACTGACAAACGCTACCAACAAAAGGAAAATACACCCTTCTGGTGTTGCCCCATTCGCCCTGGCCTCTCTGGAAAGAAAGATGGCGGCCGCATGGGAGCCTTGTGGACAGCAGGTTTGAGCTGGGAGTGGGGGCGGCAGGGACCTCATGGGAAGGGGGGCGTTCTGGGCTGTCCTTCACGCCCGACCGAGGTCACCAGCTGCCCCCCACGAGTGGCTCTCCGGCACGGCCACGACTCCAGAGCACAGAAACCAATCTCTTAACTATCTAACTTTTAATAGAAATACTTCCAGGGTTGGAGCGATAGCACAGCGGGTAGGGCGTTTGCCTTACAAGCGGCCAACATGGCCGACCAGAGTTCGATTCCTCCACCCCTCTCGGAGAGCCCGGCAAGCTACCGAGAGTATTCGATATGCCAGACACAGTAACAACAAAGTCTCCAATGGAGACGTTACTGGGCCCGCTCGAGCAAATCGACGATCAACGGGAGGGCCTTTACCTTTACCTTTTACTTCCAGGGTTAATAAGTAAAATAGCAGAAATCCAAAACATCATTTTATTCTTAAACCCAGCTGTGGAAAGCAAATCATTTCACAACGCTGTTTCAGCATGTCTGATGGGGGGGGGGCGGGGGGGGGGTCGTAAACTCTAAACAATAATGGTGCATCTTCTATCGAAACAATGTATCTAGTCAAAGTAGATAGAGTATTAACTAGAACTCATCTGCCTCACAGGAATTGAGAGGGGTGGGAGGTGGGGTTCTATTGGGGTTTGCGGTTAAAAATAAGTATTGGTAAAGGGAAATGTGTTTGATATTTACATGACTGAGACCTAAAACCGAAAGCTCTGTAACTTTTCCCACAGCGATTCAATAAAGAAATAAATTTAAAAAAAAAAGGAAAATACACCCTTCTGCCCCAGTGAGGCTGCATGCTCCAAACACTGAAAGCATTCATTCTACGGAGGTCTAGAAAAGTTTATGATGCTCCAGGGCACAGACACAAATCTACAAGCAAAGTGTCTCTACCATCACTTGATTTAGGCCAGAAACTCAGGGGCTGGCACACTCATGCCACAGAGAGAAGGCAGCAGACCAAATGCCACAGGAGCCACATGCACAGCACTGGAGAGAAAAGACAAGCTGTAATGACAGAGAATCCCTTCAAGGGACTCCCCTAAACTTTTCTCCAAAGGACGTGAGTCAGGGAGAGACTGTCGGAAAACTCCAACACAGCAAGGCCACTTGCCACCTGATGGCTCCCTCCAAGAAAACGAGCTATTGGGAGTGTCCCAGGACACTGTCCTCCAGTCCAGCTCTGACCCACTGTGATCTCCTAGGGTAGTGTCTCAGCCTTAGGCATGGGACAGAGGGGCCAACACACACAGCAGCAAAAGCAGAACCTTTGTCATCATGGAACTGGGTCAAAGACCAGTACTATACAAGGACAACTGCCTTGCCCCACAATCTCAAGCTAAGGACAGTGTGCCTCTGTGTACCCTGGCTCTGTGGGTGAGAGGGCATGTGCTTTGAGAACAGAGTGCAGAGAGTGAGCCAGGCTAGCAGATGCCCGGTAGTAAGGTCCTGTCCAATGGCAGAAAACACTGAACCAGCATTTCAGAACAATGGGGGAACCAGCTGGGGCCAGTCCCTGATGACATCCGTAAACCATTCTCATGACTCTCTCCTATTAAAATTATACCCATGATGCCTTACAGTTATCATGGCAACCGGGAATCAATGAAAGAAGCAAAATTTGGCAGGACCTCAGACTCCAGGGGCATGAGGGAGCATGGGAAGGAACAGGAAAGGTAGGAATTCTGAAACGAAAATAGCTTGAGATGGAGTCTGCCATCCTTCAATCTGCCTGCATGTTGTGAAGAAAGTTCCTTTAGGTGTGAAGGCGTTCTAGCTATGACACCTGTTACCCACTGATGGTCAAGGTTGACTCGCTGATCCGGGTGGCAAGGCAGGGATCCCCCTCCCCCATCACCTCTCCATGAGGGTCCCTTCTGACATTACACTCTCAAAGAGCACAGCCTTCCAGGAGGACTGGTCAATGGTGGAATCTACCACATGTGTGTGGGGAACAGTGGGTAGGGACGATTGAGAAGGGACTAGTATGACAATAATACTTGAAAATGACCATGCTGAACAAGACTGAATGTTGAAAGTAGCTGGGAAGAGAGAGAGGTGTCTGCCATAAATGCAGGCTAGGAGGGAAGGGAAGTTGGGGGGGGGGGGGGAACTGAGGGCAAAGGTGGTGGGAAATGTGCACTGGTAGAGGGATTAGGTGTTGGAACACCATATAACTGAAATCCAATCATGAACAGCTTCGTAATGGCCTAACAATGATTCAATTAAAAAAAAAAATTTTGTTAAATTTTGTTTTTAAAAAAAAGAGGCTGGCCTTCCCCAAATAGAGATGGACCATTCTTCAGTCAACTGTTCACAGGTAGCTATGCAACCCTGCTAGAACCTCAAAGACAAGCTCTTTTATGATTGTCATTGTGTCTCTCATTTGATGGCCTCCGCAGCCCTGGAACTGCATAATCAGGGTTACAGATGAATAGGTCAAGGGAATGTGAAACAGTTCTCAGTCATTACAATCCACAGGCTTGGACACGTGAAGACCCAGGAGATAAGCAGGTGGGCACTAGGGCAGACAATGCACGCTCCACTCTGAGGCCCCCTGAGTCATCTAATTTGAAGCAGGTAAGGGGTGGTGGGAAATGGCCAGGGACGGGCCTGGGAGCAACCGGGCAGTTTCTGTCTGGGGTGAAGGCAAGTTCTGGATAGACAGTAGAGATCACTGTACAAAGGTGTGAAAGTGGTGAGTCAGAAATGTTCGCTCCAAATGCTGAAAGTAGACTATAGGCCAAACGTGACTGCCACTCAATGCCTCTCTTGCAAACCACAGCACCCAAAAGGAGAAAGAGAGAACAAAAGGGAATGCCCTGCCACAGAGGCAAGGTGGGATGGAGGGGAATGGGAGGTGGGAGGGATACTGGGACCCGTGGTGGTGGGAAATGGGCACTGGTGGAGGGATGGGTACTTGATCATTGCATAAATGAAACCCAAGCACAAAAATTTGTAAGTCTGTAACTGTACCTCATGGTGCTTCACCAATAATAAAAAAAAGAAATATTTAGTAAAAAAAAAGGAAAGAAAAAGAAATGCTCGCTCCAAGACGGCCAGAGGCTCACTTCCGTTCAGGTTTGCCACAGGCACGAGAGCAGTGAAAGAAAAGGGGCGTCCCACTAACCTGCTGAATCTGGGGATCCTCCTGAGGCCGCGGCAAGGGATGTATCTCTCCGTTTTGAGACAGAGACCGTGTCTGTTCACCATTAAGTCGCTGAAGCTCTTCCTCCTGTGAGAGTTACATTCAGTCTGTACCAAAGCACATCAACGACAACACAATGTGCCCGTGCTTTGCACACACAGAGCGAGCAGAGATCTAGGGGTCTGAAGCTGTGCCAGGGGCCTTGGCCTCCCCAACAGTAGCCCCTTCAGGAAACACTCCCTCGAAACTCCAAGACTGGGCTGTCTGGACAGTAGAACCTCTAAGTCTTGGGTTTTTTGGTTTTTTGGAGGGGCTTTTTTGGAGGTAACACCCGTCAAAGATCAGGAGTTACTCCTGGCTCTGCACTCAGGAATTATTCCTGGCGTTGCTTGGTGGACCATAGGAAATGGCAGGGATCAAACCCAGCAGCCGCTGCAAGGCAAAAGCCCTCCCTGTGCACTATCACTCCAGTCCCTGATTGTTTTTTTTTTTGTGTGTGTGTGCTCTGATTTTGGGGCCACACCCAGTGATGCTCAGGGCTTACTCCCAACTCTACACTCAGGAATCACTCCTGACGGCTCAGGAGACCATACGCAATGCCAAGGATCAAAACCAGTTTGGCCACATGCAAGGCAAATGCCCTATAGTTTAGGCCCCTGAGTCACTTGCGTTTTAAGAGGAAAATCCTGCTACCTCTTAGGTCACAGAAAGGCTTCATCAAGTTCACATAAGGAATCAGAACATGTTAGTAAGTTCAGGAAGAAGCCTCCTTCACTCGCCTGAGGCTCAGCCGCATGGTTCCTGAGCATCACCAGGTGAGCCCCCAAATAGTAGTTTAGGGAGCCAGGGCTGAGGCTTGGATGACAGAGCACCTGCTTGTGTGTGATCCTGACACCCTGTGGCCCCGAGCACAGCAGGTCAAGGCCCTGGTCCCTAGAACCATGACAAGGACCTGCAGAGGTTTCAGGGTGAGGAACCAGACCCATGAGGCCTCTCTCCCAGGATGGGGACAAGGCAAGGCCAAGCACTTGCCTCGCAAGCAGCCAACTCTGGTTCCAGTACTGGTACTGCCATGGGCATCAGCAGCATTGCATCCCCAGGGTCTGGAGCTGACTCTCCACCTGCTGGGTAGGCCTCCCACCCCCCCCAAAGAAGAAAGGTCCCCTTCACTTCTGGGACAACCTCTGATGCATCAGGGGGAATTCACAGATCCCCTCCTGACAGATGGAGACCCACGGAGCTGAAAGGAAGGGTCCAAGTGGGTGTCTGAGTCACAAGCCCAGCTTACAAAGTCTCCAGTGGTCCCAGGGTTGCCCCAACCAGCCTGGTGGGCACAAATGATGGCCTGTGAACAGCAGTCCTGAGGGGAGCTCCAGGGAGCATCAGGGGAGGGTCCAGCTTGTCTACACACATCCCAAAAAAACTGCCACCCTCTATGAAGGGTTTGACGCCTAGACTCAGCCCAGCAGCCCTAGTTAATGCCCAGGTGCTCACAGCCTGTGCCATAGCTCAGGTGACATGGCCAGTGCCTGGGAATGTGTGGGCTGCAGAGCCAAGACCCTCCCCCCCCCCCCCCCCCCCCCACCAAGAGCATGGCCAGACCTGATTTCTGTCAGAGCAGGATAGGAGACAGATGCCCAGCCACTCCACACACAGGCATTGACAAAGGGCTCAGGCCCTGACCATGTATTCGAGCCACTTGCTGCACACAGGCAGAAGCAGACACCACACGAAAACTGGGCTGGCAGCAGCCACCATCAGGAACATGGGCCAGCAGCCCTCTCAGCTGCAATGCCCCACTGCTAGGGAGGGAAGAACTGAAGCACTGCAGCCTAACCCGCTGCCACTGGCCTCACAACAAGCCCAGAGCATGTCCTCAGGGCCCTGGCACTGTCTCACCTGTGCTGGGTTTCAAGAGTGCTCAGAGACTCACAGGACAAGAGCAGGCAGCAAAGAGCCCAGGAAGGCACTGTACTGGGCTGATGGTGCCCAGGTTCCCCCTCAAGGGGTCCTGCCAGCACAATGCACTCTCACTTCCAAATGGGCACAACACCCAAGGAGCAGGGAGGCACTGCCAAGGGCACACTTGTACCCACAGAAGGATGGTGGCCACCGTATCACCAAGTACATGCCCCTGACACTCCCACCGACTGGACAGGCTTCAGGGTTACCCAGGTGTCAGGCCCCATAAAGTTCCTCACATTCCAAGCTTTAAACAAAATAAAAAGTTATTCTACACAGAATTTTAAGGGAAATATTATCAACTTGTAACCATTAAGAAAACGAGTAACTAGACGCCTAAAGAAGGAAAGTCATACGTAAAAATTCAGAACTAGCACCAATGTAGACCTAGAAATGATGCCCACTGACAGTGAACGAACACACACTGTTCAACTGCACCTGAAATCACCAATCCCTCTTCACAGCCCTCTCACATCTCAGTCTGCAACCAGGGGACAACACCACTGCCCTGCAGTCACCCCTGCTTCAAGGCCCTGAGAGACGCAGGTGGACAGCTAGACTGCCTGCCAGAGTTCCCAGCCACTGGCCTTCAAGCAGTGGCCGAGTCTCTCAGATGGGGCCAGGAAGTCTGTGGCCCACAGAGTGAATCACAGGAAAAGCAGCGTGTGGCTGTTCCTGGGGACAAAGGAGCCCAGCGGCCGGAAAGCCCCCGGCAAGGACTCAGTCTGCAGTGTCTGAAGGCCAGCAAGCAGGGAACACACCTCTCCAAGCACCCTCAGCTGGGGCCCACATGCCTCCCGAGCATCATCACACAGCACAGAAGAGCCCTCACGCAGGGTCAGCCAGTGCCTGGAGCAGCGACTCTGGTCCAACAGTGAGGCTGGCCTGTGTGTGCGCCAGAGGGAGGCAGCCTGGGATGGCAGGTGCTGCAGTGCTAATGCAGAGCTCTGGGGCCTGGACTCTGCTCAGACTGTGAGAGGGTCACACCAACGCTCAGGCACAAGGACAGGCTGCTGCTGAGTAGCAATGTAACTAGGAGGAGAGGACAGTATTCTAGGGGAGACAGCTCATGCCCGAGTGCGTGCCTGGATGTGGAAGCCCCGAGTCTGAGCCCCAGCTCAGCTAAAACCCGCAAGCACCACACCTCCAGGGTCCAGAATGAAACCAGGAGGCTACACTGCCAGGCTGGGGTGTCACAAGAGTGGTCCATGCTCCAGATTACAAACCTAAAATAGGGGCAGAAGCAGAACAGCCCATGCCCCACTAGCTCCAACAGCCCTACACTTTCATGCACTTTCGGTCGCCTCTGCAATGACCACCTCCTTCCTCATCCCTAGGCACACAGCCCCTCCATGCCCCTGATAAAGTATCACCATCACACTCCTGGCTGCTCAGCTCCTGCAAGCAAACCTAGGGCTGTCCTGCAAAGGTACTGCGCTCCAAAGCATCCCTGGGGGTGTGGGCACTGCAAGGGCCTGGGCGCCTCACCCTGCTCGGGATTAGCTGAGCACTCTCAGGACCCACCAAGGAGACTGCGCACATATGGTACTCCCACAGCAAGAAGCCACATCAGTGCTCAGACACACCAGCTCGCAAGCACGCAAGTGCACGCACACAAGCAACAGGACAGGCCTCCATCCCCTCACCTGCTGTGCAGGTTGGAGCTTGGAGGCTGGGGAGGTGAGACCCCCTCCAGGGCTGGAGCTGTGTGTCTCCACTCTCGGGCTGTCCTGGGCCAAACGCCGCTCCTCATCGTTTTTCCGCTGCAGTTTCTCCAGCTCCTGCGCCAAGCTCACTTGGTGAGAAGAGTCCTTTTTCCGCAGCTGGTCCTCAAAGTCAGCACGCAGCAGCTCCAGGGTGTGCCGGTGCTCATCCCGAATGCCCTGAATCTCAGACAGGCAGCAGGCCTCCAGAGCATCCAAGTTTGATGAATGCTTGGCCTCCAAAGCACTGATCTGGGTAGCATGCTTGGTCTGCAGCTCGGCCACACGGGCATCAAACTGGGCCTGGTGCTCGCTCTCCAACGAAGCCTTCAGCTCCGCCAGCCGGGCCTGGTGCTTCACTTCGAGCTCTGCAGTCAGAGCCAGGACCTGCTGCTGGTGCCTCTGCTGCAGCAGCTGCAGCTCTCCAGCGTGCTGCTCCTGGGCCGCCCGTAGCGAGGCATCTTGCTCCACGGAGAACTTCTCTGTGATCTCCTTACGCTCCTCTAAAAACCTAAGATGAACACACAGTAAACACACACAGGCCTCCTGAGAGGCCTGACTGAAACAGCTGTCGCTCAGGAACCACTCCCAGGTGCCCTCACCACAGCCCGGGTCTGCTGTCCTGCTCCTCCCTCTGCCACACACAGCCTAAGTCTGGCCGTAACCTGAGCCCCTTACAGCCTAACCCCAGGCCTCACCCTGAACTCAGCACTAACGTTAATCTAGCCCAACACCCAACCCAACCCTAACCCTACCCCTCACCCTAACCTAAACCCTTAAGTTCGACGACTAGAATGAGAACCCAACATGACGTGGGACACAACTGCGCTCAAAAAAAAAAAAAAAAAACAGTGGGGACAGTGCCAGCAGGCACGGGTGCAGGTGTAGGTGCCAGTGTGGGAGGGTAGGGGTGCAGGTGTGGGTGGGTGCAGGTGTGGGTGCGCATAAGTGGGGGTGGGAGTGCAGGTACAGGCAGGCATGGGAGTGGGTATGGGTGCGGGCGCAGGTACAGGTATTGGGCGGGTGCAGATGCAGGTGTAGGTGTAGGTACAGGCAGGTACAGGTCGGTGCGGGTACAGGCACAGGTGTAGGTGTGGGTGTGGGTGCAGGCAGGTTCAAGTGTGGGTGCAGGTGAGGAGTGGGTGTGGGTGCAGGTGCAGGCGGGTACAGGCACAGGTGTGGGTGTAGGTGTGCGTATGTGTGGGTGCTGAGGTTCCAGGTAAGGACCCAGCAGCGCCCAGACTTGGCTGGTCCCCATATGCACTGCGTCCTACCACATCTCCCCACCTTCTCAGATGCACACCCTTGTCCTCCCCAGGGGGGAGACCCACCGATTCTGGGCCTGCCTCAGCTGGAGCGCACAGTCCTCCTTCAGGCGCAGCATGGCCAGCTCCCAGCCCCCATCCACAGCTGCTGGCCCAGTGCCCGACTCCCGGCCACACTGACTGCACCGCATGGCCTCGTCCCCAATAAGCCCGAGCTCCAGCTGCCGCAGGCGGCCTTGCTGTTCCACCAGCGACCCCTCCAGCTCCAGGATCTGGGTGGCCTGCTGCTCCTGAAGCTGCCGCATTTCTGCTTCTCGATGCTCAAACTTCTCAACAATGGACTGTTTTTCAGATTCTGCCCGTTCCCTCAGCTCCAGGAGCAGGAGCGTCAGTTTCTCTTCAGCTTTTCTCTTCTGGTCCTCACTCATCACTGTCCACTCTGCTTCCTTTTCCTGAAGTTCATGCTTCAGGGCCTGATGTTTCTCCTTAGCTTTCTTCAGCTCTTCCAGGTGATCTTCTATCAAACTGTGCTTTACCTACAGAGAAGCAATTTCATTTAATGAGGGAAGAAACGAAAGGAAAGATTACCAGCAGCAACAACTCAGACTTGCTTCTGAAGACAGTATGTGTCTGCCACAGACCGTCCAGGTGTGGCAACGGGCCACAGAGCAAGGTAAAGGCTTATGCTGAAAATGCTTACGGGAAGTGTATCTGGATTCTTATGCCTGGCGGGAGCAGAGAGAGATGCCAGAAGTCATCTGCTCTGACCGTGCAACACTGGGGGGCCAGGTGCACTCCAGCAGCAGAGGTGGGGTTGCAGGAAGGAGACCGGATGTACAACAGGAGAATGTGAGGAGGAACAAGAGGATGTGAAAAGGATGCTAGTGGGTTCCATCGAGTATTTTCTTTGATTGAGTTTCTATTTATTTTTAAGCCATCTTTATTGCGGTTCCGGGATCCATAATAATATTAAGCAACTCGTGTGTGTGTGTGCACGTGTGTGTGTTTTGGGGCCTCACCCAGTGATGCTCAGGGATCAATCCTGGTAGGCTTGGGGGACCATATGTGATGCCGGGGGTGGAACCCTAGTTGGCCCCGTGCAAGGGCAAGTGCCCTACGCACTATACTATCCCAAGGCCGCATCTGATGAATATTTTTAAAGGCACCATGTGAGATGGGCACAAACCAGAATACCAAAGGCTAGTGGACATCCTGTTGTTCAGAGAGGAAAGGAAGCAGGAAAATATTCGAATGTCACCGAAAAGAAAACCAAGTAAAGTTTGTATGACTGAACATTGCATTAAACTGCTTTGCCATTGCCCCATCAGGTTCAGTCCTGGCATCCAGCTGGTCCCCTGAGCCCAACAGGAGTAATCCCTGAGCAGAGACAGAAGTAAGCCCTAAGCACCTCCAAGTGTGACCCCCAAATGCCCAAAATCAAATTATCTTTGTTTTTTGGGCCAAACCCAGTGATGCTCAAGGTTTACTCCTGGCTCTACACTCAGGAACTACTCCTGGCAGTGTGTGGGACACCATATGAATCAAACCAGGGTCAACCAAGTACAAGAAAAGTGCCCTCCCTGCTGTACTATCTCTCCAGCCCCCAAATTTTTAAATCACATTAACAGGGGCTGGGGAGTGGCTCAAAGGGTTGGTGCTTCAGCTTTGCATACAAAAGTCCAAGATCTACCCTGGCACCAAACAGTCCTGTCCCCAAGCACTGAACCAGGAGCAGCCTGAGCACCATCAGAGGTGGCCCAAAAGACAAAAGAAAAACTGTTATTAAAAATTAAGTTTAGGGTAGGGCCTGAGAGATTACTATGAATAGCATGGGTAGGGTGCCTGCCTTGCACACAGTCAACCCAGGTCTGTTCCCAGCACCCTCTGAAAATAAGGTCACATACTCAATCTGAAGCAATCCCAGGCCCTGAATTCTTGGAGTCAGAGCATGGTGAGAGGCAATGCCCTGAAACACAGCAAGAGAGCAGCAGAATCTGTGCCTCAGCCCTGCCCAGAGACCAGGAGGCCCCGAGTCACACTCACGGTGAGACTGGAGAGTGAGCACAGGACTCCAGCTCAGGGCTGGGAGGGAGCTGAGAGTTTCCACCCTTCCAAGTGCCACCCCCCTCACAGTGCCCACAGCGCAACTGTGACCAACGGACAGGGCACAGCCACATATACCTTCTCCAAATTCTCTCTCAGGCCGACTTCGTGCTGCAGCTTCTCTTGCAAGTTTCTGTTTTCTATTTTCAGGAAGTTCATCTCTTCTTTGAGCTCTGTCTTCAGGAGCATGAGCTGTACCTTGTGCTCGGTCTCCAGAGCCAGGACTCGGGCCGTCAACTCAGCCTCCACCTCTAGGGCTGTGTCCTGTGCACAGCGGAGACACACACGGGCCAGGCCTGCGGGCAGCAAGGACAGTGAGGGGCCCCCCACACACTCACACTCCATGGAAACAGCACATGGACACCAGCCCCAGCCTCCACACTGTCCCCAAGCCCAGGCCCCATCTCCTTCCTCTGCACTGTCCCAGGGCCAGGGCACCTACCTTGGTCAGGCTCATCCGAGAGTCCCGCAAGCTGCTCCCCTGTGCAGCCCGGGGTTCCTGTAAGCTGCAGACCCTCAGGCATGTCCAGGGAGGTCTCCCACGCGTCATCATCCAGCTGTACATGCCAATAGGCCAGGGGCACTGGTGACCTAGTGGCTATGCTCACAGTGCCCAGTGTCTCACTGAGACAGGAGCTGAGTCACTGCTCACGGAGCAGGACGCAGCAGACTTGGGCGCCAGATACAGGGGGAACCATACAGTGCCTATAAAAGGCCTAGTCAGGGCCATGGCACAGATGCTGCCCTGCTCCCTGCAAAGCCACCCTCCCCAACCAGCCACAGGAGATGAAAGTGTCCCAGCAAGGTTCCCCCAGGGATCAGGGAAGAGCAACAAAGGGATGAACTCTGGGACTCCCCACCACTTCCTGTCTCTAAGAAAGGACAACCAACAAACCCATTTCCCTCACTAACCAAGAAGGGACACCGAGGAGGGCTGAGGAGCCTCCTGGGCTGAGCACAGGTTCCTCTGCAGGGCCCACATTCCCGCGCCGCTGGGCAGGGCACCAAACCAAAACTGATAAAAGGCCCCAGAGCACCTCTGATCTTTTTTCAGGGTTGAGGGCCACTGGTCAGAGCGAGGCTGAGGATGTGACACAGCCCAAGGTGCCCCCGGCACAGTATGGCTAAGGTCCAAAGTGACCAGGGTGACCAGGTCCCAGCACACACAGGCCCGTAGCCAGTTCGGGTCCCTCCCCACCCACTCCAGTCAGCCTTGGGGAGCAGGACCCAAGTCCTCGTGCTATCCATGAGACAAACACAGGACTGATGAGAACACAGGACCCGGATCTGGACTCCAGCCCTCACCAGGGGCCCAGGCCGTGGCCCTGGAAGCAAGCAGGAGTCTGCCTAGGGGCGGGACACTGGAGCCCAAGCAGGGCCTTTCAGGCCTGCTATGTCCAGAGCAGCTCGGGAAAGTGTGGCAGGAGAGGTTTCCCGTGAGAATAGGGAAAGCAAGAGAGAGGAGTCCACCTGGGGGAGCACAGTCTCACCTCATGTGGCTCCGGCTGCAAGAGGCTGCTGGGATGCCCACTGCGTTCTCCCTCAGGAGCCTCTCCAAACGTGCTGGCCGGGCTTCAAGGAAAAGAGAGGAGAGCTAGAGGGAGGGCACTGTCCTTGCCCATGTCGGGACGGGCACCTTGCCCACTCCACAGCCTAGGCCAGGTCAGTCAGTCCTGCTCCCACACAGAATGTGTACCCAACACAAAAGCCTGTCACTGGGTTCTGGTGTAGAGCCAGGCTTGGAGGAGAGTGGAGCGAGACTACCTCAGAAGGAGCTGGCCATTACCCTGTGTCCAGGCCCTCAGGGAGCGAGTGGGCCATTCCCTCCTGAGAAGGGGCTACACATTACCCCATGTTCGGGAGCAGGTGGGCCATCTCCCAAGAGAAGGGGCTGCCCATTACCCCGTGTCCAGAAGCGAGTGAGCCGTCCCCTCCTGAAGCCGCTGCTGCAGTAGTGTCAGGTCCTCCTGATAGCTCTTCTCAGCCTCCCTCAGCCTCTGCTCAAAATAAAGCCGCAGCTGCTCCAGCTCTGACTCGTGTTCGGCTTTCTCCTGTTGCTGGCGCTGGACAAAGTCCCGCTTCAGGCCTTCCAGGTCCTCCACACAAGGCGCTTGTGCCTGGAGCGGCTCCTCCAGTTCTGCCATGGACAGAAGGAAGCACAGAGAAGCAGGAGAGCTCGAGGCCTGCGGGAGTGCACCAGGCAGCCAGCCACCCTCTCATGCTCCCTCCAAGTAAGGCCTCTGAGGCTGCAGGGAGACCAGACGTGGGAGCAGCTCTAGAGAACTAACGCTGCAGAAAAGAGGCTGCAAAGCACATGTAGGGCCATCTCCAGGAGCTGCAAGCGGCTAGGGGCAGCCAGCAGGAAATGAAGGACGAGGCCCTCAGGTCTCCACTCCACCAGCCTCAGTTCAGTGGGAATATCAGCAACTGGGGAGAAGAGCCCCATGGCTCAGGCGTCCCCCCATGCGAGACGCTAGTGATCATATGCAGTATGCTTCTACCCACCAAATCTGTACTTCTTTGGTGTTTTGTTTCTATTGAGAACAAGCCTATGGGGACTGGACAGGCTCACAGGGGCAGGAGGAACCCACCGGATTGTAGGGACCCACGGGGACTAGAGAGACCTCAGATGGCCTCCGTGCCCCTGAGAACCCCACAACGAGGCAGATGAGCTCCCTCCCATGGGGAGGGGCAGTGCTGTGTGCAAGAGCCAGGCTCTCTCCAGAAGCTTCTCCAAGATCCAAACTCAATCCTCAGGGGTCTGCAGAGCCCGACTGTGCAGCTCAAGCAGAAGGTTCTACAGAGGGTCCACCTGAAGGTGAAGTGCCTCACCACTGGGGTCCTGTCTGCTGGGTCCTGCTGGCTCCAGCTGGGCCCAAAGGCGCCTGATTTCCTCCTGGGACTGGGCCTTCAGCTCCTCGTAGGATGCCCGCAGGTCCTCCAGCTGCAAGTGAAGGTCCTCCTGAGTGCCTGTGGTGGGAGGACGGGGCCTGCAGCCCCCACACCCACACCCGAACAGGAGCCACCACAGGCTCAAGCCCACCCTTCCCTTTTGGGTGCCAAGAGGGTCCCCATTCCCCCACAGCAAGGAACCACAGACACAGCTGGTGGTGGCCCCAGAGTAAGTGTCAGAGACACTCCTTTTGTGTTCTGGCTGGAACTTGTATCTACAATGCCTCACCCACTCCAGGAGGCAGACATGCTGTCAGAAAGCCCACGGAGGCCCTCATCTCCGTAGTGAGCATGGTGACCAGGTCACCTGCAGACAAAGCCCATTGACTCCTGACTTTCAGTCCAGCCCAATCACCACCACACAGCCCTGGGAATAACCCCCTCTTCCCTCAAAGATACCCACCAACCCCTGGGTCACTCCTGTAGACACCCCAACCCATAACCCTGCTAGGCAGTGAAGGTTGATCTGGAAGAGAATCCACCTGAGGGACGAGTTGAGAGTGGGGGCCTTGCCCAGGATGGTTCTGGCGGGGGGCGGGGGGGAGTGCAGAAGGAGGGGCAGGTGGAGTCTATCTGAATCTGCGATAGATGGTGCCAGATAACCACGATCCACATCAGGGGTAAGTGAGCTGCTCAGAGGTACAGTGTGAGCCCAAAAGACCTGCCCCCAATGAGCTCTCACAGACCTGCTCCCTGTGAGCATCTCACAGACCTGGCCCCAGTGTGTTCCAGACTTGTACCCCTATGAGTCTCAGAGATCTGCCCCCAGTGAGCTCTCACAGACCTACCCCCAGTGAATCTCACAGACCTGCCCCCTCCACCCCGTGAACTCTCACAGATCTGCCCCCCCCCCTTAACTCTCACAGACCTGCCTCCTCCCCGACCCCTATGAACTCTCAACCGAGCTGGTGCCCCTCCATGAACACTCACAGACTTGCCCTCTGTGAGCTCTCACAGACCTGCCCCCTGTCAGCCCCACAGATTTGCCCCCTGTGAACTCTCACAGACCTGCCCCCTATGAGTTTTCACAAACCTGCCCCCCTATAAGGCCCACAGACCTGCCCCATCTGTAAACCCAAACTCACCTCCCGCTGCTTCTCTTGCTCCTGTTCCCTGAACTTCAACTCCAGACCTTCCAGACACTGGCAGCGCTCAGCCTGCAGGTCCTCCCGAAGTTGGCGCACAGCCTCTTCGTGCTGGGCCTCCAGGGTCTGCAGGGCACCTGTGGGGGACAGAGAGCCCATCAGGCCTCCCTCTAGCCCTTTTTCGGCACTTGCTGAGCCTCAGGCAGCTGAACCACGAAGCAGGGATGTCTGAGTTCTTATAGGCCTGTCTCCTTCCCACGAGCCCCAAGAAACTAATTCCCACTTATATCCAGAGGGTGGGATCACAGACACCCCACCTCCCCAGATGAGGAGGGGACCACACGGCCAGACCAGAGTCACTAGGACTGAACTGGGAAGGAGCCGAGGACCCCCAGAGAAGCACACAGGAGAGCCGGCACGTAAGCGCCATGTGGCTCTGGTGCCATTTATCCACACAAGGTGCCACGACCATCTTGTGATGGGGCCCGAGAGATAGTACAGTGGGTAGGGAACTTGCTTACACAAAACCAACCCAGGTTCGATTCCAGGTATCCCATTTGGTGCTGATTCCCTTCCAGGAGTAATCCCTGAGCACAGCTGGGTATAGCCCAAAAACAAACAAATCAAAAAAAATACAAGCCCCATCTCATGAAAGGCTTCAGGGATCTCGGCACCTTGCGCAGTCATGACCAAGGAGGGAGCCTCAAGGATGACCACCCCTCAACGGCAAAGGTCAGAGCCAGGAAGCCACTGAAGCTATGAGCAAAACAAATCATGGACCAACCCTGCCGCGTACCCCAGAAAACAACCGACTGCTCTTAAGAGAGACTCACACTCAGCCTGGGTTTTGGCCTGAAAGATCTTCTCCAACTCCACTTTCTGGTCTGCCAATTCTTTTCTGAACTGTTCTTGTAAATCCTCCAATTCTGACTGGTGCTTTACAGACAACTCTTCCCGTAGGTTTGCTAAGCATAGCTCCCTCTGAGACTCCCAGTCTTGCTTCAGGATCTGGAGAAAGAAGGAAAAATCAGGCTGTGGCAATTACTGATCAACCATGGAAACTGTCAACAGCCTGCTTGCCCCACACAGACCAAAGTGGGCCCAGGGAAGGCCTGTGTGCACCGACAGTTCTGCTACTGACCACGGGAGGAACAGGAACGAGCAATCGTGCCACGAAGGCACAGGAGGCAGCAGAGACCCTAGTGTACCCTGTCACACCCCTCCCTAATGATACCCATGTGCCCATGTTACACCCACTCCAAACGCAACCCTGAGCCTGTCACACCCACCCATTACCCACACACCCACATCACACCTTAAAAATGTCACCCGAGTCCGTCACACCTGCCTGTGTCACCTGTGTGCTGTCACACCCACTACTCATGCCACTTTTGTGCTCACATCATACAGCCCACCTCTGTCACCCATGTGCCCATCATGCAAGCCATCTAAGTCACCCATCCCTCCCAACACACAGACCCTCCCACACACAGACCCTCCCAACTGTGCTGGCTCCACAGAAAGGGTCAAAAGAGTGGGAGAGCCAAGGCAGGGGACATAGAGTCCTGGTCATGGTACTTGTCCCTAACCCCAGCCTGGATTGGATTCACTGAAACAAGACGAAGGCACTATAAACCATCTCACCTACCTCTATCATCTTCGCATTTCTCTCCATTTCTGACTGTAGCTGCTTCTTCAGCTCCGCTGCAACAGAGAAATAGGAAGCTTAGAGTGCTGAATCTCAGACTGCCCCACAGCTGGATATGCAGCGAGAAGGAACCACAGGGCACAACCAGGAGGGCAGGAATGAATGAGTGCTTAGAGTAAGGGTACCAAGGCGTCCAGCTGAGTGACAGTGAAGACATGCAGGAAGTCCTGACTCCAGGCAATAAGCACTCACACACCTCTGGTCACCTGAGCCTGGCCTGGAGGCCCCACACCAGTCCTACCAATCTAGGAGAGCGCAGCGCCCTAAGAGGAAGGAGGGACTAGCTAGACATGGGTTGAGAAGTGCTGTCCCCAAAGGTCTGGACACAGGCAAGCCAGGAGGAGGCATGGGAAAGAACAAGGAGGCTTGGAGGATGGGGGCGCGATCCAGGCTGCACCAGGGACATAAGCATGAGGACAGATGGAGCAAAGGGTCGGAGAGTGCCCACCAGCAGCACCCCATCTGCCCACAGTAGCCCAGTCCCTCTCAGCACCACGCTGGGCGACAGTCCTGCGGTGGACCTCTTGGTCTCACTTCCAGGGTGCAGGGAGAAAAAAAACAGCCATGTTGCATGTTTTATGAAGCAAGAACCACAGGGGGAAGCAGCACACAAAAACTTCTTCACCAGCCGGTGTTGGCAGGATTGTGGTGAGAAAGAAACCCTCATCCACTGTTAGTGGGAAGGTGGTCTGGTTCACCCTCTATGGAAAATAATATGGAGCTCTCTCAAAAACATGAGTCTAGAATTCCATACAACACAGCAATGCTGCTTCTTGGTATCTATCCCCAAAAATCAAAAACATTGATTTGAAAAGATATACACACCCCTACGTTCACTGCCACACTCGGTACAGTAGATATGGAAACAACCAGAACGCCCAACTGTGGATGCATGAGCACCAGTGGGATGAAGGATCCAGAAGTTGTAACATATAGGCACAAAAGAATACTATGCAGCTCTAGGAAAGGACAAAATCATGCAATTTGCTTCTATGTAGATGGAACCAGAGGGTATCAGGCTGAGTGATGTCAGTCAGAAGGAAGGGGACACAGAATGATCTCTCTTGTACAAGAAATTCAAGGACAGACAGTTAAGAGAGCAGCACAGGGTCAAAGGCAGCAAAACTGGAGAGACAGTCCACAGATTTAAAGTGAGGGCTGGAGGGGGAGAGGGGAACAGTAGATTTGGGACCTTAGGGGTAGAGGGAAGTGGGTACTTGGAGGTAGATGTGTGCAGAAATGATGCATGCACAAAACTACCATTAAAGCATTGTAAACCACAAAACCTCAATCAAGAGTAAAGGCAATGTTGCATGAGTCTGGAGGGCGCACAGGGAAACCCACAGGAATCAGCCTGGCTCCCCTGGGCGACAAAAGACAGGGCCCAGCAGAGAGGCCGAGAGCACAGGGTGCCCCTCAGCTGGGAGAGTGGCTGCTGCAAAGGCTGCCGTGCTGTGTGTGTGCTCGGGAGCCACTCCCACTGAGGATGCGAACAGGCAACTGCCTTGCAAGTAGGAGGCCCTGGGTCCAATTTCCAGCACAGCCAGAAAGGACAGGACAAAAACTTGCAGCACGGAACTCAAGGCCTCTGCAGAGAGGTAGAGCGGGACAGCAGGCGGCAGTACCTGTCTCCTGGCCGCAGCGCAGAGCCAGCTCCTCCCGCTCCCGTGCGTGCTGCTCACGGGCCTGCTCGAGCTCCAGCTGCTGCCGGCTCTGTGCCAGAGCCAGCTCCTGGGCGTGCCGCCCATTCAGCATGTCACGCAGCTCCACCAGCGCTGTCTCCTTCTCCCGTTGCAGGTTGGCCTGCGTCAGCTCCAGCTGTGCCGTGTGCATATTATTCAGGCTTAGGCGCAGGGCCTCGAGCTCCAGGGCAGGTGGCGGCTGCAGAGACAGGGTTTCTGGGCAACTCTCCTGGGCACAGCCGCAGAGCGGGAGGGCACAGACTGTCCCAGTGGTGCTGCCCCCTGCCCCAGGGCCCCTCTCCACCTGCTCTCCAGAAGCCTCAAGTGCAGCTCCAGGCCCTCCTACCCCACAAGGCCCCCTGGCTCCACTCCAAAGCCCCTCCCGCTCCAAGAACCAAGACCCAGCCCCCAAGTGGCAGCTGCCTCTGGGGAAGATGCAGCTGTAACAGCAAGAATACTCCCACCCCATCACAAGGGTTCTGTGCTCCCTGATTCGATTGCTCTGAGACGGACAGCTGAGACAAGAGGGTTGGTGCCTCTGATCTCTGACCCCAGGGACAAGGGGTGTCCAGGCTCTAGGCGTCCAGTGCTGGCAGAGTGGCCACTGCTTGGCCACATCTATCCATCCACCTGCCTTCCCACACAGCAGACAGCAGTCGCTGCCACATCCTTTCGCCTACTGATCATGTGTTCCCCTCCTAAAGTCCCTTCATCCAGAGGTGATGGCAGGTGCATGGGAACCATGCTCTGAGCCCACTCAGGCCTGAACATGGGGTCACCTGGGTCTGCAGCAGCTCCGAGCCCACCAGCTCCTCCTGCTCGCCACCCTCATCTTCTCCTCTGCCCCTCGGCAGTGTGGCCTCAAGCTCCTCTTCCTGGTCAAGCTCCTGAGGAGGGAAGCACAAGAGACGTGGAGGGTGCCTGTGGGCTGACAGGCACCACCACGGGCCACCACTCCGGGGCCAGTCATTCTCATATCCACCTTGCAGGAGGAGCCACTGAGTCCCAAGGGCCTGCAGAGAAGCAGCCAGAACTGTAGCTGTGGCAACTCCAGCTGAGAGGAAGAGAGCTCTGAGGTGTGAGACCAGCAGATCCACAGACAGGGGACTGCACTGGGACAAGGAGGTCTGAGGGCCCCCGAATGGAGCCAGGGCTCCCTGTAGGGGGCAGGAACCAAGTGTAGGCCACACAGTGCAGCACACGGACCAATCCTGGTAGCCTTGTGGTCAGGAGACAGACCTGCAGGCAGGTCCAGGCCCTGCACGCCCACACCCCGACCTGGAACCCCACGACCCCAAATGTGACACCAGAGGCTGGTATCAGGAGCCCTGTCCTGCTAAGTCCCCACATTGAATCAAGGCTTAACACCCCAAGGTTATGTGGCCCCCCAGTGTTTGAGCACTGTGAGTGGTCCAAAATTAAACTTTTTTTTTTTCACTTTTGGGCTACTCCCAGCAGCTCTCAGGGATTCCTTCTGATGGTGCTCAAGGGACCACACACACTGGGTGCCAGGAACCAAACCCATGTCAGCCACATGCAAGGCTGCTACTGCTCTGGCCCCAAAGTACAGTAATTTTTAAAGTTACTGATAGAAATAACTCTGTCCTCCCGTTGTTCATCGATTTGCTCAAGCAGGCCCAGAAATGTCTTCATCGTGAGACTTGTTACTGTGTTAGGCATATCGAATACGTCACAGGGAACTTGCCAGGCTTTGCTGTGCGGGCCTGATACCCTCGGTAGCTTGCCAGGCTTTCCGAGAGGGGCAGAGGAATCGAACTCATGTCAGCCACGTGGGCCGCATGCAAGGCCAACGCACTACTCGCTGTGCTATCGCTCCAGCCCTACTAATAGAAATAATTAAATTTTACATTGTGTGAATCACATCTTTATGAAGACAATAAATAAGATCCCTGAACAAGCTTCAGTTCTCAGTGAGGTGACAGCCAAGGAGAGGCTGTCCAGGAGGGTGACAGGACAGTCCTGTGGAGAGAGGCTGCAGGCTGCCCCAGGAGGGGTGACAGGAGCCCACCGGACAGATCCCCTTGCAAGCTCCGGGAGCTGGAGGGCCTGAGCCACATCCTGCACAGAGAGATTCAGTCCCCATCTCACATGACTTCAGCACCCCATCCAGCCCTGTCTAGCCAGAGGGCAGCGTACGAGGCTGTCTCCACACTCCCACCTCAGGGAGAGGTCGGAGTCAGGGCACAAACAACGTGAGAATGTACAAGGAGTAGACCCACAGACCCACAGAGCCTGTGGTTCACAAGAACTGACGCTAGCCTGAATTGGCCCCTAGCGGGCAGGCAGTACCAGGTCACCTGGACAAGCCCAGACATACCCAGTCTTGCTCAGGGAGACACAGAGCAACAGGAAACTCAAGTCCGACCTGCAGCTTTCACTAAAGGTTGCTTGAGCAAAAGGCATAAAGGAGCCTGGCAAGGGGATACCAGTGCTCACAAGGGGGTCGAGCACGATGGCCGGGAGGGCAGGGAGGCTGGTCCTGTAGATGCAGGCCCCACTCCAGCTCAGTGGCACAGCGGGTATGACCCTGGATGCACAGGTCCAGCTTCTAGCATAATAGTCCAGAGCCAGGGTGTGATGCTGGGACACAAGTCCCGTCTTTTCCAGTCCCCACGGCTGCCCAGATCATGGGGCTGACAGCACAGACCTGGAAGGAGGAGGCCCACTGATGGCCGCAGTGCAGTCGGAAATCCTAGGGGGCAGGGACCTGCAGAAGGTGTCGAGTCCTCCAGCTGGGTGGGGCCAATGTGAAGCCGCCACCAGGCCTCTGCCTACCCCCTGCACGCACACACACCCCGCAGGTATCCAGGCATGCCTTGCACCACACGCTCCCCAGGGAACGAGCTAGCACAGGACCTGCAAGAGACAGCTGCCCCTGGGCTTAGGCCACTGTACCAGCTCCAACTTCTTTCTGTGACTCATCTGAGACCCGATGGGGGTCCGGGAGGTGACAACAGACTGAGCACAGGCTCGGGCGTGCAGAAAGCCAGGGCCACCACCACCTGTGGGGCGTTGTGCTGGATCCCCCATGCTTGGCCCAGGTTCCATCCCCAATACCCTGTGGCTCCCTTAACACAGGGCCTGGAGCAGCCCCTGAGCCCCACTGGGTATGACCCAAAACCCAAAAATAAAGTTTCCAAATGAGCATCCTCCAGTGCTGCTTCTGACCCAGAAAGTGGGAAAGATCCTCATCTGCTGTGAGTCGAGCTGATGATGACCATCAGCAACACCAGTGGCCCTCTCCCACCTGCATCCTTCTGGAAGGACAGGGCTATCCCCAAGGCAGCTGCATAACCCACACGCAGAGGACTGATGACCCCGAATGCTGACTCTCTTGAGGCCCTTGGAGGACAACAAAAGGGCCACTATTTCCTGAAAAAGGTGAGACGGATCCCGTCCAGCCAGCATCACAGGATCCCCCAGATCTGAGCGTGCAAGATACAAGTGGGGAGGCAAGTCTATGTCCTCTCCTGGTGCCAGTCGCGGTGCCTGGGTGGCCTGAGGGGACACGCAACAGTCCTCCACTCCCTCCTGAGCACAGACCAGCTCTGTGGCCTGCTTCAGACTAATGAGCAAGCCAGGAAGATTCACCAGAGAAGCAGACGCACGATCGCCAGGATGAAGTGCTAGGAGCCCAGGGAAAGCTGGGGCACATACTGCCAGTATTGCCCAACAGGCATGCCTGGCACCTGAAGGCAAGGCTTCGCTCAGCTGGGCCTCTGCACTGTGCACACTTTGCAGCAGTGTCTCCTTGGCTCCCCTTCTCTGCCAGTTTACTGGCTACAAAGTCTGTTAAAATCCCTGGACAAAGTCATTCCAGTAAAGTATTGCTGCCACCTTACTTCCACACTCTATGCAAAACCCAAAGATTCCAGAGGAGTGTAAGGAACAACCTGACAAGCCCAGGCTAGAGAGTCTGGAACCACGTCCCACAGCAGGTAGCTCTGCTGAGACCCATCCTCCAGGACTCTGGGAAGGTGACTCTTCTCAAACTCAAACTCACACAATTTTTGGAAGGTTCTTCTACACAAAAGACATCCCCTTCATGTTCTATCATGGAGGTAATTGCCTGCCAGATAAGAGACAACAGCTACCTTAGTTCTGGTTCCGGTTCCAGTCCAAAGTCCTCCAGGCATTGGGGGTATGGTGCCGCCAGCAGGTCAATCTGTACCTGTGAGGCGAGTGCATCAGCAGCCTCATGGCGCCTTCAGACTTCCAGATACCCCCAAATTGCTGCTGTGCCTTTGGCCAGACCCAAAAAACTTGGGGCAAAGTTTACCAAGGAAGTAAACGGCCAAAAGTTAGGTATGTGGGAAACACACCCACAAACCACCTCCGGCTCAGCTATATAATTGAAGGCAAGGCCTCTCTGGTTCCTGATTGAACTGCTTAATGGCCATGATCCCAGAGACTCAGAAATGAATCTCGGAATCCAGCGGCTTTACGTAGAAATGCGTCCAGTCCCTGCAGTCAGTTACCGGTGCTGGGCCACCCCAGGTGGGAATAGGTTTTGTGCCTTGGCCTGTTTCCCCGTGGCGGCCCAGTGGCCGCCATCCTTCAGAGGCCACTGGACAGTCAGGTTTAGGCCCCCAGTGACGAGACATGCAGGGCCTCACGGGATGAGGGTGGAGACGGTCCTGTCCTCCCCACCCCAACGAGACCCCAAGTCATCGCCCACGAATGCCCTCTCTGGCTCCTGATCAAGCTGCTTAACAGCCATGATCCCAGAGACAAAGAAACAAATCTCGAAACCCAGCGGCTTTTGGCAGAAATTCATCCAGACCCTGCAGTAGGTTACTGTCGCCGGGCCACCCCAGGGGGGAAAGGGTGTTGTCCCTCCACCTGCTCCCCCTTGACGGCTCAGTGGCCATCATCCTCCAGAGGCCATTGGACAGTCAGGTCTGGGCCCACAGTAACGGAACTTGTTTGTTGGGCCTCACGGGATGGGGGTGGAGCCGGTCCTGGTCTCCCCATCCCAACAAGACCCCAAGTCATTGCCCACGAACAGCCTCTCTGGCTCCTGATCAAGCTGCTCAACGGCCAGGATCCCAGAAACTCAGGCGCAAATCTCGAAACCCAAGGGCTTTTGGCAGAAATCCCTCCAGATTTACGTTTTAAAATTTCAGAATTTCAAAATCACATGGCCCTACTGCAGCCATGCGACATCATATGTTATTCATAACCAGCAATAGGACACAAATTGTCTACTGTTGCCTTTTCAGCAGATCTGAGTGTTGGGGTAAAATCTCAAATAATAATGGTGGGTGTCGAAATATTGAATGTGATCAAAGTAGAGAGAGAGAGTAATGTGGAAATCATCTGCCCCCCAGGAAGGGGGAGAGTGTGGGATGGGGGTATACTGGGGTTTTTGGTGGTGGAGAATGGGCACCGGTGAAGGTATGGGTGTTTCACTGTACGGTGTATGATCAAGACTTAGACCCAAAAGCTTCGTAACTGCTCTCACGGTGATTCAATAAATAAAATTATAAAAAATGGAAAAAAAAAAGTAAGATGGAGTTCGTGCACAATTCAATCAGCTAATCAGTGACTGAATAAATAGCAGTGCAGTATTCCTACATAAAAAAAAAAAAAAAAAAAAAACAAAGTCCTCCAAGCACTTGTGAATAAGGAGTGAGGGAGGGGTGCTAAACCCTGACAGCTTATCAACAAGAGCTCTGTACCCATCTTCACCCAAAACCTAAAAATCACTGCTTAGAGTTGTTTGTTTACAAACATGCCTCATTACTTTTTTTTGTTTTTTTTTTTTTTTTGCTTTTTGGCGATGCACAGGGGTTACTCCTGGCTCTGCACTCCTGGCAGTGCTCGGGGGACCATGTGGGATACTGGAAATCAAACCCAGGTCAACAGCATGCAAAGCAAATGCCCTCCCGGCTGTGCCAGTCCCGCCTTATTACTTCTTAAAATGCAATCTATGCTGCTTTCTACAACTTACTCTTTTGTTTCTGTTTGGGGGCCACACCCAGCGGAGCTAAGGAATCACTCCCATCAGTGCTCAGGACCACATGGTGTGGTGGTCATCTGCCCCACAACCTGCACAGCTCAGCCCTTTGAGCTCCTTCCCAGCCCTCAGTTGTTTCATAACATATGGAAGCGTTTTCCTTTCCCAACTGAACTCACAATGTGCACAGGTATAACGGGGTAAAGGGTAGGCAAGTGTGTCTTTGCTGTTGGGCGCTGAAACATGTCAAACTGAAATGGAAACTCCTGGCCTGTGTGACAGCACCCGTACTCCCCCCAACCAGCTGCCCAGCCACACTACCTTGGGAATGCAGAGTCTCATGCACGGCAGAGACTGGAGCACTGCCGTGACACCAGGGGTTTTCCCATTGCCAGGGAGGGGACTCCAGGTCCACCACACTGCATGCATCTCATCCTGCTGACAGAGGCCCAGTGAGGCTGGGATCACACCAGACCACACTAGAGAAGGCCCACAGCAAACAGGGAAAGACAAGGCCCAGCCAAGATGCCCAAAATCATCCACTCCTGCCTGGGAAAGAAGGTGGCGGACAGCCCTTCTCACAGCCATGGCCTGATTCTAGAGTTCAGAAGGGAGTCCCATAAGGGATGGTGAGTGGAGGCCTGAGCTTTTGGCAGAAGTGCTATGCCGAGCCAGGCTCCAGGTAGCAGTGACAGACAAGGAAGCAGAGAGGTGAGAGCCATGGGCAGGTGGAAGTGCAGAGGGCAGGTAGAGGGAAGAAGGGCGAGGGCAAGAAGAGCTCAAAGCAGGGTCCAGCCTTTCTGCTGCCACATACGTAAAGAGGGAAAGAGGCACCTGCACTCCACAGGCCCCTGAGACATAAATCAGGGCTAGAGTTTCGGCACCCAATAGCAGGTTCTAAGAACCTGGCAGGCCAGTTGCCTTGAGCTTGTGGAAGAAACAAGAACCATGTGAAAACCGATCCCTGACCCAGACCCTCTCAGAGGCAGGGGGTAGAGAACGGGGGGGGGGGGGGGGGGGGGGGGGGGGTCTCTCTCCAAAATATATATGACACATATGTAGGCCTTTCCTGAGGCCAAACACAAGCAAAGGGTACAGGAGACCAGAGCCGCCCCATTCCCAGACAAAACGCCAACCATGTCCTCAGCACTAGGGTGGTAATGCTGCTCTGAGGCAGCTCCAGGGCTGAAGACAAGACAAGCAGCACCAGGCCTGGTTCAAGTAACACTGCTTCTGCCCCAGCCAGTACCTCAGTTGTGGCGACAGGAGCTCCCAAGCATGGCTCCTACTGAAAAGTAAAAATAAGGGCTGGGGCAATAGTCTAGCCGATAGGGCTTACACGCAACCGACCGGGGCTCCATCTCGACATCCCATGTGGTCCTTTGCACTGCCAGGAGTGATTCCTGAGCACAAAGCCAGGAGTAACCCCTAAGCATCACCAGATGTGCCCCCCAATTTTTTTTCCTTTTAAATAAAAACTAAAAATAGGGCAGAAGAGCCAGTTCAAAGGGCTAAAACACAAGCACAGGACACACAAGATCCCAAGGTGTCCAGGACACTGCTACTGGCACAATATGAAACCTATACCTGCCCTATCACACAGATCAAGGTCCCTGGTAGGTGACATGCAAAGACAGATGAGGCTCAGTCCTCACCTGCCCCTCACAGGCCTTGGAAGAAGACAGGGCACCTCCCCATAAGAAGCGCGAGCTTGGGGCTGGAGTGATAGCACAGCAGATAGGGCGTTTGCCTTGCACGCGGCCGACCCAGGTTCGATTGCCAGCATCGCATATGGTCCCCTGAGCACCGCCAGGGATAATTCCTGAGTGCAGAGCCAGGAGTGACCCCTGTGCATCGCCGGGTGTGACCCAAAAAGAAAAAAAAAAAAGAGCGTGAGCTCAAAGTCTCCCTCCCCTGCTCCGCTAGGGAGAAAAGGTCACACAAAAGCTCACACCGGAAGCAGCCCTGGTCCTGCCTTATCTGTAAGTCCCCCTTTCACCAAACTGCAAGACCAACACCGATCGGAGAACTGTTACTCGCCCCGCCCCCTCGCACAGAAGATGAAAACTTCTGCACGAGCACAGAGAGACTGTATGCAGCTCTTGGCAGAGCACACCTACCTGCGCTGCTCCTGGCCTCTGGGCAGGCAGCCCCCCAGCCCCTGCTACCGCGCTCGCCTCCTCCTCCGGCACAGGCGCAGAGACAGCCGTGCTCTTCCTCTTCGCCGTCGTTTTCTTCGGATGCGCACCGTCACCTTTTGCTTTTCTCTGTCGGAACTGAGCAAGCTGCGCAAGAACGTAGACAAGTAGTAAAGGCAAAGGTAAGAGAGGAAGAAGTAACAGAGCCACCGAGTCAGCAAACTGGCGGGGGACATGGACTGCAGGGTCAACCCACAGACAAGACACAGAAGTCCTCAGGCGCCCGTGGCACTTCTCAGACAGAGACACTTCTCAAAGATGTATCTCCAGACAGCGAGTGGCACATTGGAGCCGTCTATGGCTGAACGCTCCTACAAGCAACCGACCTCTCCTTGTTATCCCCACTGCCCCAATCAGGAAACCAGAGCCTGAACTCGCTAGCTTTACACTGAGACCAGACACAGAAATAGCAAAAACTTAATTAAGCCAGGTCGATCCAACGTCCTTCGCTATAGAATCAGATGTTCCAGTTTTCATGACACAGCTCAGCAAAGCACCAGGGACCATCACTGTGTCAGAGACACAGCCTCAAAGTAAGGACTCAGACCCTGTCCACACACCAGCTCCCACCAACACCTGGCTCCTGTGGTACATGCGCTGACATCAGCTGTGTGGGAACAGTGCCCTCAGGCCTGGGCAGTGCCTGTGGATGGATGTACACAGCCTCACTGAGAGGAAGGCAGGGCAAGCTACATTCCAAAGAGGCCTACAGCCCCCAGCCCAGGTCACCAGAGCCCTTCCTAGGGCCTTCTGGACCTCTGGCCTGGAATCCCAACAATACAGTGCCCCTGGAGGACACCACTCGCCCCCTGGGATGCTACAGGCTCCTCCAGGCACTGACTCACTGGAAGTTGAAGAACTCCAGGATAGCATCTACACGGGAGAGGGAGGAAGCGCAGCTATTGCCTCACAAGCCCAGTTCCTGGTTCCACCTCTATTGTGAACTGTAGTTGTGATCCAGGTGTGTCTGGGGCACTCTCCTGCCACCACACCCAACCACAGAGAGCCAGAATTCCTCCATCCCCAGCCCAAGCCCCGCCTCATGCCCCCAATGGAGTGCACCCATGTCCTCGGGAAGGAGCTGTCACTGAAAACTCCCAGCTGGTGCCTCTAAAAGTGCATGCAACATTAACTGAGTGTGAAAGGGCCCTGTCCCCAAGCAGACACAGTAAAAGTGGACACATCCTGCTTCCGAACTGGGTTTCCAGCCTTCCCTTCAGATCGGCCAAGGAACACAGGTGGAAGGAGACCACAGGGTCTGTGGACTAATGGGTTAGTCCCCACACCCATTCCCAACAGCAGGGAAGCACCCACCCAAGAGCCGAGGCAGGCAGGAAGGAGACACTGTAAGCACCCTGGGAGATGTGGAGTCCCCCTAGCCCAGAGGTGAGTCCATATCCAGGAGTTCTGCTGGGGCCTCACCAGGCAGAGTCCCCCAGCCATAGCCGCAGGTGCTCAAGATAAACAGCAACGCGGTGGAAACTGCATCTGAGCCCGGGAGCAGGAGGAGTGGATTCGTGGGCAGCATTACAGTGCAAGAGTCATCAGGCTGGTGGCCATCACTCAGGACTGGCTTTTTGGACAGCAAACCTCCAGAATCAATTAAAAACCTAGCAGCAATTGTGAAAGGATGGGAGCAGGGATGAACCCTGAAAGAACAACCATGCTTCCCAGGCCCGCAAGAAGTCCCCCTAGACCACAGCGATAGAACAGTGGGGAAGGAGATCCTCTTGCTTGCTGCCCAATCGAGTTCGAGCCCCAGAACACCTAGCCAGCCACGACCGCAGAGCCACGAGTAAGTCCTGAGCACTGTCTGATGTGGCCCCAAACCCCGAATCTCCCAAAACAAGTGCCCCAGAAAACCTGATTCCGAGTACAAGGGCAGGGCGGTGAACGGTGCACAGTACACATGAGTGTAGGAGTGCAGGGGGCATGCTCAAGGCAGTGCCCTTGGTCAACACCTGCCACTGGGCATCAGTGGGGTGCTTGGGTTGCCTCGGACACCCCAGAAACGCAAGGGAAGCCTTGCCAGCAACCTCCCGAGCCACTCACTGGCAGGCGAGCAGGCGGGACAGCCTGGGCCTGAGTGACAGCGGCCTGCCCCGCCCACTCCGAGCATGTACCGCCTACTCCCGGCGTGCCCCGCGCCTGGCCTCCCGGAGAGGCGCCCCACAATCCCGGCCGCCCATTGGCTGGGGGCGCGGCGGGGGCGGCTCCGGGCGCAGGGCGGCGGATTCAAGATGGCGGCGGCCAGGGGACGGCTTCCAGCCGAGCGCCAAAGGGCACGCGTGTGGTGGCGGCTGGGCGGGAGCGCGCCCGCTCCTGGCGGAGCCCGGCGAGCCCCAGGGCCCGGCCGAAGGCTCCTGCGGGCCGGCGGGGAGGAGCAGGGAAGGCACTGCCACTCACCTTCGCTCTCCCGGCCTCCACCTTCCTGCGCCGCTGCTCTTGGTCATCCTCTTCCATATCCCACGGGCTTTTCGCGTAGCGCCGGGGGCCTGGGACCGCCGCGGTGCCGCCTTCGCTCTGTTTATACTCCCACCCCCTCGCTCATTGGCCCTGCCCCCCAGGCTCGCCCTCCCCTCGCGACAACTGTCACGCAGACGTGCGCCCGCCCCGGGCCACGCCGCCAATCAGGAAGCTGTGGCCTCGCCCTCGCGCAGGCGCGGCCCGGCCGGCGCGCCCGGCGCCAGACTCCGCCATCCTGCCGGAAGCGTCTCGGCAGCGCGTGGCCTCTTCCGCCCCGCTCGGACCGGGCCAATGAGCGGGTGCGAAGCCGTCCGCGCGCCCTGTGATTGGTCAGTTTTAAAGGCGCGCGCCGCCCTAGGGGTGGCGGGCGAGGCGCCGTCCAATGGGAGCACAGAGCGGGGTGGCTGGTGGCGCTACCCTTGATCACCGGGGGCTCAGCCCTAGGCCCCGGCCGCGGCCCGTGACTTCTGTCTGCGGCGCCAACTGGCGCAAATGCCCGCCGCTTCTGGCCGGCCAGACGTGTGTTAGGGGCCGGGAGCCGTGGTCGGAGCCGCGCCCCCGGAAGTCAAGTCGCCTTCTGATAATGCGGTGATCTTGCCCGGAGAGCCTGTGGTGTCCACGCCTGGTCATCGGCATGACCGTGAAGGACAGAGATGCGCAGGCGCTGGCCTTTGCCGTGAAAATGATGTAGGCAAGTAGATAGGGAAAGGCCCTTGGCAATGAAACTTGGATTAACAAAGTTTCAAGGAAGAAGAATTCTAGGACTTGACCCACCTTGTGGATACAGAAAACAAAGTCCTGATAAGACCATCCGCAGACCCTGAGGATATAGGCCTCCTCCCCATGAAGTTCCTCTTTTTGGGCCTCCCTTTTAATCCGATTAACTTTAGTGATTCAGCCCCAAGAAGACCATCAACGCTGCTCCCAACCTCCCTGGTAACCTTATTAGCAACAAACTTACCTGGGAAGAAGTTTCACGTGGGGGCTGGCTGGAGAAAACCTATAAAGGCCACCTTGAACAAAGGAAGGGCGCGCATATGCTGCCTGAGCTCATGTGCTGCTTGCGTCCATGTGGCCGAACACATGTGTCGCCCGCATCGCCCCTCTTGAGATGTACTTTCATGCTTTTGTGTCTAATGCTAGGATGTGTGTAGGGGCTCTCTCCGCCCTTGGAGAAGCCCGTGTTCTCTCTTGAGTACGTTACTCTCTCTTACTCTCTCCCCCTCCACACCTTAAAAATCCTCCAAATAAACTCTATTTATTTCACTGCTTGTCTACTCCTGAAATTCCTTTCTGCAAGGCGAGAGAAGAACCAGTAACCCTGGGTCTCAAGTGGCAGAGGCGGCTGGGGAGAACATAACCGTCTTTCTCCTCCCCACTTCACATAAGTCACCCGTGGGGCCCACCGACATCAAAAAGACAAGGCTGTCACCGCTAGACAACCCGTCACCAGCACAGTTAATGATTAATTACGCTGAGCATCAGTGCGCTTCGCACCAGACCATGCAGAAGGCACTTGGCGGTGTCAGGGCACCATCCCGTGTAGATGTGCTGCCTCACGAGGTCCAGGCCACGGGGTGATCCCTGTGGTGGGGCTGTCCCCGATCCCAGTGTCCTGGTGCGCAGGAGGGCTGAGGAGAGGCAACCTCAGGATCCTGAAGTCAGTGGGCCCCCATGGTGGCTTATGTGAGGCAGAGAGGAAAGAGATGGTCACTTTCTCCCAATCTACCTCTGCACCCCCCCCCCACACACACACACACACCAGCTGAGAATCCTCACACTGATAAAGTCTGCAGTGAGTCCCTGCATGGCAGAGGCCAGAGCAGGGCCAGCCCCACCTGGTGTCCACTTGGTCTCTCTGCTTGGGAGTTGATCCCTGCCACCTGATTTCTCGGTGAGCCACTGACTCAGCTTGGGGCAAGGAAATGCTCTTTGCAGGAAAGGAAATGCTCTTTTACAGGTCAGGTTCTTGTCTTGCCTCGCAGAAAAGAATTTCAGGAGTTGACAAACAGTGAAGTAAAAACAGCTGAGGGTTTTGAGGAAAGGTAAGAAAGGAGAGAAAGTAATGCATTCAAGAGAGAATGTGAGCTTCTCCAAAGGTGGAGAAAACCCCTCCACGCATCCCAGCATTAGATATGAAAGTACACATTTCAAGAGAGGAGATGCAGGAAACACGTGGGCACAGACAGCACATGGGCTTGCACAGTTTATATGCACTTTGTTTGTTCAAGGTGGCTTTTATAGGGTTTCTCCAATCTGCCCCAGGTGGGACTTTCTAACTAGGTAAGACTCAATTGCTAGAGCAGTGGCCAAGGGGGTTAGGTTGATGGTCTTTGAAATGCCTTTCCTGGCCTTTGTTCCAGCTGAATCTTCTCTCTGGAGGAGGGGGCTGTCCAGCCTTCTCTGATCTTTTAGTAGAGCCTCTAAAATTAATCGGATTAAAGGAAGAAATTGAGGGTTCTTGAGGAATTTCCTCAGGCCCTTACTGTAGGGAAGATTTCAGTCTCCTCGGGGTCTGCTGCTGGGGAAGATCTTAACAGGTCTTGCTTTCTCTGTCCACAAGGTGGGCCAACCTTAGAACTAGTGGCTCTATTACATGCCAGGAATTTCAGGTGGGTGAGCTAGGCTTTCCATAATCTACCTATCTACAACAACCCCAGATGGGAAAGCGAGAGTAAGTCTGCTGGAAGGCGGTCTCTGCTGAGCCCTGGGAGGCAAAGACCTTACCTTCATGGCAAGTTTTCGGTTGTGGTCAAAAGTTGACAGGGCTGGGGCTGGAGCAATAGCACAGCAGGTAGGGCGTTTGCCTTGCACGCAGCCGACCCGGGTTCAATTCCCAGCATCCCATATGGTCCCCTGAGCACCGCCAGGGGTAATTCCTGAGCACAGAGACAGGAGTAACCCCTGTGCATTGCCGGGTGTGACCCCCCCCAAAAAAAAAAAGTTGACAAGGCTGACAAGCTGCTCTGCCCTCTCACCTCCCTAGGCACCTTTTAATCTAGGCAAGTCAGCCTCTGCTCCTGTTTTGTTTCCTGCTTTATAATAAATCTGTAGAGAGCTGCTTGAATTGGGCAAATCTGTGGGGAATACAAGTACTTCTCTCTCATTTTAATCTGTATTTTGGAGTGGCAGAGGTAGATGTTTGGCCACTGGTGCTCAAGGTGCTGTTCATGGTTATGCTGGGATCTGCACCCTCTGCTGAACTGTCTGCCCAACATAGGAACTTGTCTTCCAGGCTTCCAGGTTGTGTGCCCAACTTAGTGGTTAGAGGGGAAGGTTTCCTCCCAAGTCCCTACCCTTCCTTCTCTGTGAGATCTTTGTATAAATTGACACAAATTCCAAGCTGCTATTTGGTTTAATTGGGCCACATCCTAGCATGAGCCACCAGTGGTGACCACATCAGCATAGCAACATGTTAGGGTAGACTGACAGCATCCTTAAGGGGGAATCCTGCCACCAGCCATGCAGCTGCCCAGGGTAGTGCCCATGAGCTTTATGGATACGTCTACATCTCAGGGGGCTGAGGCTTGTGGCTACACCATGCAAACTAAGAGAGCTTGCATGTTTAGCAGGAAACAACCCATCCTGCTGAAGCAAATGGAAGGATACCTTGAATGCCAGGCACTTCTGTTGACTGGTCAGGCACTTAGTTACCACAGTGACAGTTGACAAAGCTCTGGTTAAAGTCAGTTAGCGCTTATCAGCTTCCCGGAAGAGTGAGCTTGACTACACTGGCAACATTTGACAGTCATTCAGAATAAAGACTGTTGAATGAAAACAATTGTTTTCTTATCTAAACAAACAAGTTCAAAGTTGGTCAAAGTAAGGAACAGAAAAAATCTGAGTCCTACCAAGACTAAATCCACAGCCAGAGCTCCCAAGCTGCACCACATGAGGCCTCAAAAACGCATAAATAAGTAACAGTAGACCAATTGAGGGAGCAGTAAATACAGGTTGCTGGTAACAGTATAAATCTTATTTTTCTGCCCTAAAATCTCAGGGATTGATGCTCTTTCATAGAAGGTAAATGTACATACAAAAGATGGTCTTGGGAGGCTGGAGCGATAGCGCAACAGGGAGGGTTGTTTGCCTTGCACACAGCCGACCCGAGTTCAATTCCCAGCACCCCATATGGTTCCCCAAGAACCACCAAGAGTAATTCCTGAGCATCGCCAAGTGTGACCCCAAAAGCAAAATATATATATATTTTTTTCTTTGTGGAGGAGAAACAGTACAGCAGGTAAGGTGCTTGCCTTATATGTACCCAACTTAGGTTCGATCCCCATAGCGGCCCCTGAGAAATGAGTAACCCCTGAGCATTGTTGGATGTGATCCAAAAACTTAAAAAAAAATTAAAAATAACATTTCTCTTACTTTGTAAGACTGTTTAAAGAAAACCAGAAAATAAGCAGGACATTTAAAATAGTTTTGCTGTTAAGTAGCAACTGGGGAGGCACCAAGCAGTGCTGGGGGGTGGAGGGGGCGGGACGTGCAGACTAGAACCTGGGTCCAGCCCTCTGAACTATCTTCAAGGCCCTAGATTACTCTCTTTTTTTATTTTAAAATTTCTTTAATCACCTTGAAGTTACAATTATTCATAACTGGATTTCAGGCATACAATATTTCAACACCTTTCCCTTCACTGCCATCCGCTTTCCTCCATCGATACCCACCACCTGCATTTGCTCCTACTAAACAGTATGCTTCCATAAGAGGCACTTTGCTTTAAGAAGTTTTTGCACTGTGGTTTACAGCAATGTTGATAAGGATTTCATACATAACATTTTACCACCTTTCAGCACCACCTCTTCCTGGGTTAAATGCTTCCCTCCACCATAGTCGCTGTCCCATCACTGTCCAATCCTCCAGCCCCCTCAAGTGGCATGTTTCCTACTGAAGACGGGTTCTCATGTTCTTTGTTTCTGTTGCCTTTGGGTACTCATTATTCCATCATTATGTTTCTTTAGATCCTGCACATGAGAGAGATCACTCTCTGTTGCTCTTTTGTCCCTCCTACTAACTTTACACAGCATGATACGCTCCAGATCCCTCTATGTTGCAGCATATTATATGACTTTATAATTTCTTATGGCTGAGTTATATACCATTGTGGATACCTGCCATAGGTTCTTTTATCTAGGCCCCAGATTACTCTTTGTACTTACCAGATAATCTCTTACTTTTTTTCTTTTTCTTTTTGGGTCACACCTGGCAATGCTTAGGGGTTACTCCTGGCTCATGCACTCAGGAATTACTCCTGGCGGTGCTCAGGGGACCATATGGGATGCTGGAAATCGAACCTGGGTTGGCCCCGTACAAGGCAAACACCCCCCCCCGCTGTGATATCACTCCAGCCCCCCAAGACCATCTCTTGTATGTAAGTTTACCTTCTATGAAAGAGCATCAATCCCTGAGATTTTATTTTTCATAAGATTTATACTGTTACCAGCAACCTGTATTTACGTCTCTCAATTGGTCTACTGTTACTTATTTATGTGTTTTTGAGGCCTCACCTGGTGCAGCTCAGGAGCTCTCAACTCAGTGCATGTGGGGGTCATTACTGGTGGTCCCTGGAAGGCCCAGGGATCAGACCTAGGCCTCCTGCATGCAAAGCCGGATCTCTTAATTTTTTAGAAGTAAACCCCAATCCTTAATCTTTCCAACTGATTTTTTGTGTGTGTGCTTTTTGGGTCACACCAGGGGTTATTCTTGGCTTTGCACTCAGGAATTACCCCTTGTAGTGCTCAGGGGACCATATGGGATGCTGGGAATCAAACCTGGGTTGGCTGCGTGCAAGGCAAATGCCCTACCCGCTGTGCTATTGCTCCAGTTCCTTTCCAACTGATTTTTACAGGGGTCATAGCTACGGGTACATTGAGAGACACAACTGTATAAAAATATTGAGGAGAGCCTCTTGATGGGCTGAAGCATGGCTTGACATGCGGGTGCCCAACTCTCAGTCCCTTGCATTGTAGGGGCCTGCTGCGTGTCATTGGGGCTGACTTCCAAGCATTGCCAGGTGTAACCCAAAACCAGAAAGTAGTATTGGGGAGCCTTTTGTAGGAGGGGTCTGAAATCACTCAGGATTTCTGGGACCCCTCTGTTCTATTGTTGTCTTTGTGCTGATAGCACTGCAGGTACACTCTCAGCCCAGGCACCCTTAGAGTTGAGCACCCTGGACTCACCCCCAGGGCCACCAAGTGCAGGGAACTCTCCTGGCATCACGCTGTGTGGCTACACTTCCTGCTCCTGACCCACAGCCATGAGCAACAGAGCAAACACTAGGTAGTGCCTCAGAATAGGGGCTGGGGGCAGCAAGATGGCACAGCCAGGCACAGACTTTCCAAGAACAGCAGAGACTCAGCTTCACGCCAGAGCACAGGTCTCCCACTGCCCTCCCACAGTCGGACATTATGAGCCAGGACAACGGTTTCCAAGGGTTTCCAAGCCGGCACTCAACTCCAGGGTTACCTCTCAGACTCCAAGACCAATTTCAACTTTGACTTTTTGTTTAGTTGTGCTGCTCACACATGGCCAGTGGCAGTGTAGGCTTCTCACAAGTGTTCCTATGAAACATTTAGGGCATATCTTTCCACAGTGTCAGGGGAAAGACCTAGTTAGGTGAGCTTCACAGTACGTGGTCTGCATGCCACAGAGGGAAATGCCCAAATGGTGAGTTCCTGAGAGACAGGAGCCAACTCATGGAGATGGCAGCAGTGAGGAGAGTCAGCAGAGTCACCCTACATCAAACAACATGACCTCTTAGGTCATGTCTCAGCACAGGACCTCCCTCCAACCCCCAGGGAGCAGCAATGGGAGGATGTGGCTGTGAAACAGGAGCCTGGGAGGGACATACCTCCAGGGCATCAGCAATCCTGAGGAAGAGGTAACAGTGACAGTGAGGCTACAGGTGATAGTGGCCCCCAGGAACAGGTGGCCCTGCAGGGCCAGGCTGCATTCAGTAGTGCCCTGGACATATGAGGAGAGAAGGGTCATGTGCCTGAGTGGTTTGCACCCCTCCAGGAGCCCCAGGGAGAAGAGCTCTGCAAACTGCTGCCCCTTGAACAGTCACATTTGGTGATCACAATGTCACAGAAGATGTAGCTAGGGCCATATAGTGTCTATGTTCCTGCATGGGAAAGACACATTACTGATGAGCTCAGGTGACCCACTGGAGCCTGTCCACAGCTGCCCCTCAAAGACAGTCCCAGAACAAGGCTCGGGCAGAACCCGGGGAGGGGGGAATTCTGCCACCTTCTCATGTGGGACCTGTCTTAAAGCATAAAGTCTGTTAAAGGCCAGCTGGCCTACTCGTGGCCCCTGATCTGTAAAGGTCAGGTGACTGTCAGGGCCATGATGCAGTAACCCAAGGACATGTATTAGGAAGGTTCTTGGGGTATCCTTGGTTTCTGATGCCTCTTCTAGGTGAGCGCCTGGTGGAGCAGACACTGTGATCACTCTCACCTCGTCCCATCTATCCCCCTCCCGCCTGTGTACTGAGCGGGCTGACAAGCTGTGACTGACAGGTGAGCTCCCGGGCATGGACAGCTGGGCTGGGCTGCCTGTGCCCGCCAGTACCACATGCTCTGTGTCACACACCCTTTAGAAAAGGCTTCTAAGCCTCACACAGCTCCTGCCTCATCCCACAGGCACGACATGGCAGAGGGACCCTGGACAGGTAGACCGTATGGACCCCACATCTCCCCTGAAAGCCCAACTTAAAGGGTCTATGGGGGTTGCTGAGAGTCCCACCTAAAGCTGGGCAAGTCTCCTAAAGCCTGCTGGCCGCTGACAGCCCCTACACCCTGGGCTATTAACTCACTCCCATCTGGCTGGAAGTGTCCCCACCATAGGTCAGTGGGTGGCTGCCTGAGGCCTGGATTCCCCTGCCCTCAGGTTCTGTTGCCACCTACTATGACTTCCAGGCATGCCCCACCCAGCCACACTGGGCACTGCTGTATTTACTGGTCAGACCGCGCAGGACAGAACAGCCTGGAAGGGCCCAGAGGAGCCCTGGCAACTGCCCTGCTGCCCAGCAACACCAGCCGGGCTGCACACAGTGGCTCAGGTGGCAGGGCAACACGGGGACCCTTCAAGGGGCCAGGGACTGAGAGTGGCCCTTCCTGGACAGCATGCAGGACTTTCCAGGAGAACAGATGACCCGCCTGTGCCTGAGACTCCTGGAGAAGGTGAGAACCGGGCACTGCAGTGGGGCTTTTTCTTCTTTTTGTCTTTTAGCCACACCCAGCAATGGTCAGTGCTTACTCCTGGCTCTGCACTCAGGAATCACTCCTGGCGAGCTCAGGGACCTTATGGGATGCCAGGGAGTGAACCTGGGTCAGCCACATGCAAGGCAAGTGCCCTGTCCAGTGTACTGTCGCTCTGGCCTCTCCTTTTCTTTTTACTTTGGCCTCCCAAGCAGTGTGCGGTGGCCTCTGGTCAGACTGGAAGCCATGCTGCTTAGGCCCTGCGGTATCAGGGATGACTCAGGCCACCCAACAGTAACAAACGGTGCTCAGGGGCCTCCAGGGCTGCTGACCTGTCCCTACCTCATCACTGACTGACCCCGGGGCAGATGTTGTTGACCAGCCTTCAGAGAACAGCGGGAAAGGGCAAAGGGTTCCCTTCCTTTCAGACTAATCTCTGCCCTGACAAACCTCTACACAGTTTCTTACCCCATGATGAAGGAAAGTGATTTCTTGGTTTTTCTTCTTTGCACTGCTTTCGTTCTCATTTATTTATTTATTTATTTATTTATATTACTGTAGTTTTTGGTTTGGGGACCTGCTCCTGGCTCAGTGCTGAGGGGTGCAAGGGGGACCATGTGCTGTCAGGATGGATGCTGGCCCACTTGCATAGCTGAGGCTCAACCCTTTGAACCTTTCCTGCCCACTTCTTTTGTTCTCACTTTGTGCCCCCAGGACCCAGCATGCTTCTGGGCTGGTTCCTCTGACCCTGTGCTGGTGTGTTTGTTCACAAAAGTGAATGTGTGCTGCATGCATTCAGTTCCCCTCCAAACTAATTCCTGCCGGGCTGGCACCACTGCCAAAGACGCATGAAGGAGGGAACAGAGCCGTCAAAACTGATTGATGATCAGTAGCTATTTATTCCAATCTTCTGCATCTCCATACCAGACTCACATTCCTCTCCTCCTGTAGGGTAACATTGCTTTGTCCTTCTTCCACAAGAAGCTTAGGTTTATCTGGTGACACCCATCAATCTGGTTACACCCATCACAGTGCTCCAGAGGCACTTCCACTTCCATTGTGTTTACATGTAAACAGTCTTCCCTATGCTCTCCTTCCCACCCAGTTAATCAGCTTTCCCCTTAATCAGACTTTGTTAAGTTGTAAAGTCAGTTTCCCAGAAATCTATGATTTTATATGTATGAGTGAAATATTGCCTTTCTCCTCTCCTTATGCCTTATGAACAGTTTACTTTAAAGTAATATCCTTTTTGTATAGATACAGGAAGACGGTTAACATCATGCTTTGTAACTTTAGGATTTGATTGGCCTTGAATATTATTCACTTCCAGGCATCTGCTTTCTCGACTTAAGCCTCAGTTGCCCTTAGTTCCTAACATCCCAAAAGCAGGGTCCCGACGAGGGACTGAATGGACCCAGGGCAAGCGGTGAGCTACCCTGGCAGCGAAATGGGCCAGGCCAAAGTGCCATGATTCTTAACTATAAGTTAAGAGTTTGATCATAGACAAATGCTGTCATGATCCAAAGGTAATGACAAGACTAGGATCCTGCTAGGGGTGGGAAAGACTATCTGGCCTGAGCACCGTAGTCTGAGATCGAGATGGCCCTAGGAGAGCAATTCTATAAGTTTAAGATATTTCTTACTGTATCCATACAAAATGATTTATATTATATTCTTATATGCTTGTCGGACAAGGAGAGGAGAGGCACACCCATGGGATTCTGCTCTAGGGTGGGTCCTCCTGCTGAGAAACGATCTGTCCTAGGAGTGGCCTTCCCTGAGGCTAAGATTTCTACCCCTATTGATTTCTACCCCTATTGATTGTGACCACACCTATGTATAATTGTTCCCCCAATTCCTCTTGGAGAGAGATATAAGGAGACTGTAGATTGGGCATAGGGGGGCAGAGACAGATGAAGAGAGAATCAGAATAAACTACGACTAATACCAACCAGCCTGGCCCTCGTTCCTTCCTCCGCTTGACCATCGCCATCGACCTCCCTGGGTGGGAGAAGGGTGAGACTACTGAACACGGGCAGCGGGAGAGATAGAGCCACCGCTGCTGTGGGTGCCGTGCCCCTTTTTGTGTGAGTTTACACATCTGGCGTCCTATATTCCAACATTGTGTGAGTTTACACATCTGGCGTCCCTGGGTGGGCACAAACCACCAACCTTTCGGTGATTGATGATCAGTAGCTATTTATTCCAATCTTCTGCATCTCCATACCAGACTCACATTCCTCTCCTCCCAGTCTCACACTGCCCATCCAGCTTCACTCTGCCCATCCATTTTCACTCTCCCCCATTCCAGTCTTACTTTGCCCCCTTTCCTGTCTTCCAGTTAGTTAAGAGCCCAACCTCCAAAGGTTGGGAATAGCAAATAGACAGAGGTGAGGTAGCACAATGAATATTTGTAAAGCCCCTCCTTCCAGGAAGCTTCTTCTAAGACAAAGATCTCAACCAGCTAGGAGACCCGCTCAAGGGCAGAATTTCATCTAAGGGTGTACTTCTCCTTTCCTTAGTCCATAAACAATCATCTTAGATTTACTTCTTAATAATCTTTCTGGGCTGGAGCTATAGCACAGCGGGTAGGGCGTCTGCCTTGCATGCGGACCGGGGTTTGATTCCTCCACCCCTCTCGAAGATCCCGGCAAGCTACCGAGAGTATCTCGCCCGCACAGCAAAGCTTGGCAAGTTACCCGTGGCGTATTCGATATGTCAAAAACAGTAACAACAAGTCTTACAATTTTTTGTGAGACGATACTGGTGCCCGCTCGAGCAAAATTGATGAACAACGGGAGGAGAGAGAGAAAGATAATCTTTCTAGTCATTTAGTATGGACACAGTAAGAGATATATTAAGCTTATAGGGAGACTTTCCTGGGGACATCTCGCTGTACATCCCAGACTACAGTCCTCAGACCAGATTAGTTCTTCCTAACCCCAGCAGCATCCTTGTCCGGTTACTTCTCTTTGGGTCATGACAGATTTTGTCCATGACCATGCATTTAACTTATTATGAGTTTTATGGTACTTGGCCTGTTCTTTTCGATGCCAGAGTAGCTTACAGCTTGCCCTAGGTTCATCCAATTCCTTTGTCAGGATCCTCCTTTTGGGGTGCTAGGAACTAAGGGCAACTAAGGTTTAAGTCATGGAAATATGACAGATGCCCAGGAATAAATATTATTCAGAGTCAATTAACTCAAGTTGCAAGAGCATAGCTCTGTCTTCCTGTGTCTACACAAAAAGGGCATTGCACTAAAGTAAACTGCAAAGGACATAAAGGAAAGAGAAAAGCAGTATTTCACTTACATATACAAAATTCAGGGTTCTTAGAAGAATCTGACTTTACAAGTCACAGGGTCTCATTTGGGAATATAATTGATTAACAGACAGGGGAAGGAGAGCACAGAGGAAAAGTTAAAGATAAACACAGAGGAATGGGAGTGTCTCAGGAGCACTGTGATGGGTGTAACCCAGTAAACCTAAACTCCCTGTGGCAAGGGAGAAAGGATGGAGGAGAAAGGATGAACTAATGTTATCCTACACTGGTGCTTAGGGGAAGATCCTGTAAATCTCTGGGCTGTATATCTGCACTCACTGTACACAGAGTGACCACACGGTTCCTGGGGACACAGGGGCAGGCCACCTGCCACACACATTCTGCTCCTGTCACTTGTCTGGGGCCTGATGTGGCCAAAAGGGCTGGGCAATCCCTCCAGGCCTCATCTTTATCTCTCTCTCTCTCTCTCTCTCTCTCTCTCTCTCTCTCTCTTAGAAACTGGACCAAGAGCGTGAGGATGTGGAAGGCGATTCTGAGGACACCCGACTCATGCCAGGTGAGACAGCCTCTGGGAGGCAGCCAGAAAGCACAAGAGCCCCCACTGCCCAGTCCTTCCCTTCTACTCGTGTTCAAGACACCAGAGTGGCTGCACTGACCCTCCTTTCCAGGAGAGACCCCAGGTCCCTGATGCTGGAGTGCCCACACCCCAACCCATAGGCTGGCCCCAGACACCACCTCCCTGGGGGTTAGGCACTTGTGGGGGCTGGGTCTGGCTCCCCCACAGGCTGTGGGCCATGGGCCTAGGCTGACTGCATCTCTCAGCCAGCACTGCCCTTGCAGGGTCCGAGGGCCAGCTGCGGAGCGCTCTGAGGAGGAGGAAGGAGCTGCTGCGCAGGCTCTGGGTACGAGGTGCTTCCCGGGAGGGTTCTGCAGAAGGCCTGGACACAGGCACCCGGAATCTGCACACATCGAAACCCACACGGGCTGCAGTGCTGTGGCGGGTGCAGGAGTGGCTGTGCGCAATACCAGAACCCCACCCTTAGGGAGGGAACTAGGATATGACGAGCCACCAGGCTGCACCCGGGATGCCCAGCAGGACTGCCTGGCAGTGAATGCAGTGGGCAGGGCCCATGCCGCAGCTCTCCTGGTTTGGCAGGACCAGCACCTCCTAGAAGAGCTTGCTGGGCCGCAGGCCTGGAGCGGAACCAGCAGAGGAACCCACCGACCAGCACTACCCCCCGAGCTGCCGCCCTCCCCACCACTGGCCCCTGAGCCCCAGCGTGTCATCCAACACTTGGTCAGTCTTCGGGCACTGAGGGGGCAGAGCTGTGTGTGTGCAGGGCTATGCCACTCACCCCACTGAGCAGCACTCAGGGGTTCTTCCACACCTCATCCTCTCAGACCAGCATAGGGTCTCACAGTGGGCTCTGAGAGTCTGTCTGCTATGCACCGGGCCCTGTATGAGGACATCTCTGTCAGCCACTGAGAGGCGTAGGGGAAGGAGCAGCAGGAAGACAGGAGCAGTAGGAGGAAAGGAAGGATGATCAGGAGGAGCAGGAAGGGGAACTACAGTTGTCTGCCAGCCTGTTGTAGCCTCCTACGGAGAGAAGGGCCCCCCTCTGAGACTCTTCCCCTCCTTTTCTTTGTTGAGGGACTCACCAGGCAGTGCTCAGAGCTTACTCCTGGCTCTGCACTCAGGGACTTGGGAACCATATGGGTTGCTGAGGATTGAACCTGGGTCTGCTTGCAGTTTGGATACCAACCCTATTAACTTATGGCCTTGCCCTTTTGACCTCATTACAACTTTTAAATTTTGTTAGTTTTCAGTTTTTAGGCCAAACCAGGCAATATTCAGGGGTTACTTCTGGCAGTACTTCAGGGACCATATGGGATGCTGGAGGTTGAACCCGGGTTGGCCTCCCGCACCTACCACTGTACTATCTCTTTATCTCTTTAACTTCATTTAACTTTTCTCATCCTACAACTTTAACATGAGTTCAGGGACAGACAAAATCATCAGCCCAAATATCACATCCTACATAATACCCAGATTGAAATATCTAGTTGTAGGAAGTCTATTTAAGCTCAAGGGACAATAATTTAAAGTTCCCTACTTATGGACAGATAAGTGATGATGGCTGGTGGGTGGTTGGGTGGATTGAAGGATGGGTCAGTGGGTGAATGGATGAATGGATGAGTGGGATGGTGGGTGAGGGATGGGTGGATGAAAGCTTGTTGGGCAGATGAGGTTGGGTGATTCAATGAACAAGTGGCTGGGTAGATACTTGGTAACAATTCTTCTGCCCTCCTAGATCCCCCCATCTCCTGCCACCATCATTCAGCAGCTCCCACAGCCACCACTAGTGGCACAGCTGCCCCCTTCCCAGACAGTTTCTACTCAAAGGTCAACAAGTATCAAGGAAGGTAAGTGTCCCAGCTGTTATGGGATATGAGATCCTCCCCTGAAGGAAGAGGTTTTGAAAGCTAGTCACTTTGGGATCCACTTTTGGCTGTTCAACTGAAGTTATTTTTTTAAAATAGCCTAGCTTTAGGAAATCTTTGTATAGGATTGTAGCTCCGTGGTAAAGCATATACAATTTATGATCCCCCAAAATAGGAGAAAAGAAATCTTAACCAGCGACTATCTCTGAGGGAAGAAAACAAGAGTTAGCAGGAAGGAGGCTGGAGAGGTCTGGGCTCTCAGCTCAGCTGAACCCTTGGTTAGAGCATTTCTCCTTCTTTTTCTTTTTGGGTCACACCTGGCTCTGCACTCAGGAATTACTCCTGGCAGTGCTCAGAGGACAAGATGGGATGCTGGGGTTTGTTCCCGGGTCAGCCATGTGCAAGGCAAACACCCAACTCACTGTGCTATCACTCTGGCCTGGTTACATTGTCTCTATTATGGACTCTGCTCTCGACTCTGCCAGCTATTTAGAAACCCTGGTTAGACAATTTCTATTAGAGTCATTTTTTTTTAAATTATTAGTGAAACACCATGAGATACAGTTGTAGACTTACAAGTTTTTGTGCTTGGGTTTCAGTTATATGATGATTGAGTACCCATCCTACCACCAGTGCCCATTCTCCACCCCCACCAATCCCAGTATCCCTCCCACCCCCCCATCCCCCAGCCCACCCTGCCTCTGTGGCAGGGTACTCCCTTTTGTTCTCTCCTATTGGGTGATGTGGTTTGCAGAAGAGGCATTGGGTGGCAATCATGTTAGGTCTATAGTCTACTTTCAGCATGCATCTCCCATCCTGGGTGAATCTTCCCAGCACCCTTTATTTGGTGCTCCCTTCTCTATCTGAGTTGCCTTTACCCCTAGAGTGTGCGGCTGGCCTCGAAGTCATGGAGTGAATCTCCTGGTATTTATCACAGCTGTTCTTGGGTGTTAGTCTCTTATTTTGTTACTTTATGTTGCCCAAATGAATGCAATCTTTCTATGTCTATCCCTCTCTTTCTGGCTCATTTCGCTTAGCATGATATTTTCCATGTAGTACCACTTGCATGTAAATTTCATGACTTCATTTTTCCTAACAGCTACACAGTACTCCATTGTGTAGATGTACCAAAGTTTCTTTAACCAGTCATCTGTTCTCGGGCACTCAGATTTTTTCCATATTCTAGCTATTGGAAACAGTGCTGCAATGAACAAACAAGTGCAGGTGTCACTTTGACTATACTTTTTTTGCCTCTCCGGGGTATATTCCCAGGAGTGGTATTGCTGGGTCAAATGGGATCTCAATTTCTAATTTTTTGAGAATTGTCCATACTGTTTTCCAAAAGGGCTGAATCAGTGGGCATTGCCACCAGCAGTGAAGGAGGGTTCCTTTCTCGCCACATCCGCGCCAACACAGGTTGCTTTTGTTCTTTTGGATGTGGGCCAGTAGTGTGAAATGATATCTCATTGTTGATCTTCATCTCCCTGATGATTAATGATGTAGAGCATTTTCTCATGTGCCTTTTAGCCATTCAGATTTCTTCTTTGAGAAAATTTCTGTTCATTTTGTTGCCCCACTTTTTGATGGGGTTGGATGTTTTCTTCTTGTGGAGTTCAACCAGTATTTTGTATATCCTGTATATCAACCCCTTGTCAGATGTGTATTCGGCGAATATCCTTTCCCATTCTGTAGACTGTCTTTGTATTTTGGTCACTGTTTCTTTTGAGGTGCAGAAGCTTCTTAGTTTAAGATAGTCCCATTTGTCTATCTCTGTTTTCACTTGCTTGGCCAGTGGCATGACATCTTTGAAGATACCATTAGTTTCAATGTCATGGAGGGTTTTGCCAACTTTTTCTTCAATGTACCTTAAGGATTCCAGTCTGATGTTGAGGTCTTTGATCCATTTTGATCTTACTTTTGTACATGGTGTTAGGCAGAGATCTGAGCCCAGTTTTTTGCATGTAGCCGTCCAGTTTTGCCAGCACCATTTGTTAATAGAGTCATGTTTTACATCATTGGTTTTGGTCACTGAAGTAAAATAAGAGTTAGAGGAGGAGGAGAGAGAGAGAGGGAGAGAGAGAGAGAAAGAGAGAGAGAGAAGAGACGGGGAGAGAACATCCAGCTGTGACACAGGTCATAGAAAATGTGCCTTTTTGAGGAGTTTTGGGCCATATGTGGTGATACATTGGACAGAGGTCAGCCACATGCAGGGTGAGCTAAAATTTTAGTGCCTGAACTCTCTCTTGGGCCAACTTCCCTGCTGCCTATCAGCCAGGGAGAGTGCTAGTCCTTTGTTCCTCTCACAGTCAGTAGCTCTCCTTCTGACCCTCCTAGATGTCCTCTTAGTTGAGTGGTTATAGGAATGCAGCTGTAGTGCCTGCCCCCAATCCCTGATTCCATGGCAAAATCTGTGTTCTCCAGAGCCTTCCAAATAAGGGATCCCACGGAGATGCATGTCTAGACAGCTGTGGGCATGGGCCAGCCTCCACACTGAGTCCCATCTTGATGGTGGCAGGAAGGCATTTGGGAGGAAGTGCACTTTGCATACGAAGCTTGGCTCTCTCTGGGCCAGCAACGGAGCCCTGTGAGGCCGGGCCAGCAGCAAGCCCAGTCCTCAGTGGACACATGAATGGGAGGCTGATGTAACCCTGTGGGCACTTACTGCGGGGCCAGAACTTGCCCCTTCTGGCTCAGCTGGGGCTGCATGTGTGTGTGAGCATGTGCGTGGTGTGGCCTCATGCCTGTGTCAGGAGAGTCATGGCAGAGGCCATGAGTCCTGCACATGCTCACCCCGCCCCCCTGCAGACATGGTGGAGATGATGCTGATGCAGAATGCACAGATGCACCAGATCCTCATGCAGGGGCTGATGCTGAAGGCGCTGCCACCAGCCGCATTCCAGGTGGGCTCAGCGGGGGGGAGCCCCCCGGGCTGGGGGATGACCAACCTGACCCAGACACCCAGGGGTCCCTGGGGAATGCCTGGCTCTGCCTGGGCTCTGTGTCCCCTGTTCCCTCCAGATGAGGACAAGGTTCCCCTCCTGCAGGGGGCCCTGTGGGGTGGGGCCTGCTGAGAGGGGCGCAGTGCTGGGGCCCCGTGGGGACAGACCTGCTGAGAGGGACCTTGTGCTAAGACCCCACAGCCACCACCTCCTGGGGCTCTTCGAGTTGAGAGGCAGAAACCGCTGTCTGTGCACCACCACCACTATGCCCCCTCTGGCACTATGGGATACTCACCATGGCCCCCTGTGGTCTCGGCCACCACCCTGCCCTCTGCTGCTGGCTTCCTGCCCACCCTGCACCATGTGGCTGGGCCCTCCACAGCTGCCCTCAACCTGTAAGTCTTAGCTGGAATCCTGGGGGTAGGATGGGGAGCCCGGGTGCACCCCCACCTCTGCTAGATGCTGCTCTGCTGTCTTCCGAGAGATCCACCCAGGGAACCTCCTGGTCCACCCAGTGTGGTGGCCACATCCCCACAAAAGCACCTACTTTGTGGGGTGCACTATAATGGCCTCTGTCTATTCCCTTAGGGCGGCTGATGGGGTTCCACGCCCCCAGGCTCCAGGCCTGTGAGCCCTGCACCTGCCCCTCTGAGGAGGAATCAGCTCCGGTGAGTGCTGTCATACCAAAGGGCCCAGGTGGAGAACTGGAATCATGAGCCACCTGGGGGCTCTGAGGAACCCAGGCTGGGCATCCTGAGGGCAGAGGAACTGAGTCCCCAGCCAGGCAGGCGCCCTGCATTCTGTGAGGGCACAGGTGCTGGGTAGCTAGAGCAGCGGCCAGCAGTGGGGGATGCCTCACAGGCACCGGAATCTGGGATTGGTCCTGCTGCACAGGTCTATGGCTCGGCTCCCTGTTGTGGGTTTTCCCCCTGTGCATCCAACCATTACCTCACTCCCTGATTCTTTTTCCTGGTGGGACTCATTTCTGTGCCACATTACTGTGGTTTCAGTCTCAGGGTCCCTGGGGTCAAGCAGTGACCTCATGAGCAGAGAGCCCGCTGAGAGGGGACCCTAATATACATGACTCCCTGGCTGAAGACAGGGGGTTCTGAGCACAGCTCCCAGAGTGAATAGCAAGGGGTGCTGGGCACAGCTCCGGGGAGGAAGTGGGTGGAGGTGATTCTCAGCTGGACACTTGGTGCAGTTCTATGGGAGCATGGAAGGGGGTGTTGGGCACAGCTTCCAGGGGACAGCAGGGGGCTGCTGGGTAAAGCTCAGGGAAGGGGGTGGGGGCAGTGCTCAGCTGGATGTTCGGTGCAGCTTCCAGTGGATGGCAGGGGTGCTCCATTGTGCCATCTGGCGCAGTGCTGTGTGCAGGCAAGGATTTCCAGACTGCATGACTGACCACTGAAGGTGCACCCAGCTTGTCCTCTGTTAACCCTTGACTTCTCAGCTTATGACTGATGGGCGGGGTCTGACCATACTGAAAGCCTGAGCTGTTGGCCAGTTGGGCTTCATGAAGGAAGGAAATGGTCCTGCATCTAGAAGTAGGGCATATGGGGGAAGCCCAGGGCAGGTGAGTGGCAGGCGGGTCATGGGGTAAAGACACTCCCCCAGACGCTGGCAGCCCCGTGGGCAGGGCCACTCAGAGGGTTTTGTAGGGCTGGGGTGCAGGTTGGACTGGCCCTGGCTGTGTGCCAACAGGAAATAGCGTCGGGCTTGCCTTCTGATGTCCTTGCGTCTTCACACTCATAACACACCTTTTCAACAGCAGGAGGGGGGTGATGGTGGGGGGCATGTCCAGCTGAGGGATCTCAGCCTGACTCCCTCAGGTCATCAAAGCACAAGCCCTCAAAGATGTTTGGAGGGCGTCACCCCCAGCTCTATGGGGAGAGGTCCCTCTGTGTGCATCTCCAACGACACTCTTAGCCCTCTGTATCAGCTGAGAAGAGCCTGCAGGTGCTGGGGTTCTGTGGGAGCCCTGTGTTCAGCCACATAGAACAGAAGTGGGGATGCCCCTAGCAGTCAGTGGTACAGAAGTGGTCCCTCTGGGTAGCCAGGGTGGGCACATCGGACAATGGCCCTCACTCGCTGCTAAGGAGCAAAATGGTGCTGGAGTCTGTGGAGGAGCTGGGAAACAGGGTGGTGAGCCACCCAGGCAGGCATGGGCACCGACCTAGGGAGTGGGGTGCACCTGGGAGGGGATGGCGGGCGCAGCTCTGACGGACAAATGTGGTGACCCTGCACCGTGGGTCGACACTGGTTCACACCCGCAGGGGAATGCAGGACTTGCGGGGCCCAGGGAACGTGCAAACTGGAGGACAGGAGTGAGGGAGGCTGCATGGCATGTTCCAGCAACGCCACACAACTGTGTGAGCATGAGGACTGCAAGTGTGGCCCACGGAGCCCCCAGAAGATGCCCGAGACCCTGTGAGCACCATGAAACAGCAGAGGGAAGGGAATGGGGGATAAACAAAGGCAAAAAACACAGCTACAGGTGACTTGGGTGGCATCGAAGAAACACCAGCAAGGGTGGCAGGTTTGCGGTCACCTTGGGAAGACACGGAGGCTGGAGATGCGCAGGGTAGGCATCAGCATCCCTCTATGGGGAGCGTGGGTGTATCTGGGCCTGGCGGCAGACAGGCTCTGTCCAGTGGAGCTGAGCCCCTCGAGCTGTGAGTGCCAATGACTGCCTGAGCAGGATTGGACAGGACACGGGCAGAGTTCATGGGACCGACAGCAGCCGACTCTCCTGGAGGCAGGGGATAGGACATGTTTGTGGGAAGGAAGTTTCCTGGTGTCAGTGTCCTGCTCACAGAGCACTGTGGGCACTGGAGACACCACTCACTGTTGTGTCTAGGCTGGGGTTCAGGTTCTGGTGCCCAGGTCAACCAGCACAGCAGAGTCGAGTCTAGTCATTGTGGCCACAACCAGACACCCGGCGAATGCAGAGCCCAGGTGCAACAACACCTCTCTCATTGGTGAGGAAGCCGTGCTCAAAGTTGCTTTATTTATTTATTTATTTGGGTCATACCCGGCAATGCTCAGGGGTTACTCCTGGCTCTGTACTCAGGAATTACTCCTGGTGGTGCTCGGGGGACCATATGGGTTGGCCACGTGCAAGGCAAATGCCCTCCTACCTGCTGTGCTATCGCTCCAGCCCCAGAGTGGCTTTATTTCGACATGAGACGAGCGTCCACTGTTTAAGAACAGAAGCTGGAGCTGGGCTCAGGCCTGTATGATAACAAGCAGAGCTGAGCGGGATTTGGGGGAACCTAGCACAGCCAATCTCTCGTCTCACTGTGCCAGAGTCCAGCATGTGTTCATGTGCCCACACTTGTGAGCTCCTATCAGAAGAGGTCCCGGGTCAGGGGCTGCAGCTGGGTTCCCGTGTGCCGACTCAGCTCCTCTAGGACCTGCTTCTCCTTCTGGAACATCTGCAAAGGGACAGGCCCAACTGGAGCAGTCCGAGAAAGGACCCAGCTACCAATCTGCCCTTACCCATGACTTGCTGAGTTTGATTCCCCTCCTGGGGCCTGTGTCACAGGGCTGGCCAGAACCACCTGCCTCTGTTCCCTGGCCAAGGAGCACGGGGGCTGGATACATAGCAAGGGGAGGCCTGAGGGCAGCCTGGGGGGACAGGCCACAACACAGATGTGGAGGGGCAAAGATACTCAGGGAGAGGGCAGTGGTCACTCAGGAGGAGATTCGGCCCGTGGTCAGTGTATCAGGGGATGACACTGCAGCTGAGAGGCACCACAGAGATGGGCTGAGCCCAAAGGTGTTTTGTTTTGGGCTCACACCCAGCTCAGGGTGTGCTTGCTCCTGACTCTGTGCTCTGGAGCCACTTCTGGAGGTTCAGGAGACCTTATGTGGACATCAGGCAAGGCAAGCACCCTGCCCACTGTTCTGTCACTCCGGTCCCTCCCAAATTTTGTTTTTCACATGTGCTGCGAGAGGCAGGCTGGGTGTCTTGGTTCTGGAGCGGCTCCTACCTTCTGCCACTCGGCCTCTGTGTTGTGTGTGAAGCCTAGTAGGTGACACAGTCCATGGGTGGCAGTCACCTATTAGAGTAGAGGGAAAAGTGGTGGGACAGAGAGTCACTTCCCAGCATTGCAGACTGTGTCTTGTGTAGACTGCTGGGGCACTTGCCATCCTGGGTCTTAGACACTCCAGACCAGTACCGGGCACGAAGAGCCCCATCCAAAGTGCCAGAGGTCAAAGGGGAGTGGGCTTAAGGTCAGGTAGAAGGACACTCCCAGCCCACCCACAGAAGAGAGGATGGGGGAGAGAGGATGGGGGTTCTCTGAAAGACCCTGCTTTTACTGATGCAGGGTAGAGGCAGGACTGGGGCTGGTCGCGCTGGAGATAGACATTGGCTCTGCCATCCACGTGTGCTCTGGGAGAAGCTGCAGGGCTGAGGACATGGTGGGCATGCAGTCAGCTTGCCCATGTGCTGCTGCAGCTTGAGTACAGTTCAATCACGGGTCTATGGGACTGTGGATGCTCACCAGGGCTTTCTCTGGGGGGAGATGAGGGAGCATGTCTCCCAGGAGCCCTTTCTGGGGCATCGTCCCACTAGCCAGGACCTGTCTCTGCACCCCCACTTACAGTCAGGACATCGTAGAAATCCTCAACACTGCTGCACTGCTGGGAGATGTACTCCACGCCCAGGAAAATGTCCCCCAGGTCGTAGTCAGCTGGGAAATCAGGCAGGGGAATTTCCCCTGCTTTCAGATTCTGTAAACAAAGCCACATTTAGAGAGGTGATGTCAGGAGGCACAGCCGCAGGCTCCCTGCCCTCTCTACGGCCACCAGTGAGTGGACTCGAAGACTTCCTTATGCTGATCCTCTCACTCTCTGATTCCAGGGAATGTGGTCACAAATCCTGAGGGGATTTGAGACAATATGACTGAGGGGAAGTGAGACAATATGCTTCATCCTGCCCAGTGCTCAGTGCTCTTGTCCTTCCCAGGACCCCTGCACACAACTGTCCTCCAGTTCAGCTATTACTTCTCCTGACCTGACTGTCCCTAACAAGCAGGGCCCTGTCTCCATGCAGCCAGTCTGGCCAGGAGGGCATGTCACGCTCAGCCAGTCCCCTAGCCGTCCACTACAGCTTCTTTGCTTTCCTCAGGTGTGACACTGGCAGATTATAGAGGACATAGATTTTATAGTGGGTTTGCTTGTTTTGGGTCACATTCAGTGCCTCTCAGGGCTTACACCTCTTCTGCTGTGCTTGAGGGACCACGTTGTGTCAGGGACTGAGCTGAATCGGGGTGAGCCACATGCAAAGAAAGAGTTTAACCCCTGACTATGTCCAACCTCTGGTCACTGTTTGGTTTTGGGACCACATCCAGGAGTGACCAGGGAACTGCATAGTGTAGTGCCAGGGGTGGGCCCTGGGCTTCCTGCATGCAAAGCCTGTACATTAGCTCTTTGAGGCCTCACCTCAGCCCAGGACATTTATCTTATTTTTTTGTTTTCTGTGCCACACCCAGTGTTGCTCAGGGTTTACTTCTGGCTCAGCACTCAGGGATCACTCCTGGTAGGCCTGGGGGACCTATGGGCTGCTGGAGACCAAACGTAATCTGTCCACATATAAGGCAAACATCCTGCTCACAATCCTATCTCTTTTGTCCCACAACATATATTTTAAAAATTACTGAAGCATATGGAGAAATTGCTTTCCAAAAGGGTGACAACTTACGCTGCTACTAGTAAAGTAAGAAACCTTGAATAATTAACAACTGGTCAGCTATCACATTCCTATTGAAAATGCCTGCCCAAACCTTGTTATTTTTTTAAAAATTTTTATTAATTAATTAATTTATTGCTTTTTGGGTCACACCCGATGATACACTGGGGTTACTCCTGGCTCTGTGCTCAGGAATTACCCCTGGCGGTGCTCAGAAGACCATATGGGATGCTGGGAATCAAACCCGGGTCGGTCTCATGCAAGGCAAACGCCCTACCTGCTGTGCGATTGCTCCAGCCCCCCCAAACCCTGTTATTTTCAACATCATTAAGATTTTCTGTCCAAGGGGCCGGAGCTATAGAAAGGTACTTACCTTTCATGTGTTGACCAGAGTTAGATCCTTGGCACCCCATATGGTAGATACCCTAAGCCTTCCAGAAGTGATTCTTGGGGCTAGAGCAATAGCACAGTGGGTAGGGCGTTTGCCTTGCACGCAGCTGACTCGGGTTTGATTCCCAGAATCCCATATGGTCCCCTGAACACCGCCAGGGATAATTCCTGAGTGCAGAGCCAGGAGTAACACCTGTGCATTGCCGGGTGTGACCCAAAATGGAAAAAAAAAAGAGTGATTCTTGAGCTCAGAGCCAGGAGCGAGCCCTCAATACCACGGGGTGTGGTCCAAGGGGAAAAAAGGCAAATTCCAGTACATATATATGCATGATTAGTGCCATCTAAACTTTCAGAAGCTTCTGTCCCCCCTTCTTTCAAAATTCATTTATGGGGGTAGGGTTTGGTGACCTTCCTTTCTCAAATGGGCATAGAACAAAGGGGTTGATCAAATGCATAATGTTCTGTTTGTTTCTGGCTGTACCCTGCTATGCTCAGGGTTTACTCCTGGGCCTGCAGGGCATACCACTCCTAGCAGAGCTCTGGAAACTGTATAAGGTGCTGGGAATTGAAGCTGGGTCTGTTGCATTTAAGGGAAGTGCATTACCCCTATCACTCTGGCACCAATGCCCGAGTTTTGTGCACATTTGAAGACTCTCATAATAAAACCTGAAAATTATGTCTGCAATATAACTTATTTAGGTAGACTAAGTAAGAGGAAAGTTCTGGTACCTCATGATATGGAAAAGAAAGCACATCGGTGGGGACGTCTTTCTTTCTGTAGATTCTATTAATGTGTTGGATCTCCTTGTTGTCGACACAGATGATGGCCACGTCGAATTTCTGCACCCCTAAAATTTGCCTCACCATCTCCATCCTCCTGCGAAGAGGAGCTCTCCTGAGCCAAACTGCTCGCTGCAGATTTCTCAACACCAAACTCATCTTGGGACAAACAGCTGCTAGAACCTGGGCTGGAACACCAGAGAGGACCATTCAGTCCTGCACAACATCATAAACCTGTTAAAACACAAGCACATATAAAACCATTTATTTTGGGGTGGGAAGGGCTGGAGCCATAGTACAGTGGGTAGGGTGCATGCCACACACGAGGCACATGGGGATTGATTCCTGGCATCTTATAGGGTTCCCCTAGCCCACCAGGAATAATTCCTGTGTCCAGAGCCAGAAGTCAGCCCTAAGCCCTTCTGGGTGTGGTCCAAAAACAAAACGAAAAACCCAAACTGCCCCGCTGTCCCCCTCCCCTCCCCTCCCCTATCACTTTATTTGGGAAATAAAGTAAATCTATGTTAACCATCGAGTAAATGAAGCCAAATTCAATCAGGCACCAGAATTGGTGGCGCTGCAGGGTGAGAGGGAAAGGGATGGAAGGGTGGTACTGAGGGGCGGGTGCTGACAAGGAAGGAGGTTGGGTAGGAGGGGTGTGGGGTGGGGAGGGAGGCGGGCAGGAGGGGTGGGAGTTTGTTGAGCGTAGGTAGTGCCCTACGTAGGTAGGAGCGTGCACGGGGCGGGGACTCGGGCTTCCGCCAAGCCACAGAGCTAGTTCCCGGGGCGTCAACGTTCCCTTTCGGTCGGAGAAGCGGGTCCTCCCGGGAACGCACCTGTGTACGCCGCCGCCGGGGCGGGAACGGAGCCGGAACTCGGGCGCGGTGGGCACGGGGTCCGGGGAACGCACTGTGGAGCGGACCGGAAGTCGGTCCGTCTCGAATCCTGCCCGGACTGCGCGGAACTGGCTGTGCGGCGGCTGGAGACGGCGCCTCTCGGAGCGTCGGGGGCCGGGCTGGCGACGTCCCCGTAGCGGCTGGTGAGCGCGGCGGGGCTGGCGGGCCCGGCAGACCGGGGGGCGGTGAGAGGTCCCCGGAGCTGTTCGGTGCTGGCCAGCGCCCACGCCCACGCCCTCCCCGGCCTGCAGCCCCGAGAAGCCCCGAGGAATCCTGAGTTGTTCCGAGGAGCCCCGGGGAGCCCTGAGGAGTCCCGAGGAACCCTGAGGAGTCCCGGGGAGTCCTGAGGAGTCCCTAGCAACCCTGAGGAATCCTGAGGAGTTCCGAGGAGCCTCGAGGAAGCCCGAGGAGTCCCGGAGAGCCCCGAGGAGCCCTGAGGAATCCCGAGGAGCCCTAAGAAGCTTCGAGGGCGGCGTGCCTCTCTTCTGCGTGTGGATACGATTGAAACTCGTTGCTTTTCTTAGCCTTCCAGCAGGACACAACTGTGCCGATCTGAATTTTTTGTCTTTGACTTGTTCCGAAGATGAACTCCAAAGTTCCAACGACTGTTTAAAGAAGAGGATCAATTTTACAGATGACCGATTTATTGCCTTTTTTTCCCCCATTAGATTAAAACATGAACCCGAATAATCCCTTCAGTGGGCAGCCACCCACTGTCTTCCCAACATCTAGTACTTCCATGGGGACATTTCAACCTAAGCCATCGTTTCGATTTGGCCAGCCTTCTCTGTTTGGACAAACCAGTATGTTACCTGGGAAGAACTCAGGATTCTCACAGAGTTCCAGCTTTTCAGCCTCTCCTGGAGGAAGTAGTTCCTCTTCAACTCAAACATTAGCATTCCCTCAAACCTCAAATGTTGGACTCTTTTCTGGAACTGAACACACTGCTCCCTTTGTAGCTGCCTCTGCGCCTTCAAGTTCATCTGTGTCTGGAAACCCAGGATTTAGTTTCAAATCACCTGCTGTTGGTGCTTTCCCGAGCCCACCTACTTTTGGATCAGAGACTGGAGAAGTTGCAAGCTCTAGTTTTGGGAAAACAGAATTTAGCTTTAAACCTCTGGAAAATTCAGTGTTTAGGCCAATATTGGGAGCTGAGTCTGAGGCAGAGAAACCTCAGAGCCAAGTGACTTCTGGATTTTTCACATTTCCCCACCCGATTAGTAGTGGATCTGGGGGAATGACCCCATTTTCTTTTGCCCAGGTGACAAGTGGTTCAACCAGCAATTCCAATTTTACTTTTTCAAAACCAGTTAACAGTAATAATTCAACATCTGCCTTTACCCCTGCTTTGTCAAACCTGAATGTGGAAGAAGAGAAGAGAGGCCCCAAGTCGCTCTTTGGGGGTTCTAATAGTAACTTTGCTGCCTTCCCTGTGTCATCTTCGGGCTCTCTGGGAGACCCCTTTCCAATAAATAAAACTGGTGTCAGGCCAGGGTGTGAAGAAGCAGGTCCCCAAATGGAGGCCCTTCCAGGCCTCATGAAAGGGTTGAAAAGGAAGGAGGAGCAGGATCGCTCCCCACGGAGACGTGGTCATGACGTCATGGAGGAGCTGGACCCTCTGTCCCGGGGGGACCACCCTCCAGATAAGCGGCCTGTCAGACTGAATCGGCCCCGGGGAGGTTCTCTGTTCGGTAGAACCATACAGGACGTCTTCAAGAGTAACAAAGAAGTGGGTCGTCTGGGCAGCAAGGAGTCCAAGAAGGAAGGTGCATGTGCTGAGTCTGGGGATAGTGACCTGGTGACCATTCCAGCAGGGAGTCAGCCTGTCCTGGTGCCTGCCCGGCTGCCAGGAGTAAATAAAGAGGAAGAGACTGAAAGCCGAGATAAGAAAGAAGGTGAGCTCTGAAAATATATAACCTAAGGGCAGATTCTCGGAAAGTTTCCCTGGGAAATTCTCAAAAATCAGATTGTTTGATTTTTAATCAAACAATTTGATTTTTGACAATTTGATTTTTTTATCCTCCCTCCCTCCTTCTCTCCTTTCCTCTCATGTTTTTGGGCTTAATCCTGACTCTGTGCTCAGGGATCACACCTGGTGGGGCTTGGGAACCATAAGGGATCCCAGGTCCATTGTGTGCAAGGCAAGTGCCTTACTTGTGTGCTATCTGCTGGGTTTTACTTTGATTTTTTTTTTTTTAAATTCGGCATTAGAGATCTTAACAACAACAAAGTGTTAGCGTAAGTTTTACTGACACCCATGAAAATATCCTTTGTTTTTTCAATGTTGGTGCCTCCTTGAGATTGAAAATGTGCTAGCTAATGCATTTCTGTGTCCATCTGCTGACTCCATAGATTCTCTCAGAGCCTCTGGGCGTCAGAGTAAAAGGAGTGAGAGCACAGATAGTCTAGGGGGCTTCTCTCCTGCTGAAATCACAGCGATCCAGTGCAAGAACATCCCCGACTATCTCAATGACCGAACCATCCTGGAGAACCACTTTGGCAAAATCGCAAAAGTACAGCGCATCTATACTAGACGCAGCAAAAAGCTTGCAGTGGTGTATTTTTTTGATCATGTGAGTATTCCTGGGAAAAAAAAGTTTGAGGGAGCAGAAGAGATGGTCCAGGGTGCACACCTGGTATTCTGGTGGCCCTAGTTCATGTTGGCACCGTATGGTCTCCTAAGCATCACTGGATGCAGCCCTGGAGGCCTCTGAGCACTCCTGGGTGAACTGACTGATTCCTGCTCCACTGGGTTTGTTCAGCGTTGCCATCTTGGACTCTGCTGAACTACCTGCCCTGTAGGCTGAGAATTGCCAGGAGAGGCCACTTAGACCCTTAGACCCTCTAAGCAGCACTTGGATCATGCTGCCCCGCTAAAAGTCGGTAACTATCACTATTTTCATTTATTTGTGAGGGGTTGGGCTTTCTTTAAGGGGGAGGGGTTTTTTGGGCCATACTTGGCGTTGCTCAGGGGTTACTCCTTCCTGGCTCTGCACTCAGGAATTACTCCTGGTGGTGCTCGGGAGTATTATATGGGATGCCAGGGGATCAAACCTGGGTGGGATCGAACCTGGGTAAGATTGAACCCAGGTTGGCTGCATGCAAGGCAAACGCCCTAACCACTGTTTCATCGCTCTGGCCCCAAATGCCTTAATCCTGTACTGTCTCTCTGGCCCTGTTTTTCACATCCCCTTCCATTTTTTAGATTTTGCTTTGTTTGGTCATATAAACATTCAAACAGTGCAAACAGAGTAAATTCCCCATGTAATTCCCTTGGCCAGAGACTCTTGCCATAGGTGCTTTGATTTCTGCCTTGACCAAAAGTATGTATATAAGACACATATGTGCTAGACATGTTGGTTGTAGGGTGTATGTGTAGGTGAACTGTTTGTATTATTTAGCTTTATTTACTTGGGGTTGTTGTGTTTTTGTTTGTTTCTGTTTTTGGACCACACTTGGTGGTACTCAGGTCTTATGGCTGACCATGCTTAGGGATTACTCTTGTGTTTGGGGAATCCTATATGGCGTTCCACAATCGAACCCAGGTCGGTTGCATGCAGGGCAAACACATTACCTGCTGTACTATCCCTCCAGCCCTTCTTATCCTAAAGATTTTAAAGGGGAAAATGTTTTAACAGAATTATAAGTAGAAAACATTTTAGTTTTTGGGCCACACTTGTTGATGCTAAGGGCTTGCTCCTTGCTTTGCACTCAGTAATTACTCCTGATGGTGCTCAGGGACCATATGGATACTGGAGACTGAACCTGGGTCTGCCATATGTAAGGCAAGCACCTTACTAGCTATACTGTCTCTCCAAGCCCCAGAAAACTGATTTTATACTGAAAAAAAAAAAAAGCCTTTATTGTTATAGTTTAGTTAGCATAGTTACATAGTAGTTTTTGTTTATTTTTTGTTTTTGGGCCACACCCAGCAGTGCTGGGCACTATGGTGCCAGAGATAAGACTTTGGACTCCTGTATACAAAACATATATTCCAGTCCTCTGAGCTCTCTCTCCAACTATGTGTATACTTCAAAGCAGAATAGCTTTACTTGGGAAATGTGAGTGGGAGGGAGAGCGAGAGTCCTATAAAATAGAAATTACAGTTCCCTAGCTGCAATGCCAGCAATTTCAAAGACATTTTGCAGATTTACTGACGTGGCAATATGTCCTTGGTTTTCTCTACCCTTTGGGTCAGGTGTGTCCCTTGCATAGAATTCTGCAGCTTTTTTTGTGTGTGTACAGGCATGACATGGCAGTCTTCCATCACTGAATGTGCTCAGGTGGGAGAACCATCTCTTCCAGTGCTGTGCTGTTCTGGGACCTGGGAGGAAGCTCAGAGCAGGTGCATGTGCGTGTGCTTTAGGCCTCAGTCATATCCTGGCACTTCTCATTCCCATATAACATTCATACACTTTTGGGTGTATCCCTGGTGACCCCCAGCTCCACTGGACTTTCTGACCTGACTGCTGAGTATTGCCAGGAGTGACCCCAGGGTCCCTTGAGCACTGCACGGCGCCCCTTCCTTACTCTCTTTACTAGAAGAAAATTCATTTCTAAAAGGAAAAGAGCATTATGACTCTGATTCTGGCACTGCAAAGAAAAGCATGAACTGTAGCAATAGTACAGTGAGGAGGGCATTTGCTTTATATGCAGCTCCATCCTGGACACCCAAATGGTTCCCTGGCCCTGCCAGGAGTGATCCCTGAGCAAAGGGCCAGGAGTAAGCCCTGAGCACCATCAGGTGTGGCCCAAAACTCCCCAAAAGAGAAGAGAAAAGCACAACCTTTTGTTTGCGTGTCTAAGGAAGGAGACAAGAGCCTAGGGCTGCTATGGCCGAGACAGTGTGGTCTGACCCTTGTAGTATGAACCCTGCTGTGCATCTGATGGAACTGTGTGTGTGGTTGCTTATCAGGCATCAGCTGCTCTTGCCAGGAAGAAGGGGAAAGGCCTGCACG